CATGAACCACCGTGTCCGGCCTCAGACTTCTTTTTAAACAACCAGATCCGGCCGGGCACGGTGGCTCACGCCTGTAGTCCCAGCACTTTAGGAGGCCGAGGCAGGCGGATCACGAGGTCAGGAGATGGAGACAATCCTGGCTAACATGGTGAAACCCTGTCTCTACTAAAAATACAAAAAATTAGCTGGGCGTGGTGGGCGCCTGTAGTCCCAGCTACTCTGGAGGCTGAGGCAGGAGAATGGCATGAACCCGGGAGGCAGAGCTTGTAGTGAGCTGAGATCGTGCCACTGCACTCCAGCCTGGGGGACAGAGTGAGACTCCCTTTCAAAAAAAAAAACAAAAACAAAAACAAAATCACCGTCAGATCTGATGTGAACTCACAGAGTGAGAACTCACTCATCACCAAGGGGGATGGCGCTAAGCCATTCATGAGGGATCCACCCCTATGTCCAATACCTCCCACTAGGCCCCACTTCCAACGTTGGAGTTCACATTTCTTTTTTTTCTTTTCTTTTCTTTCTTTCTTTTTTCTGAGATGGAGTTTCGCTCAACATTGTTGCCCAGGCTGGAGTGCAGTGGCACGATCTTGGCTCACTGCAACCTCTGCCTCCCGGGTTCAAGCGATTCTCCTGCCTCAGCCTCCTGAGTAGTTGGGATTACTGGCGCCCACTACCATGCCCAGATAATTTTTGTATTTTTGGTAGAGATGGAGTTTCACCGTATTGGCCAATCTGGTCTTAAACTCCTGACCTCAGGTGATCTGCCTGCCTTGGCCTCCCAAAATGCTGGGATTACAGGCGTGAGCCACTGCGCCCAGCCTCTTTTTTTTTTATATTGTAGCATACAGGTGTTAGATACTCACTTGTTTACAATGCCCACTTCCCAATGCGCTGCTCAACTGGAAACAAAGGTATGTATGGGTTAACATTTCATCATGAGACTTGAAGGGGACACAGAGCCAAACTATATCAGAGGAGTACTACAATGGCATTTTGTAGTTGGGGAGGAGATCAGATTCAACTTCAAATACAACAAGGAAAAGTGAGAATCTGTAGCCAAAGATAAGAGTGTGTGCGTTGGCAGGGGTGGTCAGTGCACGGAAAATTACCACGAGGAGGCCAGGCATGGTGGCTCACGCCTGTAATCCCAGCACTTGGGGAGGCCGAGGCAGCTGGATCACGAGGTCAGGAGATCGAGACCATCCTGGCTAACACGGTGAAACCCCGTCTCTACTAAAAATACAAAAAATCAGCCGGGCGTGGTGGCGAGCACCTGTAGTCCCAGCTACTCGGGAGGCTGAGGCAGGAGAATGGTGTGAACTTGGGAGGCAGAGCTTGCAGTGAGCAGAGATCGCACTACTGCACTCCAGCCTGGGAGACAGAGCCAGACTCAGTCTCAAACAAAACAAACAAACAAACAAACAAAAAATTACCACGAGGAAAATCAGGGGTTAAAGGGGGATTTCTGGCTAAATCCACCTAATAAGATTCTTGCTGAAAGCAGGCCAGGGTGATGAGACATCACCTGGGGGATGTTAGGGGAGGAGGAACCCAACCAGTTGTAGAGGATGACCAGATATTGAGAATGAGGGATTCAGGCTAAAGCGACTTACTAGGATTCTTGTGAGAATTGGACAATATAGAGATGAACATGTGAGCTCCCAAATCAGGGTAGTTGAGAAATCAGAGGGATCTGACTAGAGATAAGTCAAGAAGAGAATCTTAATTAACCATTTGACTTTATTCAAGATTGCTAAATTGCTCATTAGCAAGGTACGATCGTTTCTCTCTTTTTTTTTTTTTTTTTTTTTTTTTGAGACAGAGTCTTGCTCCATCACCCAGGCTGGAGTGCAGTGGCACAATCTCCACTCACTGCAAGCTACGCCTCCCAGGTTCACGCCATTCTCCTGCCTCAGCCTCCTGAGTAGCTGGGACTACAGGTGCCCGCCACCACGCCCAGCTGATTTTTTGTATTTTGTAGTAGAGACAGGGTTTCACCGTGTTAGCCAGGATGGTCTCCATCTCCTGATCTCGTGATCCACCCGCCTCGGCCTCCCCAAGTGCTGGGATTACAGGTGTGAGCCACTGCGCCCGGCTGATAGTTTATCTTTTTTCGTATCCACACCAACACTTGGTATGAGAAAGTTTAAATTTGCAAATATATTTTGAAACGATATTTTATCCTTTAACTTGCATTTACTTGTAGCTAATGAAACCTGTGTAGCTTTTCTATCTTATTGGTCATTTGGGGTTCCTCTTTGGTTAACTGTATGTTTAATATCGCAAGCTGATATGCGGTATTGTATTTCTTAAAAAAAATTAATTTCGGCTGGGTGTGGTGGCTCATGCCTGTAATCCCAGCACTCTGGGAGGCCGAGGTTGGCGGATAATGAGATCAGGGGTTTGAGAGAAGCTATAAAGAGTATGTTGCTTTTTTTCCTCTATGCTTTCAGTAACACTGGGCATTTCCAGTGATGGTGGAAAATGGTGAGAACCAGATATTGCGTATCAACTTTATTATTATTCGTTTTAAATTATAGAGAGGAGGTCTCACTAAATTGCCCAAGCTGGTCTCGAACTCCTGGCCTCAAGCAATCCTCCTGCATCAGCCTCCCAAAGTGCTGGAATTATAGGTGTGAGCCACCGTGCCTGGCCCATGCTAATATATATATATATATATATATTTTTTGTTGTTGTTGTTGTTGTTGTTGTTGAGACAGAGTCTCGCTTTGTCACCCAGGCTGGAGTGCAGTGGCTGGATCTCAGCTCACTGCAAGCTCCGCCTCCCGGGTTCACGCCATTCTCCTGCCTCAGCCTCCTGAGTAGCTGGGACTACAGACGCCCGCCACCTCGCCCAGCTAGGTTTTTGTATTTTTTAGTAGAGATGGGGTTTCACCGTGTTAGCCAGGATGGTCTTGATCTCCTGACCTTGTGATCCGCCCGTCTCGGCCTCCCAAAGTGCTGGGATTACAGGCTTGAGCCACCGCGCCTGGCCTAATATTTTTAATGCAAGTAAAGTGTGCCATTGTATGAATGTTCGTCATTAATTGAGTCAATTATCTTGTGTCTAGTTTTGGCATTGTAAGTATTGTTTCAATCATTAGCTTTTAAACTATGTATTTTTGCTTGTTTTTAACTTTTTCCTTAGGATAAATTTCTGACAGTTGAGTTGTTGAAGGAAAAAAAGTATTTTTATTTTTATTTTATTTATTTATTTATTTTTGAGATGGAGTCTCGCTCTGTCACCCAGGCTAGAGTGCAGTGGTGCAATCTCAGCTCACTGTCAGCTCCACTTTCCAGGTTCACGCCATTCTCCTGCCTCAGCCTCCCGAGTAGCTGGGACTACAGGCGCCCACCACACCTGGATAATTTTTTGTATTTTTAGTAGAGATGGGGGTTTCACCGTGTTAGCCAGGATGGTCTTGATCTCCTGACCTCGTGATCTGCCCACCTTGACCTCCCAAAGTGCAGGGATTACAGGTGTGAGCCACCACGCCAGGCCAGAATTTGTATTTTTTTTTTTTTTTTTTTTTTACAGTATTTGTATTTTTAAAGCTGTGAATACATATAGATAAAACACTCCTCAGAAGGGGCGTGCTCTTCTGGAACATCAGCAAGGCGTGGGAAGGAACATCTCTAATCTCTTTTTTTTGAGACGGAGTCTTGCTTTGTTGCCCAGGCTGGAGTGCAGTGGCTGGATCTCAGCTCACTGCAAGCTCCGCCTCCTGGGTTCAAGGGATTCTCCTGTCTCAGCCTCCCAAGTAGCTGGGATTATAGGCATGCACCACCACGCCTGGCTAATTTTTTGTGTTTTTAGTAGAGACAGGGGTTTCACCATATTGGCCAGACAGGTTTTGAACTCCTGACCTCAGATGATCCACCTGCCATGGCCTCCCAAAGTGCCAGGATTACAGAGGTGAACCATCGCGCCTGGCCCAACTCTAGTGTTTGGAATCTAATGTATCTGGAGGACTACACCTTTATTTTTTATTTTTCTTTCTTTATTTTCTTTATTTATCTTTACAGTACTTTGAGTTGCTGTTTAAGATAACTACACCTTTATTTCAACTGTAGCTGATCCATGAAAATTAAGGATAATTTTTTCTTTTTTTTTTTGAGATGGAGTCTTGCTCTGTCACCCAGGCTGGAGTGCAGTGTGCAGTGGCTGGATGTCTGCTCACTGCAACCTCTGTCTCCAGGGTTCAACCGATTCTCCTGTCTCAGCCTCCCGAGTAGCTGAGACTACCTGCACGTGCCACCACGCCCAGCTAATTTTTGTATTTTTAGTAGAGACGGGGGTTTCACCATATTGGCCAAGCTGGTCTCGGACTCTTGACCTCAGGTGATCCGCCCACCTTGGTCTGCCGAAGTGCTGGGATTACAGGTGTGAGCCACCGCGCCCGGCTTAGCGTGGATTTTTGAATCTGAGGGTTTCAAACCATAGTGGATGGAGTGTGGCCAGGGCGGGGTGTTTTAGTTTGGAAAACTAACCTGCACATGTACCCCTAAACCTAAAAGCTTTTTTTTTTTTTTTTTTTAGGAAAACATTTCAGTTGTAAATTCTAAGAGGAATTTCTGTTAGGTTCAGTCACTTTGCATTTTGGAATGTAGTTGGCATCTCTCGTTTCATTGTGGCATAACGATTGACTAAAATAGGTTCAGGTCTCATTGAGACAGGTTTTGAAAACGCTTTTTAAAATTTTTTTTCTGGAAAACAAATGACCAAAGTCATTGCTGTACCCGCAAAAGGTAAATATATTTCGATTAGTCTCTGCAGACACCTGATTCTTACACTGACACTCGAGTCTGGGCGTGAGACGTGAGCGCCAAACCCTTCTGGGGTAGCTGGGAGCTAGGCCAGGTTTCACCTGGGCGCCCCTTAAACCCCGCCTCCAGCAGATGAGCCCACTAGAGCGCATACGCAGGGGGTGAGCCCGCGCCGGACACGCCCAACTCTTCCAATCCGAAAAGGGCGGAGTCTGTTGCAGGCCCCGCCCCCTAGTTAAGGTGTGCGCGTGGCTGGGGCTGGTCTTCCGCCTGGTGAGGGGCTACTTCCGGGTCGGACGGCGCTAGGTGCAGCCGCGGAGTGTGGCAGTGCTTGGCTGGCCGGCGGGCTGGGCTGCGGCCCGCGCGCGCCCGGCGATGCAGGGGGGCAACTCTGGGGTCCGCAGGCGCGAAGAGGAGGCCGACGGGGAGGGGGCTGTGGCTGCGCCGCCGGCCATCGACTTTCCCGCCGAGAGCTCGGACCTCAAATATGACGGTGAGGGATCGGATCGCGGTGTCGCCGCTCTCCTCTCTCTGTCCACCCGCGTTTGCGGGCGGTATAGGCAGCCCTGAGTTTTGCCTGAAGACCTGGGTGAATTCGGCTGCCTCCAGGGTTGAACCGGGGGACCAGCCGCGCAGTGCTGGGGGGCGGCGGGCGGGCCGTCGGGGTAAGGTAAATATTGTTTGAAAGGGACGTCTGCTTCTCGCTCCTTTGTTTACATTTCTGTTCCTTGGTTTCCTCTCTGGGGACTGAGGCCCTCGGAAGGCTGGGGGCATCCCTGAGGTCACCGTACTGCCCCCAAGCCCTGGGTTTTGTCATTGGTTGAGAACGATCTTCTTTCGTTGCAGCGAGAATTTGCAAACTGTAAGCTGAATAGTTTGGGTTAAGAGTTGTAATTTGTAACTTTTCTTGTCTTTTGCTTAATTGGAAGGAGAACTAAAGATTTCTCATAGTGAGGCAGCGTGGAAATAAATAAACGTCTTTGGTTTAAAGAATAAAAAGGCCCAAGTTTTTTTTTTTTTGGAGATAGTCTTGCTCTGTCACCCAGGCTGGAGTGCAGTGGCACAATCATAGCTTATTGTAGCCTCCAACTCCTGGGCTCAAGTGATCCTCCAGCTTCAGCCTCCCAAGTAGCTGGGACCACAGGTGCACACCACCATGCCCGGCGAATTTTTTAATTTTTTTTTTTTTTTGCAGAGATGGGGTCTTGCTGTGTTCCCCAGGCTGGTCTCGAACGCCTGGCCTCAAGTGATGCTCCCGCCTCGGCCTCCCAAAGTGCTGGGATTGTAGATGTAAGCCACCACTCTCAGCCCCCAAGTTTTCTTGAGGTCTTTGGTTACTAGGAGATATGGGGTAGCTGAGTTACTTAGCATAGAGTAAGAGATGCTTAACATTGACTCTAGGTAAAAGTGTCCACTATTTTGATGAAAGTGAAATACAGTCTTTAGTTGCTGCCAGGTGTTTTAGCAATATTAAAAATTAAATTGTGCTATTAAGAATGAATACATTGGCCGAGTGGGTCACTCCTGTAATCCCAGCACTTTGGGAGCCTGAGGTGGGCGGATCACCCGAGGTCAGGAGTTCAACACCAGCCTGGTCAACATGGTGAAACCCCCTGTCTACTAAAAATATAAAAATTAGCTGGGCATGGTAGCGGGCACCTGTAATCCCAGCTACTTTTGAAGCTAAGGCAGGAGAATCGCTTGCTTGAACCCAGGAGGCGGAGGTTGTAGTGAGCTGAGATCGCACCACTGCACTCCAGCCTGGGAGACAGAGGAAACTCCGTCTCAAAAAAAAAAAAAAAAGAATACATTGATTCAGGGATTTTTTTTTTTCTCTTTTTTATGGAATGCTTCAGGAATTTGTGTTTCATTCTTGTGCGGAAGCTGTGTTAATCTTCTCTGTGTCATTCCAGTTTTTAGTATATGTGCTACTGAAGTTTTTAACTATATGGTAATTCCAACAGAATGACTGCAGAGAATACACATTGATTTGAAGCATGAAACAAACAAAAAAAAAAGTGTTGCAATTGGGTTAAAGGTACAAATTGTTTCTGTAAGAGAAAGCATATGAGAAAAAATAAAGGTGCAAACTGAGTTGAAATGGTTTTGATTCAGATGGAATAAATACATGGAAATGTTGTTGCATTTTTATCCTTAATACTACCTATAATTTTTTTTTTTTTTTTTTCTTAAAGAGATGGGGTCGTCCGGGAGGTTGCAGTGAGCTGAGATCGTGCCATTGCACTGCAGCCTGGGTGACAGAGTGAGACTCTGTCTAAAAAAAAAAAAAAAAAAAGATGGGGTCTTCTTTTGTTGCCCCGTCTGGTCTCAAACTCCTGGCCTCAGCGGATCCTCCTGCCTCAGCCTCCCAAAGTGCTAGGATAGGCGTGAGCCAGTGTGCCCAGCCAAGCCTATAATTTTTGACCATAAAGAGAAACAAAAGCACAGTGTGGTAGTAATTCCAGTAGGCTATTAACAGAAGAAAATTTTAAAAACTATTTTTTAATGGACAAACAACTTTTCTCCCACATATAAGGTGGTATATTATAGCCCAATAATATAGAAAGTGTTATGTCATGGGAAAAGTCCCAGCTGTAAACATGCAAGTGTCTTTTCTGTAACATTGCGATAAGGGTTCCTGCACACTAAAGATTATTCTTGAAGGGAGTGATCTTAGATAAGCTTTTAAAATTTTTCTTTTCCTGGGTTACCGATAATACTGTTGTGTTGACATATAGCCTTTCCTTCCAAAGAGACCCAGAATGTCCAGACAGAGTTTATGTTTTTTGTTTTTTGTTTTTTTTGAGACGAAGTCTCACTCTGTCGCCCAGGCTGGAGTGCAGCGGTGTGATCTCAGCTCACTGAAACCTCCGCCCTTCCAAGTTTAAGCAGTTCTCTGCCTCAGCCCCCAGAGTAGCTGGGATTACAGATGCCTGTCACCATACCCAGCTAATTTTTTGTATTTTTAGTAGAGACGGGGTTTCACCATCTTGGCTAGGCCGGTCTTGAACTCCTCACCTTGTGATTCACCTGCCTCGACTTCCCAAAGTGCCAGGATTACAGGCGTGAGCCACCGTGCCTGCCCTTTTTTTTTTTTTTTTTTTGAGACTGAGTCTTACACCATTGCCTGGGCTGGAGTGCAATGGCTTGATCTTGGCTCACTGCAACCTCCACCTCCTGAGTTCAAGCCACTCTCCTGCCTCAGCCTCCTGAGTAGCTGGGATTACAGGCGCCCGCCACCACTCCTGGCTAATTTTTTGTAGTTTTTAGTAGAGACGGGGTTTCACTATGTTGGCGAGGCTGGTCTTGAACTCCTGACCTCGTGATCCGCCTGCCTCAGCCTCCCAAATTGCTGGGATTACAGGTGTGAGCCACTGCGTCCAGCCCACAGTTTATGTTTTTAAACTTATTTTAGAGGCAGAATCTCGCTGTGTCACCCAGTGCAGTGGTATAATCACAGCTTAATGCACCCTTGTTTTCTCAGGCTCAAGCTATCTTCCTGCCTCAGCCTCCTGAGTAGCTGGGTCTACAGGTGCGCGCTACCATGCCCAACGAATTTTTTGTAGTTTTTCTTTGTAGGGACAGGGTCTCAGTATGTTTACCCAGGCTGGTTTTGAACTCCTGGGCTCAAGCAGTCCTCATGCCTTGCCCTCTCAAAGTGCTGGGATTACAAGTGTGAGCCCCCGCGCCCGGCCCATTTCATTTTTTCCTTTTTATTTTTGCATGTATTTATTTTTAATTTTAGAACACTAGAATTCACCTGATCGTTTACTCGATGTAAAAATGAATAGGTAAATAATTTCTGGCAGACATTCTGTATGATTTGAAGAAGTCGGCTAATGGCAGAGTCAGAAAATTCAAAACCTAAATGTAACTTTAACATTTTTGGCAATTTATTTATTTATAGAATGAAATGGAGTTTGGCTCTGCCACCCAGGTTGGAGTGCAGTGGCGCAGTCTCTGCTCACTGCAACCTCCGCCTCCTGGGTTCAAGCGATTATCCTGCCTCAGCCTCCTGAGTAGCTGGGATCACAGGTGCACACAATCACGCCCAGCTAATTTTTGTATTTTTAGTAGAGACGGGGTTTCACCATGTTGGAGAGGCTAGCCCCAAGCTCCTGACCTCAGGTGATCCGCTTGCCTCGGTCTCTCTAAGTACTGGAATTACAGATGTGAGCCACCACACCTGGCTGGATTTTTTTTTTTTTTTTGAGACAGAGTTTCACTTTGTTGCCCAGGCTGGAGTGCAATGGCACGATCTCAACTCACCGCAACCTCCGCCCGCCTCCCGGGTTCAAGCGATTCTCCTGCCTCAGCCTCCCGAGTGGCTAGGATTACAGGCATGCGCCACCACACCTGGCTAATTTTGTATTTTTCGTAGAGACAGGGTTTCTCCACGTTGGCCAGGCTGGTCTCGAACTCCTGACCTTAGGTGATCTGCCTGCCTCGACCTCTCAAAGTGCTGGGATTACAGGCATGCGCTACTGCGCCCAGCTAGTTTTTTAAAACCTGTTTAGTAATGTCTTAAATAAACAATAAGTGAGAACTTATGACCTTCAGCCTTAGTGCCAACTCGTCTGTCTGCATGTTCTTATACGGCACAAAGAGGATGGGGTTGGGAGTCAGTCTGATCTGCCTGGTTCACTGGTTCCTCAGCCGCTCTGAGATCAGTGTTTTCATCTGTAAAATGGGGATGAACACGAACACTTACCTTATATTATTTTTTGAGCATTGAAGGAGATTGTGCATGTATGTAAGTAGCACATGCTCAACAAAAACAGTTTCTATTTTTCCTATCTTTCCCTCTCTCATCTGCCCAACTTCTTTTTTTTTTTTTTTTTTTGAGACGGAGTTAAACTCTTGTTGCCCAGGCTGTAATGCAATGGCGCGACCTGGGCTCACCACAACCTCTGTCTCCCAGGTTCAAGCGATTTTCCTGCCTCAGCCTCCCTAGCAGCTGGGATTACAGGCACCCGCCACCACGCCCGGCTAATTTTGTATTTTTAGTAGAGACGGAGTTTTACCATGTTGGTCAGGCTGGTCTCAAATTCCTGACCTCAGGTGATCCACCGGCCTCGGCCTCCCAAAGTGCTGGGATTATAGGTGTGAACCACCGTGCCCGGCCGTCTTCTGCCTAACTTCTTTCTTCATGCCTGGGTCTTGGCTGTCTTCTCAAAGGAAGGAAGCCATTCTAGTCCCAGTTCCTTGCGTGTTGATTTATTTCTACTGTTGGACACATCAGAAAACTGTTTCTCCTCTGTCTCATGGCATCTTTCTGCTGATCCTCCAGCTTCCAGGATTCAACTCCAAACTCACTTCCAGAAAGCCTTTCTTGATTAACCCAACTCAGCATAACTATTCTTTCGGTTTTTATCTGCTTACATTTAAATAGTTTGTGTTTCATTAATTAGAATACTGTTTTGTCATTATGAGACAGGTTTACCATTAACTTAAAAATATTTTCCTTTTTAATTTTTAGAATCTGATGTTCCAGCAGAACTCCAGGTGTTAAAAGAACCCCTACAACAGCCAACCTTCCCTTTTGCAGTTGCAAACCAACTCTTGCTTGTTTCCTTGCTGGAGCACTTGAGCCATGTGCATGAACCAAACCCACTTCGTTCAAGACAGGTGTTTAAGTGTAAGTAAGAATAAATTAATCTTGCTAAATAAAGCTTGTAAAGGCTGGGCTCTGTGGTTCATGCCTGTTATCCTAGAACTTTGGGAGGCCGAGGTGGGTGGATCACCTGAGGTCAGGAGATCGAGATCAGCCTGGCCAACATGGCGAAATCCCCTCTCTACTCAAAATATGGAAATTAGCTGGGTGTTGTGGCAGGTGCCTGTAACTCCAGCTACTTGGGAGGCTGAGGCAGGAGAATCACTTGAATGGGGGAGGTGAAGATTGCAATGAGCCAAGACAGTACCACTGCACTCCCGTCTGGGCAACAGAGTGAGACTCTGTCTCAAAAATAAATAAATAAATAAATAAATAAAGCTTGTAAAAATACTGTGTTGCTGTTCTCAGTTACTTGTGGGAGGTAAAAATTAAAACAGTTTTTAATTAATGGAGATAGAGTAGAATGATGGTTACCAGAGGCTGGGAGGATAGTGGAGGATGGTTAATGGGTATAAAAATATAGTTAGAATAAATCGAATCTAGTATTTGGTAGCACAACAGGGTGACTACAGTCGGCAATAATTTATTGTACATTTAAAAATAACAAAAAGACGACCAGGCGCCGTGGCTCATGCCTGTAATCCCAGCACTTTGGGAGGCCAAGGCGGTGGGATCACTTGAGGTCAGGAGTTTGAGACCAGCCTGACCAACATGGTGAAAGCCCGTCTCACTAAAAAAATGCAAAAGTAGGCCAGGCTAGGTGGCTCACGCCTGTAATCTCAGCACTTTGGGAGGCCGAGGCGGGCGGATCACGAGGTCAGGAGATGGAGACCATCCTGGCGAAGATGGTGAAACCCTGTCTCTATTGAAAATACAAAAAAAAATTAGCCGGGCATGGTGGTGGGCGCCTGTAGTCCCAGCTTCTAGGGAGGCTGAGGCAGGAGAATGCCGTTAACCCGGGAGGCAGCAGAGCTTGCAGTGAGCGGAGATCACGCCACTGCACTCCACTCCAGCCTGGGCGACAGAGCGAGACTCTGTCTCAAAAAAAAAAAAAAGCACAAGTAGCCAGTAGCCAGACATGATGGTGCACAGCTATAATCTCAGCTATTTGGAAGGCTGAGGCAGGAGAATTGCTTGAACCCAGGAGGTGGAGGTTGCAGTGAGCTGAGATCATGCCACTGCACTCCAGCCTGCGCAACAAGAGCAAAACTCCATCTCAAAAAAAAAAAAAAAAAAAAAAAAAGAATGGGCCAGGCATGGTGGCTCATGCCTATAATCCCAGCACTTTGGGAGACTGAGGCGGGTGGATCATGAGGTCAAGAAATCGAGACCATCCTGGCCACCAAGGTGTAACCTTGTCTCTACTAAAAATATAAAAATTAGCTGGGCGTGGTGGTGGGCACCTGTAATCCCAGCTATTCGGGAGGCTGAGGCTGGAAAATCGCTTGAACCTGGGAGGCGGAGGTTGCAGTGAGCCGAGATTGCGCCCTTGCACTCCAGCCTGGTGACAGAGCGAGACTGTTTCAAAAAATAAAAATAATGAAGAGTATAATTGGATTGTTTGTAACACAAGGAAGGGATAAATGCTTTAGATGACGGATACCCCATTTATCCTGATGTGATTATTACACATTACATGCCTGTATCAAAATATCTCATGTACCCCCATAAATACCTATATCTACTATGTACTCACAAAAATTAAAAATACAAAATAAAGTATGTTGTTTAATGCTGGGAGTCTGGAAAGCAGCTGGTATACAAAAACTGGAGGAAATAAATATTAATGATTTCCCCCCTTCAATTCAGCTTGCATTTTCCCTTGAGTAATTCCTTATGAATATATTAACTGTGGATCCCATAATTGCATAAAATTGGATAAATGAAAGATAGTTCTTTTGCATCTATACTATGATAATGCACAATTTTTTTTTTTTTTTTCTCGAAATGGAGTCTTACTCTGTCACCCAGGCTGGAGTGCATTGGTGTGCTCTCTGCTTACTGCAACCTCTGCCTCCCGGGTTCAAGCAATTCTTCTGCCTTAGCCTCCCAAATAGCTGGGATTACAGGTGCGTGTCACCAAGCCGGGGTAATTTTTGTATTTTTCATAGAGATAGGGTTTCACCATGTTCAGGCTGGTCTCGAACTCCTGACCTGATGATCTGCCTGCCTCGGCCTCCCAAAGTGCTGGGATTACAGGTGTGAGCCACTGCCTGGCCCTTTTCTTTCTTTTTTTCTAAGTTGAAGTTTTGCTCTTGTCGGGGCTGGAGTGTGCAATGGCACCATCTCTGCTCACTGCACCCTCTGCCTCCTGGGTTCAAGCGGTTCTCCTGCCTCAGTCTCCTGAGTAGCTGGGATTACAGTTACCCACCTCCACGCCTGGCTAATTTTTCGTATTTTTAGTAGAGACGGATTTCACCATATTGGCCAGGCTGGTCTTGAACTCTTGACCTCAGGTGATCCACCCACCCCTTCTTCCCAAAGTGCTGGGATTACAGGCCTGAACCAGCACGCCCAACTAATTCATACAATTTTTGAAGCTCCCTTATGGTGTAGCTGGTGAGCAGGTAAAAGAAAATCACATAAACTCATTGTGAACCAATTCTTGACCAGAGAACTGGAACCAATTGCACATTGTGTGGTTTATTTTTATACCTGCTGTAGGGTACTTATATGAGAAATTGAGCACGAAAGTGAGTAGAATCATAGATTATGATGTTTATGGTTCAGTTTATTGACTGAGACCATTGTGGCTTCTTTAATAGTTCTGGTCACAAGTTGGGCATGGTGGCCCGTGCCTGTAATCCCAGCTACCCGGGGGGCTGAGGTGAGAGGAGCACTCGAGCCTAGGAGTTCAAGGTTTCAGTGTGCTTTTTTTTTTTTTTTTTTTTTTTTTGAGACGGAGTCTCGCTCTGTCACCCAGGCTGGAGTGCAGTGCGCAATCTCGGCTCACTGCAAGCTCCGCCTCCCGGTTCAAGCCTCAGTCTCTCAAGTAGCCCAGCCTTCAGTGTGCTTTGATCATGCCTGTGAGTAGCCAGTGCGCTCCAGCCTGGGTGACATAGTAAGACTCCGCCTCTAGAGGAAAAAAAAAAAAAAAAAAAAAGAATAGTTCCAGCCAGAGATTCTGAGGTTCTTTTTTTTTTTTTTTTTTTTTTTTTTTTTTTTACCAAAACAGTCTCAAGCTTACACTTTTATGTGGTCTTAAAACTGAATGCGGTTTTTGGCCGGGCGCGGTGGCTCAAGCCTGTAATCCCAGCACTTTGGGAGGCCGAGACCATCCTGGCTAACATGGTGAAACCCCGTCTCTACTAAAACAAAAACAAAAAACTAGCCGGGCGAGGTGGCGGGCGCCTGTAGTCCCAGCTACTCGGGAGGCTGAGGCAGGAGAATGGCGTGAACCCGGGAGGCGGAGCTTGCAGTGAGCTGAGATCTGGCCACTGCACTCCAGCCTGGGTGACAGAGCGAGACTCTGTCTCAAAAAAACAAAAAACAAAAAACAAAAAAACTGAATGCGGTTTTAGTTAAAGATACATTATCATTTTGGCTCGGCACAGTGGCTCACGCGTGTAATCCCAGCACTTTGGGAGGCCCAGGCGGGTGGATCACCTAAGGTCAGGTTCAAGACCAGCCTGGCCAATGTGGTGAAACCCCGTCTCGACTAAAAATACAAAAATTAGCTGCGCGTGGTGGTGGGCACCTATAATCCCAGCTACTCGGGAGGCTGAGGCAGGGGAATTGCGTGAACCCCAGAGGTAGAGGTTGCAGTGAGCCAAGATTCCACCATTGCACTCCAGCCTGGGCGACAGAGTGAGATTCCGTCTCAGAACAAAACAAAACAAAAAGATACATTATCATTTTGATAAACTTGACATGAAAAATGGTACAAATATGTGTACATTGTATACTTACTGTTTCTTGAATAAAGCAAATAATACACTCTGCATTCCAAGCAGTGGCATATGTGGTGGGAGGTGGGGTAAACAGGAAGTGTGTTCCTTAGGTTCTGAAGCGTTGGTACCTGGGGATTATTGTATTAGTCTCATCAAATAGAGAAGCAAATTAGGATAATACAGCAATCTTGCACATAATTAAAGCAAACCTGTGAATTTTACTGATTTAATTTATTAGTAAAATTTACTGATTTACTTTAATTTTAAGAGAACTTTTTTTTTTTTTTTGAGACGGAGTCTCTCTGTCGCCCAGGCTGGAGTGCGATGGCGCGATCTTGGCTCACTGCAACCTCTGCCTTCCGTGTTCATGCCATTCTCTTGCGTCAGCCTCCCGAGTAGCTGGGAGTACAGGCACCCGCCACCACGTCTGGCTAATTTTTTGTCTTTTTAGTAGTTTTAGTAGAGATGGGGTTCACTGTGTTAGCCAGGATGGTCTCTATCTGGTGACCTGGTGATCCTCCCGCCTCAGCCTCCCAAAGTGCTGGGATTACAGGCGTGAGCCACCGCGCCTGGCCTAGATGACTGAATTTTAGAACAAGGTTATTTAAATAAATGTTTTTGATGTGATCAGTGAGTTGATAATCTAAATGGAGAATTTTCTTTTTTATTTTAAGCAACAAATTTGGCTTTCATAAATGTAGAGTTTTTGATGCAGAAAGAATATCCTTGGTGGGACATGGTGACTCATGCCTGTAATCCTAGCACTTTGGGAGGCCGAGGTGGGCGGATCACAAGGTCAGGTGTTTGAGACCAGCCAAACACAAAAATTAGGCAGTTGTGTTGGCGGGCACCTGCAATCCCAGCTAGTTGGGAAGGTGAGGCATGAGAATCCCTAGAACCCAGGAGGCAGAGGTTGCAGTGATCTGAGATCATGCCACTACACTCCAGCCTGGGCAGTAGGGTGAGACACTGTCTCAAAAAAAATAAAATAAAATAAAATTAGCTGGGCGTGGTGGTGTGCATCTGAAATCCCAGCTATGCAGGCGTCTGAGGTAGGAAAATTGCTTGAACCCTGGAGGCGGAGGTTGCAGTAAGCCGAGATTTTGCTATTGCACTCCAGCCTGGGTGACAGAGTGAGACTCTGTCTTAAAACAAAAACAAAAACAAAAACAACAGCAACAATATCCTCTTTGGTATCTGTATTTGTTGAATGAGTAGGAGCCAAGACACCTTTGTGGAAATTTCTTTTTCTAAGGAGCTTGGTATTTGGTTTATACACGTGTGTACCATGGGCTCTTTGTATGTTGTTTAAAGGTATTTCATGATGACGAATGGTCACTTTTGTTGTAAGTTCTCATCATATGTTTGCCCTCCTGCCCTTATTCTTCTCTTACTGACTAACAGCAAAGGGTAATGTGTGGAATGTCAGAAGACTTTGTTTACTCTTTTTTTTTTTTTTTTTTTTTTTGCCCTTTTTTTAGAAACAACTTAGTACTTTACTGACTAGTCTTGGTAAACAAGTGACTGTACAGGGTAAGAGAAGTCATTATAGTTGTGCTTTTCATGAATGCGTGCAGTGTACTAGTTGCTCCTTTTAGAGAATCATTCCCCAAATTTCTTTGCTTTTAAAAAAAATTCATCTAAGAGCTGGGCATGTTGGCTCACGCCTGTAATCCCAGCACTTTGGGAGGTGGAGTTGGGCAGATCACTGGAGGCCAGGAGTTCGAGACCAGCCTGGCCAAACCCCGTCTTTACTAAAAATAGAAAAATTAGCTGGGCATGGTGGTGCATGCCTGTAATCCCAGCTACTTGGGAGGTTGAGGCAGGAGAATCACTTGAAACCGGGAGGCGGAGGTTACAGTGAGTCAAGATAATTGTCACTGCACTCCAGCCTAGGTGACAGAATGAGACTGTCCCCTCCCCCCCCCAAAAAAAGTTATTCTAGAGAACATTCTCCAAGTTTAACGTGTTTATAAATATAGTATTTTTCCTATTGAGGTTTTTGTATATATTGCTGTTATTACACATTATTCTCTGTGTATGCTTTAAAATTGCCATTTTATTAAAGATGTTTCTAATAATAGTTTTTCATATTCTTTTTATAGTACTTTGCCAGACCTTTATCAAAATGGGACTGCTGTCTTCTTTCACTTGTAGTGACGAGTTTAGCTCATTGAGACTACATCACAACAGAGCTATTACTCACCTAATGAGGTCCGCTAAAGAGAGAGTTCGTCAGGTAAGCCCTAAAAAATGTGCTTTGGGTATGATAAAAATATCCTTTAATTTTAAGAGAACATATTTTAAAGCACTATGTAATTCTAATTATAAAACAAGGTTTTAAAAGTATAAACTCTAGGCCAGGAGTGGTGACTCATGCCTATAATCCCAGCACTTTGGGAGGCTGAGATGGGAGGATCATTTGAGGCCAGGAGTTCAAGACTGCAGTGAGCCATGATCGTGCCTCTGCACTCCAGCCTGAGCAACAGAGTGAGAATCTGCCTAAAAAAAAAAAAGAGAGAGAGAGAGAGAGGAGAGGCAAAGGAGAGGGCATAGATGGACTGGGATCTTGAGATGATTTTATTGTTTTTGTTTTGTTTTGTTTTGTTTTGTTTTGAAACAGAGTCTTGCACTATCATCCGGGCTGGAGTGCAGTGGCGCAATCTTGGCTCATTGCAATCTCTGCCTCCCAGTTTCAAGCGATTCTCCTGCCTTAGCCTCCCAAGTAGCTGGGACTACAGGCACCTGCCACCATGCCTAACTACTTTTTTATATTTTTAGTAGAGACAGGGTTTCTTCATGTTGGCCAGGCTGGTCTCAAACTCCTGACCTCGTGATTTGCCTGCCTCGGCCTCCCAAGTGCTAGGAGTACAGGCATGAGCCACCGCGCCCTGCCTTATTTATGGTTTTTACTTAGTAAGATAGGAGGTGGTACAGGATTTTGATTAGAGGAGTGACACAATCTGACTGACATTTTAGCAGGGTCACCCTGGCTGCTGTGGTGAGAATGAACTGAGGGGGCACAGGCAGAAGCAGGGTGCCAGGTGCCACCATACACGCAAGAGAGGTGGGCGGGCAGGACGGGTGGGGAGCTCCTGCATGGATTTTGAAGGTGATGTCAGTCTTGTCTGCTTCCTGGTCAATTCTCAGCTTTGAAATATTTTCATTTGTGGCCGGGCGTGGTGGCTCAAGCCTGTAATCCCAGCACTTTGGGAGGCCGAGACGGGTGGATCACGAGGTCAGGAGATCGAGACCATCCTGGCTAACACGGTGAAACCCCGTCTCTACTAAAAATACAAAAAACTAGCCGGGCGAGGTGGCGGGCGCCTGTAGTCCCAGCTACACGGGAGGCTGAGGCAGGAGAATGGCGTAAACCCGGGAGGCAGAGCTTGCAGTGAGCTGAGATCCAGCCACTGCACTCCAGCCTGGGCGACAGAGCGAGACTCCGTCTCAAAAAAAAAAAAAAAAAAAAGAAATATTTTCATTTGTAAACTCTTAAGTAATGCTGAAAAAGCCAATGGTTTTTTAAATACTGTTTGTGTATTTGGGGTTGTTAATGTAATACTGAATTTTGATAGATTCTTTATTCCATGCAAGTTTTCCAAATGCTTTTAAAAAACAATTTTTTAATTGTAGGATCCCTGTGAGGATGTTTCTCATATTCAGAAAATCAGGTATGTGTGAGAAACTTTCTTGATTATGCAGACTATTGAAAAGAAATCAGTATCAAGAAAATAGTGGTTTGAGGTTAAAACATAATATCGTTAGTATTGTTTATGAACATGAAACACTTGGTTCTCAGCAACTGAGTACTGCTCCAAGACTTACTTTGCTTCTCATTCCCCCCTCTTTGATCCTCTGCCTTTCAGCATTTAGTGTGGATTCCATGGTCACACTCTTAATTCAGATTTCTGATACCCAGGCTCTGCTGGGGGACCATTGAATTTTGGCTAGTTTAAATACTACTTTAAAATCTAACTGGTCTGACCTGAATATTCATCAGCTCATTAATAGATAAGCATGTGGTCTATCCCTGCACTAAAGTGTTATTCATCTATTAAAAGGAATGAAGTACTGATTCATGCTACAATATAGATGAATCTTGAAAACATGCTACGTAAAAACAGCCAGTCATAAAAGGCCACATATTGTGTGATTTCATTTCTATGAAATGTCCAGAGTAGGTGAATCCATGGAGACGTAAATAGTGGTTTTATGTGGGGTGGTGGGTAAATAGTGGGGTAAGGGAAGGATGGGGAGTGAAAGCCAATGGATATAGGGTTTATTTTGGGGGTGATGGAAATACTCTGAAATTAGGTGGCAGTGATGGTTGCACAACTCTATGTACTAAAAACCACTAAATTGTACATTCGAGAGAGGTGAATTTGACAATAGGTGAATTATAGCTTGACAAAAATAAAGCACTGTACATTAAAAAAAAATCTAACTGGTCTACATCATTAAGAAATTTAAGTAGCTGCGTGTGGTGGCGCATACCTGTAGTCCCAGCCACTCGGGAGGCTGAGGCAGGAGGATTGCTTGAGCCCAGGAGTCCTGGGCTATAGTGCACTATGCCAGTCTGATGTCCGCATAAAGTTTGGCATAGTGTGGTGACCTTGACTTCCCTGGAGCAAGGGACCACCAGGTTGCCTAAGGAGGAGTGAACTAGCTCAGGTTGGAAACAGAGTAGGTCAGTACTCTGGTGCTGCTTAGTAGCAGGATCACACCTGGGAATAGCCACTGCAGTCTAGCCTGGGCAACATAGCTAGACCCTGTCTTAGAAGAAAAAGAAATAAAAAATACATTTCAGTGATTTTTTTTTTTTCTTTTTTTGAGACGAAGTCTTTCTCTGTCACCCAGGCTGGAATACAGTGGCACAACCTTGGCTCACTGCAACCTCCGCCTCCTGGGTTCAAGCAGTTCTCCTGCCTCAGCCTCCCGAGTAGCTGGGATTACAGGAACCCACCACCACACCTGGCTAATTTTTGAATTATTACTAGAGACGGGGTTTCACCATGTTGGCCAGGCTGGTTTTGAACTCCTGACCTCATGATTCACCCTCCTCGGCCTCCCAAAGTGCTAGGATTACAGGCGTGAGCCACCATGCCCAGCTGAAATTTCAGTAAATTTATTTCTGAGCTTAGCTAACCAACTGCTGGCTGTTAGTGATTCTTAGGATTTCTGCTGTACAACCCTGGTAATGATTTCTACTTGGAATACCAGTTACTGGTAAAACACTTGATTGTGTTTTCTTCATAGGGATGAAAAATTTCATTTTAGCCCATCCTTTCCAAATCAGCACAACTTAGTGATACATGAGGTTTGTGAGGTTAGTTATCCCGTGAGCATGAAGTATCCTGGAACGTTTTGATTCTCTCACGTTTTAATATTGATTGATTGTATTTAACTTTCAGATCAAGGGAAGTAGCCTTTGAAGCACAGACTTCACGTTACTTAAATGAATTTGAAGAAGTTGCCATCTTAGGAAAAGGTGGATACGGAAGAGTATACAAGGTAGTCTTCCACGTACTTGTTTTGACCTAGTACCCTAAATAATTGTATTTTGAGACATTGTTTTCATTATTCTTTTATTTATTTATTTATTGTGAGACGGAGTCTCGCTTTGTCGCCAGGCTGGAGTGCAGCGGCGCAGTCTCAGCTCACTGCAACCTCCGACTCCCTGGTTCAAGCTATTCTCCAGCCTCAGCCTCCTGAGTAGCTGGGATTACAGGCATGCGCCACTACACCCAGCTAATTTTTGTATTTTTAATAGAGACGGGATTTCACCATGTTGGCCAGGATAGTCTTGATCTCCTGACCTCGTGATCCACCCACCTCAGCCTTCCAAAGGGCTGGCATTACAAGTGTGAGCCACCGTGCTTGGCCTGTTTTCATTATTATTATATGAAGTACTCAAAGGAAAATTCCAAGAAATCACGTATATTTACTTTTCTTTAACATTTGTCATTTACGGGGAAGTGCGCAGGTTGTAATGTTTTCCTAACTGTGTTGATTCTTTACGTGGGTTTTGGAAACTTTGAATTTTTGACCTATAGTTAATTTTAATTAAAAATGTGTTACTAAAAAAAGTTGTGCTACTGTGTTTTGAGCTTGCATAGACCTTTTGCTAACATTCCCGTTCTTCAGCCGAGAGCTTCTTCGGAGCTACACTCCCAACACTATCTGAAAAGCTCTTGATCTGGCTGACTTCCCTGAACATAGTAAGGAGACATGTCTTTAGCTATATTTTAACTCTTTGGCTAGTTTGGATTGTTTAAGCTCAGATTAAAAGAACTTCTTTATTCAGTTAAAGTTGAATGACACAATATACTTTGTCTTTTCTTCTACTTTTCAGGTCAGGAATAAATTAGATGGTCAGTATTATGCAATAAAAAAGATCCTGATTAAGGGTGCAACTAAAACAGATTGCATGAAGGTATGATTTTTAAAAATTACTTATTTTGAATAATTGTGTATTTAGTTCTTTTTGAAAGAGTTATACATGTATGTGTGTATATTTGGCAAAAATAGGCAGTGTGGAATTTCCAGTTTACTAGGAACGGGGTTACAGTAAAGTACCAAAATTAAATTATTATTATTATTATTTGAGATGGAGTTTCGCTCTTTTGCCCAGGTTGGAGTGAAGTGGCGTGATCTCGGCTCACTGCAACCTCCGCCCCCCTGGGTTCAAGGATTCTCCTGCCTCCCAAGTAGCTGAGATTATAGGTGCCTGCCACCATGCCTGTTTAATTTGTGTGTGTGTGTGTGTATATATATATATATAATTTTTAAAATATATTTCTTAAAATAAATGATTGATATATAATATAGCTAGTTATGAAAAAACAGGAGCCCAGTTCCAGTTCAGTCTTCTCTCTGACATGCTGTGTGGTTCTGGATGAGTTGCCCAGTCCTCTGAGCCATTTCTGTCACCTGCCCTGAAATAGTAGTGACAGTATTGATTTTACTTACCTTGGAGGACTGGGGTAGGAATCAAAAGAGAGAATGGTGATAAGTGTGCCATAAAAAGTGTAAAGTACTATATAAATATGTTATTTAGTTGCTATAACAATTACCATTTGTCTCTCAAAAATATTTCCATTATATTGGCCGGGTGCAGTGGCTCACGCCTGCAATCCCAGCACTCTGGGGGGCCGAGGCAGACAGATCACTTGAGGCCAGGAGTGTGAGACCAGCCTGGCCAACATGGCACAACCATGTCTCTACTAAAAACACAAAAATTAGCGGGGTGTGGTAGTGCATGCTTGTAATCCCAGCTACTCGGGAGGCTGAAGCACGAGAATGACTTGAACCTAGCAAGACTTGAACCCAGCAAGCAGAGGTTGCAGTGAGCCAAGATGGCACCACTTCACTCCAGCCTGGGCAATAGAGCGAGACAATGTCTCAAAAAAAAAAAAAAAGATTCCATTATTTTAACATAATGTAGATGCCTTGTACAGAGGAGTTTTCATTACAGATGCTCCTCCATCTTATGATGGGATTATGTCCTGATAAACCCATCATAAGTTGAAAATATTGTAAACTGGAGACGGAGTTTCGCTCTGTCGCCCAGGCTGGAGTGCAGTGGCGAGATCTTGGCTCACTGCAGGCTCCGCCTCCTGGGTTCACGCCATGGAGATGTATTTTAATATGCATAACCTACCGAACTTTGTAGCTTACCCTGCCTACCTTAAATGTGCTCCAAACACTTACATCACTCAATAGTTGGACAGAATCATCTAGCACAAAGCCTATTTTATAATAAAATACCACATATCTCATGCACCGCATATTGCAAGCCAGGGAAAAGATCAAAATTCAAAGTATGTCAAAAATTGTGATGTCTTCACACCATTGTAAGTCAGGGGCCGTCTGTATTTTGCTCTGGAACAAGAAGTATTGCATAAACATTTAACAAGTTATCAGCAAAAGGCAGATCTAATTCCATTTCTTTTCTAGGTCCTACGGGAAGTGAAGGTGCTGGCAGGTCTTCAGCACCCCAATATCGTTGGCTATCACACTGCGTGGATAGAACATGTTCACGTGATTCAGCCACGAGGTAAGCCGTTTTTGATGATGTGGTAGTTGAAGCATTGGCAAACTTCAGCCCGTGGACTAAATCTGGCCTGCCCTTGTTTTTGTACATACCACAAGGTGAGAATGGTTTTAACATTTATTTTTATTTTTGTTTTTTCCGAGATGGAGTCTCGCTCTGTTGCCCATGCTGGAGTGCAGTGGCATGATCTCGGCTCACTGCAACCGCTGCTTCCCGGGTTCATGCCATTCTTCTGCCTTAGCCTCCTGAATAGCTGGGGCTACAGGCACCCGCCACCACGCTTGGCTAATTTTTTTTTTTTTTTTTTTTTGTAGTTTTTAGTAGAAATGGGTTTCACCGTGTTGGCCAGGATGATCTCAATCTCCTGACCTCGTGATCTGCCTGCCTCGGCCTCCCAAAGTGCTGAGGTTACAGGCGTGAGCCACCGTGCCCAGCCAGTTTTTATATTTTTAAACATTTAAACAAAATCAAAAGCTTTTGTGAAATTAATTTGTGAAATTAATTTCTGTTTTTGAGACAGAGTCTCGCTCTGTCACCCAGGCTGGAGTGTAGTGGCGTGATCTTTGCTCACTGCAACCTCCACCTCCTGGGCTTATGTGATTACTCTGCCTCAGCCTCCTGAGTAGCTGGGATTATATGTGTGCGCCACCACGCCTGGCTAATTTTTGTATTTTTACTAGAGATGGGGTTTCACCATGTTGCCCAAGCTGGTCTCGAACTCTTCACCTCGAGTGATCCATGTGCCTCGGTCTCCCAAAGTGCTGGGACTATAGGCATGAGCCTCTGTGCCTGGCCCAAAATTTAAATGTCAATAAATAAAGCTTATTAGAACACAGGCTCATTCATTTATATATTGTCTATGGCTGCTTTTTACATTTATATTTAGCTGGGGATGGTGGCTTATGCCTATAATCCCAATACTTTGGGAGGCCGAGGCAGGCAGATCACAAGGTCAGGAGTTCGAGACCAGCCTGGCCAATATGGTGAAACCCCATCTCTAATAAAAATACAAAAATGATCTGGGCATGGTGGTGAGGACCTGTAGTCCCAGCTACTCAGGAGACTGAGGCAGGAGAATCACTTGAACCCGGGAGGTGGAGGTTGCAGTGAGCTGAGATCATGCCACTACACTCCACCCTGGGTGACAGAGCGAGAATCTGTATCAAAAAAAAAAAAATAATAATTTTGTTTTAAAAATAGAGATCAGGAATCTCACTATATTGTGCATGCTGTTGTTAAACACCTGAGCTCAAGTGATCCTTGAGCCTTGGCCTCCCAAAGAGTTGGGATTACAGGCATGAGCCACTGGGCCTATGGCTGCTTTTATACCATAACAGAATTGATCAGTTACAGCAGGGTCCCAGAGGGCCCTAAAACCTAAAATATTTACTATCAAGCCGTCTGTCATGTTTGCCGACCTCTAGTGTGGTTGCATGGCTTTGTTTTGATGGTTCCTAACATGTGCCATTTGAATAAACTTTTTGTATTTTGCCAGAAGGTCATGACAGTTTTAGACTTATAGTCTCATTTGACACAGTTTGTATATTTTAACTCAGTCTTTGACTACAAATTGAAAAACTGGGCTGTTTGAACATGATTGTTTGTTTTTGTGCAGCAGACAGAGCTGCCATTGAGTTGCCAACTCTGGAAGTGCTCTCCGACCAGGAAGAGGACAGGTATGTGAACTGGTGTGTCCTGTTATATATTAGGATGTTACCTCTTGTCACCTGCATTGGGTTTGTGTGTGTGTGTGTGTGTGTGTGTGTGTGTGGCACAGTCTCACTCTGTTGCCCAGACTAGATTGCAGTGGCACAATCTCGGCTCACTGCAGCCTTCGCCTCCTGTGTTCCAGCGATTCTCCTGCCTCAGCTTCCCGAGTAGCTGGGACTATAGGCGCCCACCAGCACACCTGGTTAATTTTTTGTATTTTTAGTAGACACAGGGTTTCACCATGTTAGCCAGGGTGGTCTTGATCTCCTGAACTTGTGATGCGCCTGCCTCGGCCTCCCACAGTGCTGGGATTACAGGTGTGAACCATCGCGCCTGGCCTGCATTGAGCTATCTTTGTCTTTTGCTACAAGGACCTCAGGAGGAGTGTTTTCGACTTTGCTTATTTTCATTACAAAATGTTAAATTATTTCTTCCTTTCAGATATTTCCTGTCAGTAGGTTTTTTTTTTTTTTTTTTTTGAGATGGATTCTTGCTCTATTGCCCAGGCTGGAGTACAGTGACGTGATCTCAGCTCACTGCAAGCTCTGCCTCCCAGGTTCAAGCGATCCTCCTGACTTAGCTTCCCCAGTAGCTGGGATTATAGACCTGCACCACTATGCCTGGCTAAGTTTTATAGTTTTAGTAGAGACGGGGTTTCACCATATTGGCCAGGCTGGTCTCGAACTCCTGAACTCAGGTGATCTGCCTGCCTTAGCCTCCCAAAGTGCTGGGATTACAGGTGTGAGCCACTGCGCCTGGCCTGTTTTTTATTATTTTTGTTGAGACAGGGTCTTGATCTTTCGCCCAGGCTGGAGTGAAGTGGTATGATCTCAGCTCACTGCAGCCTCCAACTCCTAGACTCAAACAATCCTCCCACCTTAGCTGCCTGAGTAGCTGGGACTACAGGCTTGTGCCACCATGTCTGGCTAATTTTTGTGTTTTTTGTAGAGATGGGGTTTTGCCATGGTGCTCAGGCTAGCCTCCAACTCCTGGCTCAAGTGATCCTCCTGCCTTGGCCTACCGAAGTGTTGGGATTACAGGCGTGAGCCACTCTGCCAGACCTGTACATTGACTTTTTTTTTTTTTTTTTTGAGACAGAGTCTCACTCTGTTGGCCAGGCTGGAGTGCAGTGGCGCGATCTCGGCTCACTGCAACTTCTGCCTCCCAGGTTCAAGTGATACTCTTGCCTCAGCCTTCTGAGTAGCTGGGACTCTAGGTGCCTGCCACCACGCCCAGCCAATTTTTGTATTTTTTAGTAGAAACGACGTTTCACCATATTGGCCAGGCTGGTCTCGAACTTCTGACCTCGTGATCTGCCTGCCTTGGCCATCCAAAGTGGTGAGATTACAGGCGTGAGCCACTGCACCTGGCCAACTTTTTTTTTTTTTTTTGGAGACGGAGTCTCACTCACTTCGTCGCCCAGGCTGGAGTACAGTGGCACGATCTCGGCTCACTGCAACCTCCACCTCCTGGGTTCAAGTCATTTTCCTGCCTCAGCCTTCCCAGTAGCTGGGATTACAGGCGTATGCCACTATACCCGGCTAATTTTTGTATTTTTTAGTTGAGATGGGGTTTTACCATGTTGAGTAGGCTGGTCTCTAACTCCTGACCTTAAGTGATCCGCCTGCCTCGGCCTCCCAAAGTGTGGGATTACAGGCATGAGCCCCTGCGCTCAGCCCATTGACTTTTATGTTTACTATTTTTTTTTTTTCAGAGACCAATATGGTGTTAAAAATGATGAAAGTAGCGGCTCATCCATTGTCTTTGCTGAACCCACCCCAGAAAAAGGAAAACGCTTTGGAGAATCTGACACTGAAAATCAGAATAACAAGTCGGTGAAGTATACCACCAGTTTAGTCATAAGAGACTCCGGTGAACTTGAGTCAACCCTGGAGCTCCAGAAAAATGACTTGGCTGGTTTGTCTACCAGTTCAATTATGGAACAGCAGCTGCCACTCAGGCGTAATTCCCACCTAGAGGATAGTTTCACATCCACTGAAGAATCTTCCGAAGAAAATGTCAACTTTTTGGGTCAGACAGAGGTAGATTACTTTCCCAGACCTTCCTAGTTTGTCCAGTAGTGATTGTATTGAGGACTGTGCAGGTGTGTGGCCTTCTCTCACCCACTCTCAGCTCCGGCACTTCTGCCCTGCGTTCAGTCTCTTGTACTGGCCACGTTCCCCTTGCCATGTGGCCTTTGTGTTTGGTTCTCCCTTCTTCACTTAGTTAACTCCTCCACATCCTTTTCTGGCCTCGCCCCTGGCCATTTTCAGCTCCAGATCATCTTGAGTGTGTACCCTGGAGTTAGCGGCCTCACTCACACTCTGTTTCTGTTGTATGTTAGCATCATGCTATAAAGATACATTTATGCAAAAAGATTTTGTAGCATGACTCTAGGTGGGTCCCAGTAGGATTACCAGATCAGTATTCAGGATACTCTTTTTCGTTTTAAAATTAATTTAATTTTAATTGTAGTTTTCAGGATGCTCTTGTTGAGGGTTATACTGATACAACCCTCCTTTCATGGTCATGCTGCCACCATGCTTTCACCAGTATTTTAAGTAGTAATATTAAAACCATGAACATTGGGCTGGGTGTGGTGGCTCACGCCTATAATCTCAGCAGTTTGGGAGGCCGAGGAGGGCAGATCACCTGAGATCAGGAGTTTGCGACCAGCCTGGCCAACAAGGTGAAACCTCGTCTCTACTAAAAATACAACAATTAGCCAGGTGTGATGGTGTGTGCCTGTAGTCCCAGCTACTCAGGAGGCTGAGGCAGGAGAATCGCTTGAACCTGGGAGGTGGAAGTTGCAGTGAGCCAAGATTGCGCCACTGCACTCTAGCCTGGGTGACAAGAGCACGACTCTGTTTCTAAATAAATAAATAAATAAATAAATAAATAAATAAAACTAAAAACATGAAAATTAACAGGGTCTACACATAATCTGTCTTGTTAGGATTATAAAACTGTGTATACTATCTACATAGACACAGTGCAGAATTAATTCTTGTCCTGGAATATGTGTTTCTGAGCCTGTGTTTTTTTTTTTTTTTGAGACAAAGTTTTGCTCTTGTCATCCAGGCTGGAGTACAGTGGCATGATCTCAGCTCGTTGCAACCTCTGCCTCTTGGGTTCAAGCAATTCTCCTGCCTCAGCCTCCCGAGTAGCTGGGATTACAGGCACCCACCACCTCGACCAGCTAATTTTTTGTATTTTTAGTAGAGATGGGGTTTCACCATATTGGCCAGGCTGGTCTTGAACTCCTGACCTCAGGTGATCCGCCCACCTCAGCCTCCCAGAGTGCTGGGATTACAGGCATAAGCCACTGCACACGACCAAGCCTGTGCTTTTATTTTATTTATTTATTTTTTTGGAGACGGAGTCTCGCTCTGTCGCCCAGGCTGGAGTGCAGTGGTGGGATCCCTGCTCACTGCAACCTCCACCTCCCAGGTTCAAGCGCTTCTCCTGCCTCAGCTTGCTGAGTAGCTGGGACTACAGGCGCCTGCTACCATGCTTGGCTAATTTTTTTGTATTTCTAGTAGAGACGAGGTTTCACTATGTTGATCAGGCTGGTCTCAAACTCCTGACCTCATGATCTGCCCGCCTTGGCTGTCCAAAGTGCTGGGATTACAGGTGTGAGCCACCGCGCCTGGCTGAGTCTGTGCTTTTTTATGAAACATAGAACTTTGAACACTTTCACCTGAATCTGGATGATTTGAGTTTGGGGGACTTTTCATCAGAATTGATTCATTTCTCTGTATTTTATTTGGAAAATTTTGTTAGATGCCTCAGTCAGATGGTATATACAGTGGGCTACAGTAAGCTTAATGTTTGCTTACCTTTTTATTGAATAAGTTATTAGTTGTGTACAATGTGAAGCCAGACAAAGTATATATACTTTGTAGAAATATATAGAGTAGTAGAATATCATACAGCCATTCTTTGTTGCTTTCTCTTAGCTTTAAAACCTGTTTATGTAGCAAGCAGCCCCGTTTCAGGACCAGTTACTCCGGGTCACAGTTGAGAGTTTCTGCCACTGGACTCCTGCCTGACTTCAGCCTGGCCCCCCCCTTCTGCTGGTATTACAACACCCTGTTTTAATTATCGCTCTCCTTATCTGTTGCTTTCATTAGACTTTGGCCTTCTTGGGTGGGCCTGTGTCCTCAGCAGTTCTGTCTTGCAAAGGGAAGTCCACACAGGTTAAATGACTTCCCTAGAGGCCTACTATCTTGGCCCAGAATAGGCAGATGAGTATTTGTTGGCTAGATGAATAATGCGAGTGAATCGTGCAAAGATGGGAGCCGGCACTACCTCCTCTCCTAGGCCCAGTACCACCTGATGCTGCACATCCAGATGCAGCTGTGTGAGCTCTCGCTGTGGGACTGGATAGCCGAGAGAAACAAGCGCAGCCGGGAGTGTGTGGACGAGTCTGCCTGTGAGTACCATCTGGGTCTGCCGGGCCAGGAAATAGACACAGTCACATCTTCCCCATCTCATGTAGGAGTTGCCTCCAGGTGCTTTGTGTTTCTTTTTTATTTATTTTGTTTTATTTTTTGAGACAGAGCCTTGCTCTGTTTGTTGCTCAGGCAGGAGTGCAGTGGTGCATTCACTGCTCCCTATAGCCTCGGCCTCCCTGGCTCAAGCGATCCTCCCACCTCAGCCTCCTGAGTAGCTGGGACTACAGGTGCATGCCACTATGTCTGGCTGATTTTGAAAAAAAAAATTTTGTAGAGACAAGGTCTCATTATCCTGCCCAGGCTGGTCTCCAGCTCCTGATCTCAAGCAATCCTCCTGTCCCCACCTCCCAGAGTGCTGAGATTATGGGCATGAGCCTCTGCGCTTGGCCAGAATTTTTTGTTTACCAATTTTTGTGTGAGTCCTATAAAACCTCTCCATCCTCTAAATGTATGTCATCATATTAATAGATGAATTAATGTACTTACATTTTTGCGGCCATATGCCGTGTCATTTTTGGAAAGTGAGGCATTCCAGATGATTGACTCGTACTCCTGGAGCTAACATATTCTATCTTTTTTCTTACTCCATTATTTGTAATAATATCTTTAATCCTCTGTGGGCTAGGATACCAGATTTATTAGCATTAAATCCCAGAATGTCAAGAGTTGAAGGGAACTTAAACTTTATCAAATCTAGTTGCCTGATACCCAAGAATTATGTAAAAAGTCATCAATACAGGGGAGGGCTCTGAGTGAAGTTAGAGGTACTTTCTTTCTGGTTGACAGAGTCCATCAACTGTTCAGTGCTGCTTTGTGATGGTTTGTTTGCTAGCTGAGGAAGCCTTTGTGCTTATTTCTAGGTTTTAGACCATTCTGCCTTGACTTTGTTGAAAATCTGATTGTTCTTAAGTGTCAGATATTAATGTATTTAGAATGACATTAATATTTAAATGCCAATGTAATAAGTAAAGAAATTACAGAAATAAAACTGGTTTTTTTACTTCAAGGTCCTTATGTTATGGCCAATGTTGCAACAAAAATTTTTCAAGAATTGGTAGAAGGTGTGTTTTACATACATAACATGGGAATTGTGCATCGAGATCTGAAGGTAAGTGGGGGCGATGAAATCATTGAAAGCAGTGGTAGCTTTGTATCAGGGATGACTTGATGATGGTTCATTGAATTAAATAAGATTACATGTCCTAGTTCATTTGTTTAGGAGGTTATAATTACTGTCAGACAAATCATTGTTCGATAGATCCAGAGTGAGAAAACATTAGGTTGAAATTTTTTTTTTTTTTGAGACAGCGTCTCGCTCTGTCACCCACGCTGGAGCGCAGTAGCGCGATGCCTAGGCTCCAATGCCTAGGCTCACGCGATCCTCCCACCTCGGCCTCTCTGGTAGCTGAGACTACAGGCATGCCCAGCTAATTTTTAAATTTCTTTTTTTGAGATGGAGTCTCGCTCTGTTGCCCAGGCTGGAGTGCAGTGGCACAATTTCGACTTACTGCAAGCTCTGCCTCCCGGGTTCACACCATTTTCCTGCCTCAGCCTCCCAAGTAGCTGGGACTACAGGCGCCCGCCACCACGCCCAGATAATTTTTTGTATTTTTAGTAGAGACGGGGTTTCACCGTGTTAGCCAGGATGGTCTCGATCTCCTGACCTCATGATTCGCCCGCCTCGGCCTCCCAAAGTGCTGGGATTACAGGCGTGAGCCACCGTGCCTGGCCAATTTTTTTGTAGAGATAGAGTTTTGCTATGTTGCCCAGGTTGATCTTGAACTCCTGGGCTCAAGTGATCCTCCCATCTCGACCTCCCAAAGTGCTGGTATTGCAGGTGTGAGCCACCGCACTTGGTTGTAAGTTGACTTTTTTAAAGTAGTAATTTTTGGGTATTTGAAAATCCTCTGTGGAGTATGAGTACTTTTTTTCAGGTAGTAAGTGTGCTCTGAGTACTGATAAAATCAGTGGTGCTAAATGTTACTTAGTGCTGACAGAAATACTCATTTATTGTTGCAGACTTAGAGGTAAACTCTATAATTACTCATCTTAAAGTTTAACAAAATGGGAAGTTTTTTTTTTTGTTTTTTTGTTTTTTGCTGTTTTAAAAAAGTCTGTAATGACTATTTGGTTTTTATCCACAAAAGACTATCAAGAAAGAGAGAAAATACATTTGTGTCTTTGGCTGAAGAGATTGACATTAATTTGCTTACTTTTCAGCCCGAAGTTAAATCATGGAAAGGGCATGAAAAAACAAATCTAGGAACAAAAATGTTAGTAGGCAAATCACTTTATTTTTTGGAAAGTGTTCAAGAACCAGTAGTTTGTACATTTGGGATGTCAAAGGTGATAGATTAAGCATTTTCTGGGACATGTCTAGCCAGAAAATGCAGTTTGAGTGGCTGGAAGTCCCTGCTGCTGTGAAGCTGGGAGGTCTTGTTTCAGGAGGTATGCCAGGTCGTAACAGCAGTAGACCGAATTCCATATCGTCACCGGGAGAAGTTGCTTCAAGTGCTGTTTGTATTTCTCCCCGTAAATATTCCTGATGTTTCTTTTGCAGATACCCTGTAGGGATAAAGGTTTTTGCGATTGCTTTATTAGGGTGTCCCTTAAGAGGCGGAATTCTGGTAGCATGATTCCTGCAGGGAGAATTCCTTGGTTATTGGTCATTCTCAGAGGATAAGTGTGATAAAGTAGCCTGGCCAGAAGTGCCGTATCTCTTACATTGAAACTGCGCTGAAGGTACATATAAATTGGAGATTCCCCGTTTCTTGTTAAAATGTTCACATTTGCTTCAAAGTCAAGCAGGAGATTGATGATGGCCTCTCTGCCTCCAAAGCATGCCTCGTGGATGGCTGTTTGGCCTTTGTAGTCCTGGGCGTTGACTGTGGCTCCGTGAGTGAGCAGCAGACGGATGCAGTTGACCCCCGCCCCGAGCAGTCGGCCTGCTTTGCTTGATGCGGTGCACACTGCAAGCTTCAGGGGCGTGTTTCCCGTGGAAGAGACAGCACAGTTGACGTTTGCTCCACAGGCAATGAGCATTTCCATCATCTCCTTATTCAGCATGTTTGCAGCCATGTGAAGGGGCGTCATGCTGGCTTCATTAATAGCATTGACATCGGCACCATTTTGGGCCAAAATGGAGAGAACTGGATAGCAACCATATGCTATGGCCAGGTGGAGTGGTGAACGTTTGTTGCTTTCCCCTTGAGCATTAACTTGAGCCCCGTGTGCACACAGGATGCGGAGACACGTGATGGCGTTATTCTGAATGTCTGTCAGGATCCTGTGCATTCTGTTGCCTGGTTTTGCCCACGTGGTGGAAGTGACTGGCCAGTGCAGTAGTATTAAGTTGAGTGTGGTGAGGCCTGTCGTGTCCCTAGAATGGGTATTGATTACACGTTACACTGAATTCACAGTGGGAATGGCTCTACGTGAACAGTTAATGCTTAAGAAGCCAATATTTATTTGAAGTCAGACCCTTTAGTTACCTTAAGGATGTGTTTCACAATCTGTATTGCTGAGTAGTTTCTCGCTATCCCAGGGTTTTTCGGGGGATGTGGTGGGATGTATCCCTATACGATGGGGCCTAGCTTCATTTTTTATATACATAAATTTTTTTTTTTTGAAAAATTCTTTTCACTTTTCTACAATGTTGTGAAGGAGGCCCAGCTTCTTGGAGCGGCCTATTTTTACCCGTGCTGCCCCCACTAGGGCTGTGTCCCTCCAAGGCTGTATCTTAGTGATTTCTGCAGCCTGGCACCTCACATAGTGCTGGGCTGGGTTACTGGCTTTCCGTGAAATTGTGTGGACTTGAGTGTGATCTGTTATCACCATAGAAGTGAGCTGTGAAGGCCCAGACTCCTGTTGACTCCTTTCTTAGTGGCTCTGTCTCTGCTCTCCTACCTGACATTTTTATGCCTGAGTGTGTAGGGAGCAGAAGAAGTGACAGGGGTTGAATCTGAAGACCTGTGGTCATTCCGAAGTTCATTCCCTGCTCCAAGCCAGGTGGAATGAGCATTTTACAACTTGGCCCTCATCGCAGAAGCGCTTCCAAAAATGCCTTTGTTTTGGCAGAGAAAAGGGAAGGTTTATTATGTAAATCTAACTCCTCTGCTGAAATTAGAAAATGATTTCAGTTCACATATATCTGTTCAGCGTGAGGCCCTAGGCTATGGATATGGTGAAACAGCAGGTGGCCCCTACCTTTGTAGGGCTTACAGTCTAGCAGGGAAGATAGACGTGGAACAGTGAAACAGCTCAGTAAATACTGGAAGCCGGCAGAGTTCTAGAGGGGTGCAAAAGCCTCACATACCCTGCGGTATGCAGGGTAGGAAAGGGTCCCCTGAGGAGAATGGGGCGAGTCTGTGATGGTCGAGATGTGGAAGGGACTTCGAGAGGACTTGCAGAGCTGGGGTGGGGTGCTCAGGGAGAGTCTGGGAGCAAGACAGGCGGGTGGGTTCTTCTGGAGCGTGGTAAGGATTTGGGGCAAGAAGTTCTATTATTATTATTATTGGGATGGAGTTTCGCTCTGTCGCCCAGGCTGGAGTACGGTGGCGTGATTTCGGCTCACTGCAGTTGCCGCCTCGTGGGTTCAAGTGATTCTCTTGCCTCAGCCTCCCTAGTAGCTGGGATTACAGGCACCTGCCACCATGCCTGGCTAATTTTTGTATTTTTAGTAGAGATGGGTTTCACCATGTTGGTCAGGCTGGTCTCGAACTCCTGACCTCATGATCCACCCACCTCGGGATCTCGAAGTGCTGGGATTACAGGCGTGAGTCACCGTGCCCAGCCTATATACTACTTAATTTTTTCATTCACTCAGATAGTATTACTGGGCACTTGCTAAGTATCAGGCGTTGATTTGGTTGAGGTGGTGGAGATACAGTGGTGCACAAGGTGAACTTGTCTTTCATGCGACTTACCTTCTAGTGGAGAGTAATAAACAAGAAAATCCATTATCAGCCAGGCACGGTGGCTCACGCCTATAATCCCAGCACTTTGGGAGACTGAGGCGGGTGGATCACGAGGTCAGGAGATTGAGACCATCCTGGCTAACATGGCGAAACCCTGTCTCTACTAAAAATACAAGAAATTAGCCAGGCATGGTGGCGGGTGCCTATAGTCCCAGCTACTTGGGAGGCTGAGGCAGGAGAATGGCATGAACCCGGGAGGCGGAACTTGCAGTGAGCCAAGATTGCGCCACTGCACTCCAGCCTGGGGGACAGAGTGAGACTCTGTCTCAAAAAACAGACAAACAAAAAAGAAAATCTATTGTCTACCTATAGTTTATTTTTCACACCTAACTTTGGTGGTTAAACTTATTGAGGGCCATGGCAAGGACTTTACTGCATTCCTCACACCACCACCATTGAGCACTTAATCCTCAGAATGTGCATTGATTTGGCAAAATGTTTGTGATGTTGGATTTTTCTCAGTGTTTCAGATTATCTCATCTACTCAGTAAAGACATTGGTTCATTCATAACATGATAATGTGTAGTCTATCACCTTGAAGAATGAACAAGTCCAAACCTAAGTGGAAAAAAATGTATGAACTGAAAAAAATCTATATCAGGTATATCCTCACTTAGAAATGATTGCCAGTGAGGCTGGGTGCTGTGGCTGAAGGCTGTAATCCCAGCACTTTGGGAGGCCGAAGCAGGTGGATCACTTGAGGCCAGGAGTTCAAGACCAGCCTGGCCAACATGGTGAAACCCTGTCTCTACTAAAAATACAAAAGTTAGCCATGCATAGTGGTCTACGCCTGTAGTCCCAGCTACTCGGGAGGCTGAGGTGGGAGAAGCTCTTGAACCCAGGAAGTAGAGGTTGCAATGAGGCAAGATTGTGCCACTGCACTCCAGCCTGGGCGAAAGAGCGAGACCCCTGCCTCAAAAAAAAAAAAAAAGAAGAAAAAAAGACATGATTTTCGGTGGAGTTAACTTACCTGACTTCTGGGTCAGCACCATGCCGTAACAGGCAGAGCAGACTCTGGGCCTTGTGGTACTTGGCAGCCAGATGGATGGGGATGATGGACTCTGTCTGCTTTGGAGGGAAAACAAAACACATTACAAGTGGCCCTGTGTAGTTAAAAATACTGTTTGTGTTAGCTTGCCATTTCAAAGGCGATACATTTATTTACTGTCTCATTGGCTCACTCTTTTTCTGGTATGTGCATTGAAAGTTTCCTTTTCTACTACCTGTTTTAAATGATCAAAATTCAGTGGATTCCCTACTATAAAATCTGTGTTTCACAGAAACGCACATTTACTGAGGCAACAGAAATAACACTCGAAAGCTCTGGAAAGTTTTGAAAGTTGATTCTTCCGAAGAGCCTGTGGTGTGATATTAATGGTACTTGCTATGAAGTCACTTAGTCCTTAAATTAACCCACAGGGTGATGGACAAGTAGGTGCCGTGTCATTGCCAAAGTCGTATTATCAGCAGTAAAACCTGAATCTTAAGGATTTTCAAATATAACGCAGCATATGTTCTGTCTATGATTAGTAGAGCTGTTTATGCCAACTCTCTTTTTTTTTTTTTTCTTTTTTTTGAGACAGAGTCTTGCTCTGTCACCCAAGGCTGAAGTGCAGTGGCCGGATCTAAGTTCACTGCAAGCTCCGCCTCCCGGGTTTACACCATTCTCCTGCCTCAGCCTACCGAGTAGCTGGGACTACAGGCGCCCGCCACCTCGCCCGGCTCGTTTTTTGTATTTTTTTTAGTAGAGACGGGGTTTCACCGTGTTAGCCAGGATGGTCTGGATCTCCTGACCTCGTGATCCGCCCGTCTTGGCCTCCCAAAGTGCTGGGATTACAGGCGTGAGCCACCGTGCCCGGCCGCCAACTCCTAAAATACACACATGTAAGTAGTGGTTTTACACCGTGGCTATAAGATAAGACAGTAGGGTAAAAGAGAAGGTGACTTCCTTTTTGAAAAAAAAAATTTAATTGTAAAGGTAATAATCATTTTGTAAAAATTTAGAAACTGAAAATGTATATATTATAAAGGGAAAAACTATTTTTTGTTTGTTTGTTTGAGATGGAGTCTCGCTCTGTCATCCAGGCTAGAGAGTGCAGTGGTACGATCTCGGCTCACTGCAACCTCTGCCTCCTGAGTTCAAGCAATTCTCCTGCCTCAGCCATCTTGAGTAGCTGAGATTACAGGCTCCTGCCCACCGTGCCTGGCTAATTTTTGTATTTTTAGTAGAGACAGGGTTTTGCCATGCTGGCCAGGCTGGTCTCAAACTCCTGACCTCAGGTGATCCACCCACCTCGGCCTTCCAGAGTGCTGGGATCACAGGCGTGAACCACCGCGTCTGGCCGAAAAAGGGAAAAACTAATTTGACCACTCGGAGATGAGCACCATGGGTATGTTTGAGAGGTGATATGAATGGTCTTCCAGCCACGCCGGATGTGGCGTTTTCTCATGTTGGTTTGTGTGTGACATGTGCAGGGGAGGCTTTCAGGGCTTTGGGGAGCACTGCAGTGTGTGGAGTGAGCTGGGGTCGTGCCTCGTCAGGGCTGTGAGCTTAGCAGGTTCACCAGCTTTAGATGATGCTCGTTTCTAAGCAGCCTGACTTTTTTCCAGAAGTGACTGAGCAGGAAAGAGGGTACCTGGCTCAGAAGTAATCTGCCACTGGTGGAGTTGGGCAGAATGGCGATGGGCTGGTTGACAGGGTGATTTCTCAGGAGTACCTCGATCGCAGTGCAGTCTTCTCTCATGATGGCTTCATAGAGTTTCGAGTGAAGTGCTGCGGATGGGCCATCTTCCAGGGACATGGCACTGCCAACCACCAGGTCTCTGCTTCCTTTCCTGGGTATATTCCCCATGAGAAAAACGTGAAGACTTCAGGGGAAAATGTTGTTATGGAACTGGTCAGTTTCAGTCTCTTTATGATGATTCTTTCAGTTTAGTTCTAGAACTGTTCTAGAATTTGTCAAGAACTGTATCTGTGAAGGCAGTCCATCAAAGTTTGGAACCAAGTGTCCAGACTTTGTTCCTTGATCATACAATGTCAAATGTCAGCAGTTTTTAGGGTTTTCTACTCTATCATAAAGACATATCCAAGCTATTATCTTACACCTTTATTTCTGATTTCTCTCCAGTTCAAGTGTAGCTGAAACAATGATCAAAGCTAAAAAAGAGGAATTTATACATTAAAATACAAAGTTAAAATGACTACTTTTAAAGTAAGAAAAGTTTTAACCCAGTTTTTAGTTTTTATTGTAATAGAATCTTCCCTCTCCCCATTACAGGTTCCGTTCTTCTCTGGCATAGGAATAGTTTGAGAGAGGTTTTGGGTCTGCACTCGTTGCTTAAATAAAGCCATTTAGTGTGATTTCTTAGTTCCTAACCCTGGCTAATACATATGAGTTATCTGGGAGCTTTTAAGAAATATTCAAGTTGGCTGGGCGTGGTGGCTTATGCCTGTAATCCCAGCACTTTAGGAGGCCAGGGCAGGCAGAACACGAGGTCAAGAGATTGAAACCATGCTGGCCAACATGGTGAAACCCCGTCTCTACAAATATATTTTGTAAAAATACAAAAATTAGCTGGGAATGGTGACGTGCACCTGTAGTCCCAGCTACTCGGGAGGTTGAGGCAGGAGAATTGCTTGAACCTGAGAGGCGGAGGTTACAGTGAACCAAGATGGCGCCACTGCACTCCAGCCTGGCAACACAGCGAGACTCTGTCTTTAAAAAAAAAAAATCAAAGTTTTTTCATAGTGTAAGAAGCATGCTCACCCATCCAAACCCAAAGAATGAACTTGGAGGCACAAAGAACAGTGAAAGTCAGACTTTTAATAGCAGTCTTGTAAGGTCGTGTGTCTGGTAGGCAGGTACACCCAGGGCAGTTACAACAGGTAATTTATCTCCTAGCGTGCAAGTCGCTACCTTGGTTCCTCATTGGTCAAGGACTACAGGGTTACGATCTTCCCGGAAGTCGCCTGAGTTGCATTATCCCCTTAGAAGGTTATACCCTGGTCCCTGCCCCACTTAAGTTTGGATTTCCCAATAATGGAACTGTCTTCCCTTTTATGGACTGACTTCTCCTTTACATCCTGTTCGCTTATTGTGATCTTCTAGGTGGATGAGCCATGCGGTTTGTTACATTCGCAGGCTAACTGCCAGTGCTTAGATTTATCATGCCTTGAAAAAGCCATTTAAAATGTTTTCTCACACATAGAAAATCACATCTCTGGATGCGACAAGACAGTTCTTTTCCTTTCCTTCCCTTTCCCGTTCCCTTACCTTTTTTTTTTTTTTCTGTCTTTGAGACAGAGCCTCCCTCTGTCGCCCAGGCTGGAGTGCAGTGGTGTGATCTCGGCTTGCTGCAACCTCTGCCTCCCAGGTTCAAGCAGTTCTGCCTCCGCCTCCCGAGTAGCTGGGATTACAGGCATGCACCACCACACCTGGCTAATTTTTGTATTTTTAGTAGAGACGGGGTTTCACCATGTTGGCCAGGCTGGTCTTGAACTCCTGACCTCAGGCGATTCACCCGCCTTGGCCTCCTGAGGTGCTGAGATTACAGGCGTGAGCCACCATGCCCGGCCGAGGACAGTCATTTCTAAGAGCTTCTTGGGTAATGATGTGCAGTAAGGGTTGGGAGGCATTTGTGTACAAAGCATGCTCTACATTAATATTCTCCAAATTTAGAATAGCCTTGGGACTTTTAGTAATACTGATGCTTGCGTCCACCCCCAGGAGTTCTGATGCAGTTGGCCTGGGGAATGGGTTGAATGTTGAGTTTTTGTTTTTTTTTTTTCTTGAGGCGGAGTCTCGCTCTGTCACCCAGGCGGGGGTGCAGTGGTGCGATCTTGGCTCACTGCAACCTCCGCCTCCTGGGTTCAAGTGATTCTCCTCCCTCAGCCTCCTGAGTAGCTGGGACTACAGGCGAGCACCACCATGGCCAGCTAATTTTTGTATTTTTAGTAGAGATGGGGTTTCACCATATTAGCCAGGCTGGTTTTGAACTCTTGACCTCAGGTGATCTACCTGCCTCGGCCTCCCAAAGTGCTGGGTTTACAGGCATGAGCCACCGCGCCTGGCCGAGGTTTTTTTATTTTGAGACGGGGTTTTGCTCTTGTCGCCCAGGCTGGAGTGCAATGGCACAACCTTGGCTCACTGCAGCCTCTGCCTGCTGGGTTCAAGCCATTCTTCTGCCTCAGCCTCCCCAGTAGCTGTGATTACAGGCACATGCCACCACGCCTGACTAATTTTGGATTTTTTAGAGATGGTGTTTCACCATGTTGGCCATGCTTGCCTCGAACTCCTAACCTCAGGTGATCTGCCTGCCTCAGCCTCCCAAAGTGCTGGGATTACAGGCATGAGCCACTGCACCCCGCCGGATGTTGAGATTTTTAAAACTCCTGGATGATTCTGATGTGCAGGCAAATTTGGGAACTATTCCTCAAATATTTAACTTTTGAGGGGCTGCTTGCTCCTGAGTTCCAAACACTTAAAAACATTTACAAGTTTTTACTATTTGTTTTAAGAAAGCCAAGGAGTTGACTTGTTTTGTTTGTTGATAGCCAAGAAATATTTTTCTTCATGGCCCTGATCAGCAAGTAAAAATAGGAGACTTTGGTCTGGCCTGCACAGACATCCTACAGAAGAACACAGACTGGACCAATAGAAACGGGAAGAGTAAGTTTTTGGTTTTGTTTTGTTTTCTTTGCATAAGCAAAAGACATGGTTGCACATGTTAGTATTTAAAGAGAATCATAAAGATTTAATAGCAAAGGTGAGATAAAGATAAAAAGCAACCGTCGTTCCCTTAGGAGCTACACTGCTTGCTCATAGTAAATGTTATTTAATGTTGACAATGCTAACACTGCAATGTTTAATGTGTGGCTTTTGAAATGATAGGAACGCCAACACATACGTCCAGAGTGGGTACTTGTCTGTACGCTTCACCTGAACAGTTGGAAGGATCTGAGTATGATGCCAAGGTAGTATTTGTTGCTTTCTGTTCTTTCATCCAACTTATTTGGCAGTCGTAAATAACAAACAGTACAGGGCCGGGCGCAGTGGCTCACGCCTGTAATCCCAGCACTTTGGGAGGCTGAGGTGGGTGGATCACCAGAGGTCAGGAGTTCAAGACCAGCCTGGTCAACGTGGTGAAACCCCGTCTCTACTAAAAATACAAAAATTAGCTGGGTGTGATGGCACATGCCTGTAGTCCCAGCTACTCTGGAGGCTGAAGCATGAGAATCGTTTGAATCCAGGAGGCGGAGGTTGCAGTGAGCCGAGATTGCACCGTTGCACTCCAGCCTGGATGACAAGATCAAAACTCCGTCTCAAAAAAAGGGAAAAAACACAGTACAATGAAATGCAGGAGCTCTGTCATAGAGATGTTTTTGGAGGTAACCAAGTACTCTAGATTATTAAGTGGCTCAAATCGCCCTAAGAAGCAGCCTCACTTTTCAGTAGAATCTGTGTTGCCTACTTTACCATTTCAAAATCCACAGGTGTCACACATTGTTTTTGTTTGTTCATTTGTTGTTTTTGAGACAGGGTCTTACTCTGTTGCCCAGGTTGGATTGCAGTGGTGTCATCATAGCTCATGGCAGCCCCCAACTCCTGGGCTCAAGTGATCCTCTCACCTCAGCCTCCCGTGTAGCTGTGACTTCAAGAGTTGTGCCGCCACACCCAGCTAATTAAAAAAAAATATATATATATATATTTGTAGAGATGGGGTCTTGCTTTGTCCAGGTTGATCTCAAACTCCTGGCCTCGAATGATTTTCCTCCCTTGGCCTCCCAAGTGCTGGGATTACAGGCATGAACCACTGCGCCTGGCCTAAATCAATTTTGAAATGAGCTTTCCCTTTAAAACATCACTGTTCACCTCAGGAAGCTAGAATTCATGGAAGCCTGTGTTCAGCCTTTCTTCTAATTGTTTTTTTTTTCAGGCTTCGGTGGATAAACGCCAAGGGGAAGCCTGCCCCTTGACTCCCCTTGAAATAGAATGAACATGCTGTAAAGTTTGAATCCCCATTGTTCCTTGAAGAAATGCTAAAATCCATTTTTCAAAACAACAGCCTAGTAAAATTTTCTTCCTTTTGATGGCTCGTTGAGCTTTTTAGTGATTGGGAAGGAGCTGTCAGAAAAAATGCTGGCTGCCCCTAAAATCTTGTCTAGTGAAGACCTTTCTAAAAAAAATCTGTTTTTAGGAGTAGTATCACAGATTTTATGCAGTTTGTTAAATGTCACCAAGGACACTTGGTAAGGAGGCAGAGGTGAGACCAGAGGAGAACCCGTGACCCACTGTGGCTTCCCCGCAGCTGACACTAGCAGGCGTGAGCTCACGTCCCTCTCCCTGGGTCAGGCCTGGATTGTTTCAAGGTGCTGAAGATAGTTGTATGGTCGTGACTGCTGTGGGTGGGGATTATCCCTGCCCTCCACCTGACCATCCATTCTCCGTGCCCACAGATGCCCCTTTTTGGGGTCGTGAAAGTCCCTGTCTCTGATGAGCCATCTTGCTCTGTTCCCTTCCTTGTGGGTGACTGTATATCCTCATTCTTAGAAACCCTCTCCTGTTTGGAGGGTGGAACACGGAAATGGAAACGTTCTTCTCACTCTGTATTTCACTACTGAGTTCCCCCTTTTTTTCTTTTTCCAGTCAGATATGTACAGCTTGGGTGTGATCCTGCTAGAGCTCTTTCAGCCATTTGGAACAGAAATGGAGCGAGCAGAAGTTCTGACAGGTTTAAGAACTGGTCAGTTGCCGGAATCCCTCAGTAAAAGGTGTCCAGTACAAGCCAAGTATATCCAGCACTTAACGAGAAGGAACTCATCGCAGAGACCATCTGCTGTTCAGCTGCTGCAGAGCGAACTTTTCCAAACTTCTGGAAATGTATGTGCTTTTGTTTTTCTTGGTCCTGGAGTGAAGGTGGTTTTTATTTCCTCTCTTGGGGAAGGAAGGGGTGGGTGGTGCCCCTGGAGGCTGGGGCTGGAAGAGGCAGATGATGGTTCTGGAGGCGGGGCCTATTTGTTCTCATCCACTTCGTGCCACTCATCTGCAGGGTGTGCTCGCAGGACTCACTCCCCTTAGGGTAGCAGCTCTGGCCCCAGCGGGCACAGGAGGTATCTGCTGGTGTTCACAAAGAGGAGTGGAGGGCCAGGGGCCAACCCCACAGCTAAGGCCGGGTAGGAAAGCTTCCTGAGGCCTGGTGGGTGTGACTCTTCCCCAGAAAGGCCGGAGGGGCCCGTCGGGTTTGCCCCTTCTGATGGCTGGGCCTTTAAATGTCCATGTCAAAGTCTGACTCTTCACCACCTGCCTGCTGTTCTGGGCTGTCTGGGTGTCTGTCGGGGGCTCATCACTGGCAGGGCTGGTGAGCCCTGAAGTGGTGGGCAGGTCCCTCGAGGGTGTTTGGTCACTGATGAGTTTAGCACTCTGTCGGAATTTTGGGTTGTAGAAGATCCTGGCACCTCCCCGGGTCGTGCTGAAGAGTGTGCCCCGGGGGGCTGCCGCCATCCCTGCGCAGTACACAGCCACTGCGGACCACCCAGGGGAGGCAGGGGTGGCCTGGTGTGGGGGTCTGGCTGCAGCTGCTGCCCTGGATATGGTCTCTGTACATGTTTTTCTTTTTAATGCTGAGGAAAATATGAAGCTTAAAATAGAATTTGTTTAAATTGTGAATCCTGGCTGGGCGGGGTGGCTCATGCTGTAATCCCAGGCATGGGATTTTGGGAGGCCGAGGTGGGAAGATTGCCTGATGTCAGGAGTTCGAGACCAGCCTGGCCAATATGGTGAAAGCCCCTGTCTACTAAAAGTACAAAAATTAGCCGGCCATGGTGGTACACACCTGTAATCCCACCTCCTCAGGAGGCTGAGGCAGGAGAATCACTTGAACCTGGGAGGTGAAGGTTGCAGTGAGCCGAGATCACACCACTGCACTCCAGCCTGGGCGACAGAGTGAGACTCCGTCTCAAATAAATAGTGAATCCTGTTTCAGTGAATAGTCGAGCTTAGACTCATATTTGTGCAAACAAAATATTTAAACCCATTCTCAGAGTTCCCTGACTGTATCAAGCACTAGGTTGAATGCCAGTAGCACACTTATATTCACTGTCCATGTAAGCAGGTTGACTCCCTACCACCTGTCTACTCTAAGAGTTATAAGCATCAGGTGCGGTGGCTCACGCCTGTAATCCCATCACTTTGAGAGGCTGATGCGGGCGGATCATGAGGTCAGGAGTTCAAGACCAGCCTGACCAACATGGTGAAACCCTGTCTCTACTAAAAATACAAAAATTAGCCAGTTGTGAGCCACCATGCCCAGCCACAGATGTGGTTCTTAAAACCAAGTATAAATATTTATCTTCACATATGAAGGGGATTTTCTAATGCTCAGTTAAGACAGCTATTAGAGACCATAGTTATTTATTATTTATGGTAAGGATTTCTACCATCTTGCAAAAGTTTTTTATATAAAATGAAACCTTGGCCGGGTGTGGTGACTCATGCCTGTAATCCCAGCACTTTGGAGGGTTGAGGCGGGTGGTAATTGAGGTAAGGAGTTCAAGACCAGTCTGGCCAACATGGCGAAACCCCATCTCTACTAAGAATACAGAAACTAGCTGGGCTTGTAGGAGAGCGCCTGTAATCCCAGCTACTTGGGTGGCTGAGGCACGAGAATAGCTTGAACTGGGGAGGCACAGGTTGCAGTGAGCCGAGATCATGCCACTGTACTCCAGCCTGGGCAACAGCAAGATTGTCTCAAAACAAACAAAAAACAGGTCCGGGGGGGAAAACAGTCCAGGCGTGGTGGCTCATGCCTGTAATTCCAGCACTTTGGGAGGCCGAGGTGGGCAGATCACTAGGTCAGGAGATTGAGACCATCCTGGCTAACATGGTGAAACCTTGTCTCTACTAAAAATACAAAAAATTAGCCAGGCGTGGTGACAGGCGCCTGTAGTCCCAGCTTCTCTGGAGGCTGAGGCAGAAGTATGGCGTGAACCCGGGAGGCAGAGCTTGCAGTGAACCGAGATCGCGCCACTGCACTCCAGCCTGGGCGACAGAGTGAGACTCTGTCTCAAAAAAAAAAAAAAAAAAGTAGTAAGTTATTTTAATGGAGTTTAAAATATTTTCTCCTTACAGGTTAACTTCACTCTACAGATGAAGATAATAGAGCAAGAAAAAGAAATTGCAGAACTAAAGAAGCAGCTAAACCTCCTTTCTCAAGACAAAGGGGTGAGGGATGACGGAAAGGACGGGGGCGTGCCTGTCTAACCTTCCTCAGGCTATATCTGTAGGACGAAAGTGGACTTAACTTTTAAGGTAGTTAACTGGAATGTAAATTTTTAATCTTCATTAGGGTATAGTTGGTATAATTCTTAGTTGTATTTAGTAAGCCTTTACAAGACTTATTAAAGATGTCAGAGTGCCCCAAGCTGGTGCTCCTTCCTTTCCTGCCTCACAAGCTCCTTTTCCTGAATTTCCTACCTAAATTTTACCATATGCCCAGTCTCTGAAACAAAAAAACTTGGACCTTATCCTCAATTATTTTTTCCTTTCAACTCTGTTGACCCTCTGTCTGGTCTTTCTCTAGAAGGTTCTACCACAGAAATTGACGTGTGCCCCTGTCACTGCCCAAGCCCAGGCCTGCACATACTCACTGGACTGTTCCAGTTTTGACAGCTGCCAGTCTTCCTACCCCTTTCACACTGCAGCCAAGTTCATTACCTGAAGGACGCCTGATCATTTCATTCCTTGGCTCCAAACCTTCTGCTGCCTCTAAGATAAAAGCTCAACTTCTTAACAGCGTAGTGTGCAACTTCCAATGTTTTTTCTTTTTTGGGATGGAGTCTCTGTCGCCCAGGCTGGAGTGCAGTGGCGCGATCTCGGTTCACTGCAAGCTCCGCCTCCCCGATTCATGCCATTCTTCTGCCTCAGCCTCCCGAGTAGCTGGGACTACAGGCGCCCGCCACCACACCCGGCTAATTTTTTTGTACTTTTAGTAGAGATGGGGTTTCACTGGGTTAGCCAGGATGGTCTGGATCTCCTGACCTCGTGATCTGCCTGCCTCAGCCTCCCAAAGTGCTGGGATTACAGGCGTGAGCTACCGCGTCCGGCCGCAACTTCCAATCTTTTTATCTGTTCTCTCCACCTTCAATTTAGCGTCATTCCAAAACTACACCCTTGCAAAGCTTTGTACTCCTCACCCCAGGTGATCTCCAGGCAGCTCAGATCTCTTTCCCACCTTTGCCCTGCACTGTTCCCCAGTACTTCCTCCTTTATTGTAGCATTCAACTCCCCAGCCAATCTGTACATCCCTCAGAGGCAGCGATCTGAAGTGGTTTTTGAATCCCAGAAAGGGTCTGCCATCGAGTTGGCAGTCATCACGGTAGATGGCATATGATTTTGCTGAATTTTAAATAAAATGAAAACCACAAATTACATGATGCTTTTATTGACATTTGACAACTGGCCTAAATAAAAAGACTTTGACTCTAATACAAGTCCCCTTACTGATAATAGGCATGAAAGAGCACCATTCTTAAAATCTAAACTCTTTAAAATCGGTAACGGAATTCACTTAAGGAGCTTGAGGGCCGTGTTAAAAGGAGCCAGGTTTTCACAAGACCTCATCCACCTCTGCACGTTGGCTGGCACTGTCACACTGCAGCCTCCGGTCTGCTGGAGCACAGACCACAGCACTACGTCTGCTACGGTGAGTTCGTTCCCGGCGAGCCAAGGGCTCTTCCCAAGAGCTGAGTTCATAGAACGGAAAACAGCGGCTTTTTCTTTACTGCTTCCCTCTTTTAACTGAAAAATCGCGATATCTACCCAGCTATCTATAAGGGTTGCGTTGACAGCATTATGCTTCTGGCCAAACAGAGAGAACAAGAAACGTGCAATGTTCCCTTCTCCTTCGATGGGGCACATCGTCTGGACGCTGAATTTCATCTGCGTCTTTGGCACTGAAAAGAAAAGACACACGCAAGGTAGCATCACCAGAGCAGCCCTGTGAGGGAAGTACGCGCACAATGGGGAAGGGGACAGTCACCAACCACCACAGACTGATGACACGGGAAAGGGTGTTTTCAAGAAGAACATCACATTTTCAGTCAGTCTCTTAAGATGCTTAATAGTGAAAAGGGTTTAAGTGCAAACTATGTTAACAAAGTAACCAAAGAGCCACTCCTGGTATTTGATTATGACAGTTCTCAAGCTGGAAGGGACCTCAGACCACCTGCTCCAATCCCTGCTGCCTAAGGATTTGGGGGCTGAGGGCTGGAAACCCAGGAGTTGCATCTCCTAGGCTCTTGGCCTCATAATCGCTTTCTGTGAGGCTGAGGGCAGTTAAGGTATGAATGACATGAACTCGCTTCCTTCCATATCAGCATAACCAGAAGGGGCATACATCCGTGGGATAGTGAGTACATGACATCCTATCTTTATGTGGCCATATGAGAAGATAATTTCAATGTCCCTATGATAGTAAGTTCTAGAATGTGAGGGCAAGATGGCTGTGATAGCCATGACTCCCCTGCTTTGCCTGGTTGGACAGAACCCCCTTCCTCCAAGGCTCACAGTCCCCCCTTGAGCTGTGTCTCACTCAGAGACCCTAAACTTTGCAGAGGAACAAGGGCATCTTTGTGGTGCTTCATCTCTGCTCCTCCTCTAGAACTACCCCACAGGCTTCTTAGACTTAGAATATCTGACCTGATGCAAATTGCTGTATGGCCGGTATGCCACACAATGTCCTAACCCCTCGCTGCCTCGTATCAAAACCATGTTGCACATCTCATCATATAGTACAGCTGACCCTTGAACGGTGTGGGGGTTAGGGGCACTGACTCCCCACTGCTGTGCAGCGAAAATCCACATAAAACTTTTGACTCCTCCAAATCTTAAGCACTAACAGCCTACTACTGATGGGAAGCCTTACCTATGACAGTTGATTCACACACTTTGTATGGTCTATATATCATATGCTATATTCTTACGATAAACTTGAGAAAATGTTAAGAAAATAATAAGGATGCTGGGCATGGTGGCTCACACCTGTAGTCCCTGCTGCTTGGGAGGCTGAGGTGGGAGGATCACTTGAGCCCAGAATGTTGAGGCTGTGGTGAGCTGTGACTGCACCACTGCATTCCAGCCTGGGTGACATAGCAAGACCCTGCCTCTTAAAAAGAAAAGGATAATGAATTTACTATTCATTAAGTTGAAGCGGATCATCTTAAAGGTCTTCATCCCACTGCCCTCATGTCGCTGAGGAAGAGGGGTTGGTCTTGCTGTCTTGGGTGGCAGAGGTAGAAAGGGAGGCAGGAAAGGAGGACAGGCAAGCACGGTGTAGCTTTAGGGAAATACATCATAATTTGTCTGCCTTCTGATTTCTCTAAAAATAGTTCCATGCAGCATGAACACTTCCACCGTTTGCTTTAGTTTCACTGCTTGTATCGTAGAAGACTCCAGGTCATAAAAGAAGTCAAAAGCAGCCTCGAATGATCAGAAGCCTTCTCCCAGACTGTCTAATGGAAATCTGTTTTCCAGCCTGGCTTCTCCTAGGTCTTCTTCCTCAACATCTGGCACTGGCTTGGAAACACTTCTCCCCATTAAGCTGTCTTATGTTAACTCTTGTGTGCAGTGTCTGTCAGCCCTTGAGTTTCTCCAAGATCTGTACCCTGAAACTCTTCACCACCCACTTTTGCCCCATCTGTGATCTATTTCTTGGTTTCCTTGGTTGTCGTAGATCCTATGAAGCCACGCACATCTGGACACAGGTCTCTCCAGCAGGAATGTACTGTTTCACCGTGATGGCTTTCACAGCTTTGTATACAACGATGGCCTCTTCAATGGTGTAATCCTTCCAGACTCTTCAAGATGTTCTATCAGGGTTCTCTCTCTTGCTTTTTGTTTTGAGATGGAGTCTTGCTCTGTCACCCAGGCTGGAGTGCAGTGGCACAATCTCACTACAACCTCCACCTCCCGGGTTCAAGCAATTCTCCTGCCTCAGCCTCCCAAGTAGCTGGGATTCCAGGCGTGCCTAGCCAGGGTTCTCTTTCATAGCACTGACAATTCTTTCATAGAATTCTGTGTGTAATGAGCATCAAAGGTTCTTACGACTTTTTGATCCACGTTGTGTTAGGGGGCAAGTAGATGGCTTTGACACCCTTGGTGTTAACTCATGGGGCTCTGAGTGACTGCAGCATTGAAGAACTTTCAAAGGTGTCCCTTACTGGCAAGGTACATCCTGACTTCAGGGACAAGGCATCAGTGGAATTAGTCCAGAAAAAGGGTTCTTGTCCAGGTGTTGTACAACCAAAAGACGAGCAGCTGTGCTTATCTTTTCCCGTGAAGTCTTGGGTGTTAGCAGCTTTACAGGTAAGAGCTCTCCTGATCATAAACACAGCTGCACTTGCACAAAACAGGAGGGTTAGCCTAGCCCTCCCTGCCTTCAATCCTGGGACTCCCTTCTCTTCTTTACTAATAAATGTCCTTTGTGGTTCCCCGCCCCCACCCCAGATTAGGGCAGTTTTGTCTGCATTAAAAACGTGTTGACACAGGTATCCTTTCTCCTCCATGATTTTCTTAATGGCATCTGGGAACTTGTCTGCTGCCTCTTGGTTAGCAGAAGCTGCTTCTCCTGTGATCTTGACATTTTTAAAAGCCAAACCTTTTCCTAAAATTATCAAACCATCGTTTGCTGGCATTAAACTCTCCAGCTTTAGATCTTTCACCTTCCTTTGGCTTCAAGTTGTCATATAATGACTTTGCTTTTTCTCAAATCATATGAGAGTCTATAGGTACGCCTTTCTAACAGGAATCCTGCACCCCATATAAAAGCTGCATTTTCTTTTCTTTTTCTTTGAGATGGAGTCTCACTCTGTAGCCCAGGCTGGAGTGTACTGGCACGATCTTGGCTCACTGCAACCTCTGCCTCCCAGGTTCAAGCGATTCTCCTGTCTCAGTCTCCCGAGTACCTGGGACTACAGGTGAAGGTCACCATGCCAGGCTCATTTTTGTGCTTTTAGTAGAGATGGGGTTTCACCATATTGGTCAGGCTGGTCTCGAACTCCTGATCTCAGGTGATCCACCCACCTTGGCCTCCCAAAGTGCTGGGATTACAGGAATGAACCACTGCACCCGGCCAAAAGCTACATTTTCAATACAAGATAAATAGGTATTTTGCAAAAAGTGCAAGGTTTTTGCACCTCCTGGTGCAGCTATAGTGATGCCTTCATGAATTTCCCCTTTTTTTTTTTTTTTTTCTGAGACGGAGTCTCACTGTGTCACTAGGCTGGAGTGCAGTGGTGCAATCTCGGCTCACTGCAACCTCCACCTCCCAGGTTTAAGTGATCCTCCTGCCTCAGCCTCCCAAGTAGCTGGGACTACAGCCACACACCACCAAGCCCAGCTAATTTTTGTATTTTTAGTAGAGACAGGGTTTCACCATGTTGGCCAGGATGATCTTGATCTCTTGACCTCGTGATCCACCTGCCTTGGCCTCCCGAAGTGCTGGGATTAGAGGCGTGAGCCACTGTGCCTGACCGAAAATTTCCCTTTTTTAAAACAATGGTTCTTACACTGAATTCATTTATCTTGAAGTGGCAGCTGCAGACCTCTGGTACATATCAAGTACAATATCTTGACTTCTCTGCTTCTTGGGAGCACTTTCAATATCACAAGAGACACTTTGTAAGTGCCCCACAGTGTTAGTCAAGGTTTTTGGCAATGCACGATGGAAACATACCCAAAACATGATGAAAAATACCCAAGAACCTCAAGAGATCACTTTTTTTTTTGAGACGGAGTCTCGCTCTGTCGCCCAGGCTGGAGTGCAATCTCGGCTCACTGCAAGCTCCGCCTCCTGGGTTCACGCCATTCTCCTGCCTCAGCCTCCCGAGTAGCTGGGACCACAGGCGCCTGCCACTACGCCCGGCTAATTTTTTTTGTATTTTTTAGTAGAGACGGGGTTTCACTGTGTTAGCCAGGATGGTCTCGATCTCCTGACCTCGTGATCCACCCGCCTCGGCCTCCCAAGAGATCGCTTTTGACTGCAACATGCAATTTCCTGGAGAGGTGAATTAGCTGCTCACACCGAGATGATGGGCGTCACGGGGTGTCTGAAGCAGAATGAAGCAGACACTCCCCACGCTTGAGGCGGCTGTGAAATTATTCCAGCAGTACAGTATGTTTGTTCTACAGTTAATGTTACGCAGTTGGGATTTCATGCTCATCTTCACGTTTGTTTACGTTTCTCTCAACTGCAGGTGGTGCCATGTATAGTGTGTGTGTAAGTTTTGATACATTTTAACTTCTTAAAATAGATTTGTGTACATTTTGTGGTAGCAAATTAAATAGACTAGTATGTAAATATTTTATGCCTCATAGCTTTTTCTTACTTGTTTTGATATTTTTCTTTCTTTTTTTTTTTTGAGATGGAGTCTTGTTCTGTCGCCCAGGCTGGAGTACAATGGCGTGGTCTTGGCTGGCTGCAACCTCCACCTCCTGGGTTCAAGAAATTCTCCTGCCTCCACCTCCCGAGTAGCTGGGATTACAGGCACCCGCTACCACACCTGGCTAAGTTTTGTATTTTTAGTAGAGACGGGGTTTCACCATGTTGGTCAGGTTGGTCTCGAACTCCTGACCTTGTGATCCGCCTGCCTTGACCTTACAAAGTGCTGGGATTATAGGCGTGAGCCACCGCGCACAGCCTTGATTTGATATTTCTAGGCTAGGTGGTTTGTCTGCCAGTATTTTCAAATTGTTGCAAATCTCCAAAAAAATTTTCCAAGATAGTTATTTGAAAAATCCACATGAGGCCCAGGCACGGTGGCTCACGCCTGTAATTCCAGCACTTTGGGAGGCCAAGGCAGGTGGATCACGAGGTCAGGAGTTTGAGACTAGCTTGACCAACGTGGTGAAACCGTCTCTACTAAAAACATGAAAAAAATTAGCTGGGCATGGTGGCACGCGCCTATAATGCCTGCTACTGAGGAGGCTGAGGCAGGAGAATCGCTTAAACCCAGAGGTGGAAGTTGCAGTGAGCCAAGATTGTGCCACTGCACTTCAGCCTAGGTGACACAGCGAGACTGTCTCAAAAAGAAGAGAAAAGAAAAGAAAAAAATCCACATGTAAATGGACTCATGCAGGTCAAACTCGTGGTGTTCAAGGGGCAGCTGTGTGTAAGTTTAACTCAGTCCCATCTACTTACCATTCTTCCAAATTAAAGTGAATCCCAGCTGATACTCTTGGCGGGGCTGTTTTTTATTCTGTTCTCCAAAGCATTTGAGAAGGTTTTCAGGCACACTCTTGACTGAGGAGTGTGTGTGCACCGTGGACAGGACCCTGAAGTGCTCACACAGCAGCCTGTGCAGCACGAGCAGGGAGAGGGGAGGGGAGGCCGGGTTCGCGTTGATCACGATGTCTTTCAACGCCCCATAATCCTGGGGAAAGAGCAAGACAATGTACGAATAACAGTCATCAGAGAGTGCCACTGTGCCGGGTGCGAGTCTAAGAACCTAACCAGGGTTATCTGACTCCTCCACTTCCATGAAGAAGGCACTAGCATCTTCTCCAGGTTGCAGCCAGTAACTTCTCCAAGGCCACTCGCTCAGGATGGAGTGGAGCTGGGATATGAGCTGACTCCACCCCCTTACCCCCAACGAATAAAAAGTTGACTCCACTGTCAAATAAAACAGCATATCAGAAATGAAACTTTTTTTTTTTTTTTTGGAGACAGAGTCTCACTCTGTCACACAGGCTGGAGTGCAGTGGATGATCTCTGCTCCCTGCAACCTCTGCCTCCCCAGGTTCAAGTGATTCTCCTGCCTCAGCTTCCTGAGTGGCTGGGACTACAGGTGCCTGCCACCATGCCCGGCTAATTTTTTTTAAAAATTATTTTTAGTAGAGATGGGGTTTTGTCATGTTGCTCAGGCTGTTCTGAAACTCCTGACCTCAAATGACCTGTCTGTCTTGGCCTCCCAAAGTGCTAGGATTACAGATGGGAGCCATGGTGCCTGGCCTAGGAATGACACTTCTTGTTTTTTTTTTTTTTTTTGAGACGGAGTCTCGCTCTGTCGCCCAGGCTGGAGTGCAGTGGTGCAATCTCAGCTCACTGCAAGCTCTGCCTCCCGGGTTTATGCCATTCTCCTGCCTCAGCCTCCCGAGTAGCTGGGACTACAGGTGCCTGCCACCTCGCCCGGCTAGTTTTTAAAAATTTTTTAGTAGAGACGGGGTTTCACCATGTTAGCCAGGATAGTCTCGATCTCCTGACCTCGTGATACACCCGTCTCGGCCTCCCAAAGTGCTGGGACTACAGGCTTGAGCCACCGCGCCCAGCCAGGAATGACACTTCTATTTGTCCCTTTTAACCTGCAATTATTCCAGCTACTGAATCTTTCCAACAGCTGACCACAGCCAATTTGTGTTAAGATGTTTCCATGAAGAACCCCTTAAGAAGGGGTGTTGGCTCAAGGTATCATTGGTGATGAGGGATGGGGAGATTCTAACATATTAGGCGTTAACTGAAGTCCTCAGACTCATAGCCTTGTTTTTTCCCACTGGGTAACCCTTTTCAGTGCCAGTGGCCCATGGGTACAGAGGCCAGGCAATGGTTCGGGGCCACAGTTTGCTCTGGCATGAGGTCCAGGGGGATGGGCCTGATATAAATCCAAACCCAGGCATGACAGCCTTTTTAGATAAAGACTTTCTTATTTCTTCTACACTTTCACTCGTAATAATGAATGCACTGATGTGAACACTTCACAGCCAAACTTCTTGGCTTTCTGTACCCCGCCTGCCACTCCTGACCAATGTCCCCCATGTCAGCCTACGCGGAATGCCTTGCAGTTCCCTGAACATATTGTATTACTTGACACTGGGTCTTCTGAGGTATCAAAATTCATCTTGAGCACCACGTGCTCTGAGACGCCTCCCCAGCACCCTGAGAAATGACTGTTATGGCTGCTCATGCTCGAAAACTCATCTGCTAGGCTCCGGCTCCCTGAGGGCCTGGTTGCGCCTCATCTGAGTCCTCAGTGTATGCCAACAAGTACTGGATGAATGAGGGAGCAGTGGAAGGAATACATGAATGCAGAGGTACTGAGGTTACCAAATATCCCAGCCCTGGGTGAGACACCACAATGCTTGCATTTTTTAGGGCTTTAAGTAGTGCTATTCTATCACCCATTCTAGAGGAGGCTATTGGTAGGGATTCTTGGGACAAACCCTTTTTGCATCCTCAAATACCACTTCGTTGTAACAAACGAGATGGTCTTTCTTTGCATATCAGATTCTCCCCTAAATTAGCTGAAGCCTGTAAACTTCAATCATGAGAGCCGGCTGATGCAACTTACTTGTAATACAGCAAACTGAATTCAAGCAAAATGCACTTGAAATATGAGACTGTGACTGGCCTGAGCAATACATTTCAAAAGGACGGGTAGGATTTTTGTGCTTGGGCAGTCACGGTTCTGAAAGTTGGCCTACTATCAAAGAGAGTCTGGGCTGCCTCTGCTGAACCTCTGGGGAACACTGAGCAAACAAGCTGAGATCTGTTCTTCTAGGGCTCGGAGGCTGCTGGACCCATGCCTGGACTGGCAGAGGCTGTAACTCTCCTCCACTCCTCCTCTGCCTACACATCCTCCCTGCCCTCTACTTGGTCTGAGAAGTCAAGAAGAGGCTTTAGAGCTTGTTTTGACTTCACTCCTGCCTTGTGAATCTGTTCTGTGCAAAGGCATACTCATTTAGAGGAGAAAAAAATATGAATATGCTCTTGGCTCTGCCTTTGAAAATTAGAAAGCTAAGGCTTTTTTTTTTTTTTGAGACGGAGTCTCACTCTGTGGCCCAGGCTGGAGTGCAGTGGCGCGATCTCCGCTCACTGCAAGCTCTGCCTCCCGGGTTCACACCATTCTTTTGCCTGTCTCTCCTGAGTAGCTGGGACTACAGGTGCCTGCCACCATGCCCAGCTAATTTTTTGTATTTTAGTAGAGATGGGGTTTCACCACGTTGGCCAGGATGGTCTGGATCTCCTGACCTCGTGATCTGCCTGCCTCTGCCTCCCAAAGTGCTGGGATTACAGGCGTGAGCCACCGTGCCTGGCCTGAAAGCTAAGGCTTTAATCACAGTAGCACAATTTCCCTGTACTAATCACTCAGCGCCTACTAACATTTCAGCTTTCAAAACGAACTTACCTTCCCAAGCACTGAATTCAAGTCCAGCACATTGGTGGTTAAGGTCGTGGGCTCATCCGCTTGGATTATGTTGGTTACATCCAAGTCTGCATCTGGTGTTTGAATCATCTTGGAGAGACCATCAACTGCAGCTTTCAACTCATACAGACGTTTTAAAATATCATCTTGGCGGGACTCAAGAGCTTGCAGAGATGGATTAGACTCTTCCTAAACAAACCAACAGCCAAATGTTCATTTCCTCTCCCATCAGAACAGTGTTGTTTAAATTTGATCACTTGTCTTACTTTGCCATGCGCTCACCAAACCTCCCACCCTTTAAAAGACATTATGGGCTGGGTGTGGTGGCTCACGCCTGTAATCCCAGCACTTTGGGAGGTCTAGGTAGGCAGATCATCTGAGGTCAGGAGTTCAAGACCAGCTTGGCCAACATGGTGAAACCCTGTCTCTACTAGAAATACAAAAATTAGCTGGCGTGGTGGTGCGTGCCTATAATCCCAGCTACTCGGGAGGCTGAGACAGGAGAATGGCTTGAACCCAGGAGGTAGAGGTTGCAGTGAGCCGAGATTACACCATTGCACTCCAGCCTGGGTGATACAGCAAGACTGTCTCAAAAAAAATAAAAAAAATAAAAACAAAAAAAAACTTAAATAAAAGTTGTGGCTGAAAGCCACTCTGATATTGTATGGTTCCGATTTCACGTAATTTAGTCTAAGAACAGGGAAAGATAGAAAATGAACACAATTTTTAGTTCTTTGTTCTTAACAAACTAAGAATACTTTGCTTAAATAAGTAGCAATGAGAATGTAACTCAGTAATTTATACAAATAGGGAAAAGGGAACACAGGGTAAAACAGTTTTTTAGCTTGGAAACATACCCATGGAGCTAATCAATTCCCCAAATCATTTTCTTGGCTTTTCTTTTGTCCTGGAGACAGGGTCTCATTCTGTTGCCCAGGCTGGAGTGCAATGGTGTGATCATGGCCCACTGCAGCCTTGACTTCCTGGGCTCAAGTGATCCTCCTGCCTTAGTCTCCTGAGTGCCTGGGACTACAGGTGTGCACCACCAAGCCTGGCTAATTTTTAATTTTTTTTTTGTAGAGACAAAGAACTGCGCTATGTTGCTCAGGCTGGTCTCAAACTCCTGTCCTCAAGCCATCCTCCCACCTCAGCTCCCAAAGTGCTGGGAAGACAGACGTGAGCCACCACGCCCAGCCAGGCCACCATTTTTCTCCTAGCCTATTCCACCTTGCACCCATTCTAGTCCACCCCTGCAATCCATCCTTTAAGATGGCAGCTAGAAAGATTTTTAAAAAGAAACTCAGGGCCGGGCGCAGTGACTCATGCCTGTAGTCCTAGCACTTTGGGAGGCTGAGGCGGGCAGATCACCTTAGGTCAGGAGTTCGAGACCAGCCTGGCCAATACTGTGAAACCCCTGTCTCTACTAAAACTACAAAAAATATAGCTGGGTGTGGTGTGGGTGCCTGTAATCCCAGCTACTCAGGAGGCTGAGGCAGGAGAATTGCTTGAACCTGGGAGGCGGAGGTTGCAATGAGCAGAGATCGTGCCACTGCACTCCACCCTGGGTGACAAGAGTGATACTCCGTCTCAAAAAAATAATTTCCGATATTGTCACTGTCTCCCCCTTGCTAACCTCCTAGGTGCTTAGGATAAAATGTCAAACATTTAACATGGCTTCACAGACATCTTGTATCATTTGGCCTCTGGCTACCTTACCTCACCCAATTTCCTCCTTTGCTCTGTGCTCTAGCTACACTGTCCTAGGAGTTCCTAAAACACCACGCTGGCTCCGACCATAGGATCCTCACATGCCGTTCCCTCTATCTGCATCGCTCTTCCCTCTTCTCTTGTTTGCTTAACTCCTATTTACCCTCGGGCTTAATCAGTACTTTCTCACCTCTCCTAGTCTGCTGCTCTTATTTAAGATCAAACAGCAGAGCAATGTGAAGTCCACTGACTTCTGGGTGGAACAGAGTTCAGTATGCCAATTAAATTATTGGGTGCTGGCTGGGCACAGTGGCTCACACCTGTAAGCCCAGCACTTTGGAAGGGGCAGGCGGGTGGATCACTTGAGGTCAGGAGTTCAAGAGGACAGCATGATGAGACTCCATTTCTACTGAAACACAAAAATTAGCTGGGCTTGGTGGTGGGCACCTGTAGTCCCAGCTACTCAGAGGCTGAGGCAGGAGAATCACTTGGACTCAGGAGGTGGAGAGTGCAGTGAGCTGAGATTGCACCACTGCACTCTAGCCTGAGCAACAGGGCGACTCCATCTCAAAAAAAAAAAAAAAAAAATTAGGTGCTGACTGAAAATAAATTTGAAAGGAAGATGTGTAACAGGGAGGGCTACTACCTGTGTAATATTCTGTTACTTAATGGTAAGTCCTGAGTCATATTTCCAATCTCTCTTAACCAGCCTATATCTGTACATTGTTCGTGTATAAGCTTGCTAATTTCCACAAATGGCAGTAGGGTGTCTGCTCCAATAGGGCTGGATTCAAAGCTCAGTCAGGGCCGCGTGCGGTGGCTCACGCCTGTAATCACAGCACTTTGTGAGGCCAAGGCAGGCAGATCACTTGAGGTCAGGAGATCAAGACCAGCCTGGCCAACATGGTGAAACCCCGTCTCTACCAAAAATACAAAAAATTAGTCGGCCGTGGTGGCAGGCACCTGCAATTCCAGCTACTGGCGAGGCTGAGGCAGGAGAATTGCTTGAACCTGGGAGATGGCGGCTGCAGTGAGCCGAGATCGCGACACTGCACTCCAGCCTGGGCGACAGAGCGAGATTCCGTCTCAAAAACAAAACAACTCAGTCAGGAATGAAGAATGTCTGAAGTACTATACGTGTAATGTGGCTTGTGATTTTTAAGCCCTGAGTGCAGCTTGATCTAGTCCTTCATGATCTGAGTAATACCAAAATGTTCAAGATCTGTTTTATGTCATTGGTGCCTTGTAACGTTGGCCTGCTGTCTTCCTTGCTGAGACTAGACTGTGATGTGGTATATTGTTTTTATCAATTTGTTTCAATTTATATGTATGTATAAACAGCTTATTCTTCATGTTGCTCTCCTTTACCCTGGAGATGCTTGATTGCTTTTCTTGAGATGGGGTTTCACTCCCTTGCCCAGGCTGGAGTGCAGTGGCCGATCACAGCTCAATGCAGCCCTGACCTCCTGGGATCAAGTGATCCTCTCACCTCAGCCTCCTGAGTAGCTGGAACTACAGGCACATGCTACCACACCTGGCTAAGTGTTGTACTTTTTGTAAAAATGGGGTTTCACCATGTTGCCCAGATTGGTTTTGAACTCCTAGGTTCAAGTGATCCTCCTGCCTTGGTCTCCCAAAGTGCTGGGATTACAGACGTGAACCACTGCGCCTGGCCAAGATGTTTTATTGCTAATTATTTGTACACATTGTTATCATCTCCTAGAAAAACTGCTGGAAAAGTGAGATTACGTGTCCTCTAAGTTGTAAGTTCGCAAAAGGCCACAAGAAGTTAGGCAGCAGACTTAAACACAAGTAAAACAGATCCTGCAAAACTTGGCCTTCAATGAAAGGTGACATTCTCCAACCTGGGTTGTCTTTCTGGTTTCATGGGACTGTGTAGTTGGAGGGTGACTGGGCCCTGTTTCCATGGCACTCTCTAGGTGCAGGGACCATTGAACCATGTCTGCTATTTCTGTCTTAGCTCTGTACTGAAATAACACGTTGTGTTACTGGGTTTCAAAAGAAAGTCCGTCCCTCCTGATCTAGGCAGAAAGCCATTAAAGCAAGCAGAAGGATAACAAGCAGTGGGAAAACAGACCAGAAAAGTTACCGATTCACCCATCCTGTGTCAGAATGGACAGGTCTGTTTCTCCTGCTGGAAACCTAGGATGTATGTTTGCAATGAGAAAAGAGTGAAAGACTTGAGCAGGTACATTACAAAAAGAGCAATCACAGCGGCCAGTGAATATGAAAAGGTCCTCAACTTGAAGTATAGAGAAATCCAAACTAAAACTACCCTAGGATACCACGCTACACCCACCAGTTTTGGGCAGGGTGCAAATATCAGGAATTCTTCTACCCTGCCGGTGAGCGGTGAGCGAGCGTGTAAACCAGTATAACAACTCTGGAAAACAATTTAATAGAGTGGAAAGCCAGGCGGGCCACTGAGCCGGGAGTCCCGTTCATTAGTACATAGCCCATGCCTGCTCCTCTGTATAAGAATATTCACTGCAGAATTGTTCATAGCAGGTTAAAATGGAAAACAATCCAGTGTCCCTGAGCAAGCAGGATGGATAAGTATATGGTGGAGAGCCATGCAATAGAACAGTATACTACAGAGAAGATGAATACTTCCGATGTTACAATAAAATGACTCCTAAAATAATGTCTACAAAAAAGAAGCCAGGGCTGGGCACCAGTGGCTCATGTTTGTAATCCCAGCACTTTGGGAGGCTGGGGTTAGAGGATCGCTTGAGGCCAGGAGATCAAGACCACCTCTGTTCTCGATAACCACCTTTTAGGTAGAGATAGGGTTAGACCCCATCTCTACATTAAAAAAAAAAAAAAAAAAAGCCAGACACATCAGACTATATGCTTACCTATATCAAGACTATTGTTTAGGGGCCAGGTGCAGTGGCTCACGCCTGTAATCCCGGCACTTTGGGAGATGGAGGGCGGGTGGATCGCTTGAGGTCAGGAGTTTGAGACCAGCCTGGCCAACATGGTGAAACCCCGTCTCTACTAAAAATACAAAAATTAGCCGGGTCCAGTGGACGGTGCCTGTAATCTCAGCTACTCAGGAGGCTGAGGTGGGAGAATTGCTTGAACCCGGGAGGCAGACGTTGCAGTGAGCTGAGATCACACCACTGCACTCCAGCCTGGGCGACAGAGCAAGACTCCATCTGAAAAAAACAAAAACAAACAAACAAAAAAACCAGACTATATTGTTTAGGGATAAATACTGAGTTGACAAAATAATAGAGATAAGCAAGATATAATTACCATAAAAAATCAGGAACTGGGGTTGGGGGTGGGGAGGGAAGGCTGAAGTGGAAAGAATGGAGGGGTGACAATGTGTGTCCACCTGGGCCGTGGTGACCCTGGGGTTCGCTTTGTAATTCCTCAAAATGAGCATTTATGTGCTATTCACTTTTCAGAGGGTAGAATCTCTGAACTAAAATGTTTAAGCAACCATATATATATATAAAGGACAGATTTTCATTTTAATTAAAACATTTAAAAAATAGAGACAAGGGTCTCGCTATGTTCCTCAGGCTGGTCTCAAACTCTTTGGGGCTCAAGCGATCCTCCCACTTCGGTCTCCCAAAGCGCTGAGATTCCAGGCATGAACCACCGCGCCCGACCTGGAAAGATATATATATAATTTTCTTTGAGACAGTTTCACTTTTGTTGCCCAGGCTCGAGTGCAATGGCTCGATCTCAGCTCACTGCAAACTCCGCCTCCAGGGTTCAAACGATTCTCCTGCCTCAGCCTCCCGAGTAGCTGGGATTACAGGCGCCTGCCACCACACCCGGCTAATTTTTGTATTTTTAGTAGAGCCGAGGTTTCACCATGTTGGCCAGGCTGGTCTCGAACTCCTAACCTCAGGTGATCTGCCAGCCTCGGCCTCCCAAAGTGCTGGGATTACAGGCGTGAGCCACAGCACCCGGCCTGGATAAATCCTTTAAAAGAGAAAAGTTTGGGTGAGTCCCTGGCTGGCCGGCACAGAAGCGGGGTGGGGCCGTGAACCCGGGTGGGATACATTCGCTCCGGCCTGTGGGGACCCGGTCCAGCAGCCGGCCGCCGCGCGTGCGCACTGGGCGGGGGACCCCGCGCTCCTACCTGCACGTGGCCAGCGCCGGGCGCTGGGCCGCTGCTCCTGCCGTGCACGTTGGGGAGCCGGTACATGCAGGTGGGAAGCTCCACACGGAGAGGCGCGCCACCCCCGTGATAAGGCTTTACCTGGTACATCGGCATGGCGGAACCAAAGCAAGAGGGGGTAGCGCGTGCCAGACACCAACGATCAGAAACCGTCAGAGGCCACGACTGAGGGCGGCCACCTCCCTTCTGACCCTGCTGCGGGGCGTTCGGGAAAACGCAGTCTGGTGTGCTCTGATTGACCCAGGCTTTTTGACGTCACGGACTCGACCTTTGACAGAGCCAATAGGCGAAAAGGAGAGACGGGAAGTATTTTCCGCCCCGCCCGGAAGGGGTGGAGCACAACGTCGAAAGCAGCCAATGGGAGTCCCGGAGGCGGAGCGCCTGTGGGAGCTGTGGAGGGAACTTTCCCAGTCCCGGGGCGGATCGGGTGTTGCATCCATGGAGCGAGCTGAGAGCTCGAGGTGAGCCGGGCTCGCGGTCTCCCCTCTCGCGCGCCCTCTTTGACACCTATGGCGTTCCAGGCGCCCTGGAAATGCGGGAAACATGGCCGAGGCGCGTGGCGAAGCCGCCGCGTGGAGGCCCCGGAGCAGCGACCTCAGCGCCCCAGCGATCTGGTGCCCCTTGGGTGCGCCTTGGGGCCGAGGCAAGCTCCTTCGGGGTCCTGGGCTGCGGGCAAAGGATTCGGCCCTGTAAAGAGTTGGGTTCGGTCCGTCGAAGACAGGCCTTGCCCACATCCCATCACAGGGCCATGGACTTGAAGCCGGAGCGTGAAATCCCCATAGAATGAATGCATTTTCTTTCTACCTGTTCTCTCTGCCCTTTTATTTTTATTTTTGTATTATTTTATTTTTAATTTTTTTGTAGCGACAGGGATTTCGCTATGTTGCCCAGGCTGGTCTCGAACTCCTGAGCTCAAGCAATCCGCCCGCCTCGGCACCCCAAAGTGCTGGAATTACAGGAGTGATGCACTGTGCCTGGCCTTTTTAAAAAATTGAGGTTATTTTGGGGACAGTAGAGCGTCCAGACACATCCTAATTTGCATAACGGCGCAGTTTAAAAAAATGCAATGCATTTCTACCCGTTAGGGTATGTGATTTCTACCTGTTAGGGTATGTGATTTCTGGCTGGTAAGCTACACCGAATCTTGGCTATCACAGTTGCATTCCGTGTCAGATTTGTAAACGCAAATTTGCTTTCTGCATTTAAATATATTAGATATATTTAGGTAACTACATTTAAGTGTATTGAGATATTGAAATAAATCTGGGGTCTGTATCTAAATGCGCTCCCTCCTCAAAATAAATATCTGAAGTGGGCCGGGCGTGGTGGCTCACGCCTGTAATCCCAGCACTTTGGGAGGCCAAGGCGGGTGGATCATGAGGCCAGGAGTTCATGACCAGCCTTGCCAACATGGTGAAATACCGTTTCTACTAAAGATACAAAAATTAACCGGGCATGGTGGCGGGAGCCTGTAATCCTAGCTACTTGGGAGGCTGAGGCAGGAGAATCTCTGGAACCCAGGAGACGGAGATTGCAGTGAGCTGAGATTGCACCACTGCAGTCTGACCTGGGCGACACAGCAAGACTCCGTCTCAAAAAAAAGAAGTGGACCTGTGGCCTATAGTGTGTTGCCAAATAAACTTATTTTTAGAGATACTTCTTTCCGTTTTCTGTGAGGTCATCTGCAGTTTCACATGGTAGACAGACTTGGGTGAGATTCTTAGCAGGGTAGAATGAAGAGTAAAGAGGTTTGTTTATTTCACAAGGGTTTATTGAAGGCCTACCGTGTGTTAAATGCTGTAGGAAATACCCAGTGATTTCTCTTTCATGGAGGTTTCCTGCCTTCTCTTAACAAGTTATCAAACTGTTTACTGGAAATTGCTAAGTTAGTGAACACACAGGATACATTCTTTGGATGAGCAGACATTGGTTGGGCAGAGGAGGAAGAGGAGAGCAGTTTAGACAGAGACCTGCTTATACACTGTAGTGTCTAAAAGAGCTTGTGATGTTCAGGAAGCAATTGTTCAGTGTGGTACAATGTAGGGCACGGCCGGTTGCGGTGGCTCACGCCTGTAATCCTAGCACTTTGGGAGGCTGAGGCAAGTGGATCACCTGAGGTCAGGAGTTCAAGACCAGCCTGGCCAACATGGTGAAACCCGGTCTCTACTAAAAACACAAAAATTAGCCGGGTGTGATGGTAGGCACCTGTAATCCCAGCTACTTGGGAGGCTGAGACAGGAGAATTGCTGGAACCTGGGAGACGGAGGTTGCAGTGAGCCAAGATCATGCCGTTGTACTCTAGCCTGGGCAACAGGGTGAGACTCTGTCTCAAATAATAATAATAATAATAATAATAATAGTAATATTAATGTAGGGGACTTGATGAAGGGAAAGGATTAGAGAGATTCTGAAAAGAAGGTAGTTTTGGGCGCAGTGAGGACTAGATTTTAAATTTTGTATAGTAGGAAGTGGGGCACTTGTAAATGTTTAAGCAGAAAAATTATTTGACCAGATCTGTGATTTCAAAAATAGCTCTGGTGATAGAGTGGAGGATGGATTGGAGCAGGGAATGAGGGGAGATGAAACCGTTATAAAACTCACCCAAAGCTCGTACAGCAAGAACTCTGAGGTCTTTAAGAGTGGAGGATGGATTGGAGCAGGGAATGGGGAGATGAAACCGTTATAAAACTCTTAAAGCTCGTACAGCAAGAACTCTGAGGGTCTTTGAGAGTGGAGGATGGATTGGAGCAGGAATGAGGGAGATGAAACCGTTATAAGAAATCTTAAAAATTTCGTACAATTTATAAAACTCTTAAAGCTCGTACAGCAAGAACTCTGAGGGTCTTTGCTGAGGCAGCAGCTGGCAGCTTCAATGTGGAGTAGGGTATCAAAGGTAGCTGTGGATGAGGAATCGTTATATAACTGGTACCCAATTTCCGAGATGATTTTGACTTAAACATTGTGTATTTTCCAGCATACTGTTAGTTTTTCTAATTATGTGGGAAATTATGTTGCTTTCCCCCCCCTTTTTTTTTTTTTTTGCTCTGTCGCCCAGGCTGGAGTGCAATGCCACAATCTCGGCTCACTGCAACCTCCGCCTCCCAGGTTTAAGCGATTCTCCTGCCTCAGCCTCCTGAGGAGCTGGGATTACAGACACCCACCACCATGCCTAGCTAATTTTTTGTATTTTTAGTAGAGACGGGGTCTCACCATGTTGGCCAGGCTGGTCTCGAACTCCTGACCTCAAGTGATCCACCCACCTCTGCCTCCCAAAGTGCTGGGATTACAGGCATGAGCCCCGGCAGCCAGTCATGGTTTCACTTTTCAAGAAAGAAGACACCATTGTTGCCAAAGATTTTGGTAATTTGAGAGATACAATGTATGTTTTCTCCATGTGGATCCTAGTATAATTAGATAGTAAGGATCTGTTGAATTTGAAGTATCTATCCAGAAGTATTTTGGGTACATGTTTAAGGATTGTAAAACAGTGTTTCTATTTCTGGATATAATGAATGTATTTGCTAATATAATAAATGAATAGATTAGACCCATAAACTATTTACAGTGTTGAGTCATTTCCCACAGTGAAAATCAGGATGAAAATATATAGCTGAATACTTGCTTCGTTTCTTGTAACTGATTTCTTTAGTACAGAACCTGCTAAGGCCATCAAACCTATTGATCGGAAGTCAGTCCATCAGATTTGCTCTGGGCAGGTGGTACTGAGTCTAAGCACTGCGGTGAAGGAGTTAGTAGAAAACAGTCTGGATGCTGGTGCCACTAATATTGGTAAGTTTGGGAGAGTTTTAAGCCACAAGAAATGATCAGTGAATGTTGTAGTCAAGAAACATTTGTTATTGAAACAAGACTGTCAAGTGTTAATGTAGTAATGAAGTATTATTTTAAAGTTACAGTTAGCACCTATTATGTGCCTAGTACTTAGCTAGGTAGTAATAACAGCTTTTATTGTGTTCTTATGGTGTGCCAGGCAGGTGTTATGCTAAGAATTACACAGAAATATTTAATATGCAAAATAGCTGGGCGTGGTGTCTCACGCCTGTAATCCTAGCCCTTTGAGAGACTGAGATGGGGGAATTGCTTGAGGCCAAGAGTTCAAGACCAACCTGGCCAACATGGTGAGACCTCATCTCTATTGAAAAATAAAGTAGGCTGGGCGTGGTGGCTCACGCCTATAATCCCAGCACTTTGGGAGGCCAAGACGAGTGGATACCTGAGGTCAGAAGTTCGAGACCAACCTGTCCAAAGTGGTGAAACTGTCTCTACTAAAAATACAAAAATTAGCTGGACCTGGTGGCAGAAGCCTGTAATCCCAGTTACTTGGGAGACTGAGGCACAAGAATTGCTTGAACCCGGGAGGCGGAGGTTGCAGTGAGCTGAGATCGTGCCACTGCACACCAGCCTGAGGACAAAGCAAGACTCCGTCTCAAAAACATAAAATAAAATAGGCCCGGAGTAGTGGCTCACATCTTTAATCCCAGCACTTTGGGAGGCTGAGGGGGGCTGATCATTTGAGGTCAGGAGTTCGAGACCAGCATAACCAACATGGTGAAACCCTGTCTCTACTGAAAATACAGAAATTAGCCAGATGTGGTGGTGCATGGCTGAAATCTCAGCTCCTCAGGAGGCTGAGGGAGGAGAATTGTTTGAACCTGAGAGGTGGAGGTTGCAGTGAGCCAAGATCTTGCCATTGTACTCCAGCCTGGGTGACGAGCAAAACTCCATCTCAAAAAAAAAAAAAAAAAAAAAAAAAAAAGACAAGAAAAGAAAAAAAAGAAAATAATAAAATAAAAAAACATAAAAAGTTAATCTGCAGAATAACTTTATGAGATAGAACTTATTATCCCCGTTTTACAGATGAGGAAATTAAGGGACAGGAAATTTCCTTTTTTTTGAGATTATAAAGCTAATAAAATAGGATCCAGGAAGTCTGATTCCAGAACCCATTCTCTCTCTCTTTTTTTTTGGAGGTGGAGTTTTGCTCTTGTTGCCCAGGCTGTAGTGCAATGGCACGATCTCAGCTCACTGCAACCTCCGCCTCCTGGGTTTAAGCGATTCTCCTGCCTCAGCTTCCCGAGCAGCTGAGATTACAGGCATGCACTACCAAGCCTGGCTAATTTTGTATTTTTAGTAGAGACAGGATTTCTCCATGTTGGTCAGGCTGGTCTCCAACTCCTGACCTCAGATGATCTGCTCGCTTTGGCCTCCCAAAGTGCTGGGATTACAGGCATGAACCACTGCGCCCAGCCCCTGTTCTCTTTACTGGGTATGTTAAAATTATTTCTTTCAAAAGAAAAGGCTGGTCAAAGTGCAACAGTTTTACAACTAATTGATCACAACCAGTTACAGATTTTTTTTTGTTCCTTTTCCACTCCAACTGCTTCACTTGACTAGCCTAGGGAAAAAAAAAAAGAGGAAAGAAAGAAAAAGCTAAACTATTTAGTCTGGGCTAGTAAATAACCAGAAAGGACTTTATAAAAATGAAATATACAAAATGACACTAGTACATATAACTAAAGGTATTGTTATGACTCTTAAATTTGCATATGTTATAAATAATGTCAGTGTAAAGGCATAGCATGGGTCCATTTTTAATAAATATGTAAATATTTTAAACTTTCTAGATCTAAAGCTTAAGGACTATGGAGTGGATCTCATTGAAGTTTCAGACAATGGATGTGGGGTAGAAGAAGAAAACTTCGAAGGCTTAAGTAAGTTGACTTTTTCTAATCCTATTATAAAATAATTGGGCCACATGTCCCAGAATTGTGAGTAACACTGTCTTGGGAAACGCAAAAGCAGTTTTTTAAAGCCAGTTACTAGATATCATGTATATTTGTTGTTATAGCACTTGAGATATCTTAATCCTTACTTTACACTGTCTTTCAGCTCTGAAACATCACACATCTAAGATTCAAGAGTTTGCTGACCTAACTCAGGTTGAAACTTTTGGCTTTCGGGGGGAAGCTCTGAGCTCACTTTGTGCACTGAGGTGATACAATATTTTTATCCATTCACTTGACCCCTTAGAAAAACCTCTCTGAAAATTAATTGGGATCATTATTATTTACAATTTTCTATCTCAACATCTCAACTTCTAGTTTCTGAATTCTGTTTTGTCTTGCTGCCAATCTAAGTCATCATACTTCTGAAATGTGAGCAATAAATGAATGAAACGAAGCAAATATATTGTTTAAAAAAATGGTTACCATTATTAAAACAGTAACTTCTCAGTTTTAACATAACATATAGATAATAAATGATAGTTACCATTGGTTTTCATTATCAGTTTTTAGGAAAACATTTAACCAAAGTACTATTTAATTATAGCACAGATACTAAATTTTTATAAATAATTATATACAAATATACATATATGTATGTGTGTGTGTATATATATGGTTTTTTTTTTTAGAAAGAGTTTTGCTCTGTCACCCAGGCTGGAGTGCAGTGGCACAGTCTCGGCTCACTGCAATCTCTGCCTTCCAGGTTCAAGTGATTCTCATGCCTGAGCCTCCTGAGGAGCTGGTACTATAGGCATGCACCACCATTTCTGGCTAATTTTTGTATTTTTAGTAGAGATGGGGTTTTGCCATGTTGCCCAGGCTGGTCTCGAACTCCTGGCCTCAAGTGATCTGCCCGCCTCGGCCTCCCAAAGTGCTGGAATAACAGGCATGAGCCACCGCACTCTGCCCTACATATACATTTTAATTATAATGTATTTTAGATTCTTTTAAAAAAATTTGTTCGAAGAGTAATAACAAAACAAATCTCTATTTGTGAATAAATGAATCTTGAGATCATTGATGGTTTTGCAGTTCAAGCTGAAAAACGAAATCAAAGCTCTTATCAAAACAAAGCCTGTTTAGTGCTCTCTGTCTCACTGTCTTTTCGATGCCAAACCTTAGGTTTTATGATGACTCCTCAACCGTTTAGATCTTGATGATCTCAAAGGGATCATCAGCTTTTTTTCCGGAAAGTTTTGAGGGAAAAGCAAGCGAAGGAAAGAGTAGTCAGTGCCCAACAACATCATGGGCCTCTCACTGAACACACCACGCCTGGTATTCTCTCGCAGCGACGTCACCATTTCCACCTGCCACGCATCGGTGAAGGTTGGGACTCGACTGGTGTTTGATCACAATGGGAAAATCATCCAGAAAGCCCCCTACGCCCGCCCCAGAGGGACCACAGTCAGCGTCCAGCAGTTATTTTCTACGCTACCTGTGCGCCATAAGGAATTTCAAAGGAATATTAAGAAGGTACAGCAAATTAATCCTGGTTTTCAAGAGTATTGGTTAATGCACGTGAGCAAAAGCTTTACTAAAGATGTTTATTCTGCCGTTGATTCTTTTCCCGTAATTTACTGAGACATGATTTATTTGCATTTCTCATTCAAGACTTAACGTTAAAGACTTTAGGGTGATTTACTTTTTTTTTTCATCACATAGTGTTTATTAGGCCTGGGCAACATAGTGAGACCCTGTCTCTATGAAAAATTAAAAAAAAAAAAATTGACTGGGCATGGTGGCATGCACCTGTAGTATCTAGCTACTTGGGAGGCTGAAGTGGGAGGATCACTTGAGCCCAGGAACTCGAGGCTGCAGTGAGCTGTGACTGCACCCCTGCACTTCAGACTGGGAGACAGAGTAAGACCTTGTCTGGAAATATATATACACGTATATATTTATTTTTTATTTTTATCTTTTTTTGAGATGGAGTCTCACGTTGGTGCCCTGGCTGGAGTACCATGGCGCAATCTCGCTTCACTGCAACCTCCACCTCCCAAGTTCAAGCGATTCTCCTGCCTCAGCCTTCTGAGTAGCTGGGATTACAGGCGTGCACCACCACGCCCGGCTAATTTTTGTATTTTTAGTAGAGATGGAGTTTCACCATGTCGGCCAGACTGGTCTGGAATTCCTGACCTCAGGTAATCCACCCACCTTGGCTTCTCAAAGTGCTGGGATTACAGGCATAAGCCACCATGCGTGGCCTTATGTACTTACATTTTTTTTTTTTTTTTTTTTTAGACGGAGTCTTGCTGTGTTGCCCAGGCTGGAGTGCAGTGGCCGGATCTCAGCTCACTGCAAGCTCCGCCTCCCGGGTTCAGGCCATTCGCCTGCCTCAGCCTCCCGAGTAGCTGGGACTACAGGCGCCCGCCACCTCGCCCGGCTAGTTTTTTTGTATTTTTTAGTAGAGACAGGGTTTCACCGTGTTAGCCAGGATGGTCTCGATCTCCTGACCTCGTGATCCGCCCATCTCAGCCTCCCAAAATGCTGGGATTACAGGCTTGAGCCATCGCACCCGGCCATGTACTTACATTTTAATAAGAATATTTCTTGGCCAGGCGCCGTGGCTCATGCCTGTAATCCCAGCACTTTGGGAGGCTGAGGCGGGCAGATCACGAGGTCAAGAGGTCAAAACCATCCTGGCCAAAATGGTGAAACCCCATCTCCACTAAAAATACAAAAATTAGCCGGGCCTGGTGGCGTGCGTCTGTAGTCCCAGCTCCTTGGAAGGCTGAGGCAGGAGAACCACTTGAATCCGGGAGGTAGAGGATGCAATGAGCTGAGATCACGCCATTGCACTCCAGCCTGGGCACAGAGCCAGACTCCGTCTCAAAAAAAAAAAAGAATATTTCTCTTGGTTTTCTGAGACATGAGTTATTGGAACCCTTATGAATTTGAATGCAAATGAAAAGAGCTAAATGTTATATAATTGTTGTGTTTAAAAAGCAGATTATAAAACTGTCTGTATTGCATGATTCCAGTTTTATAAAAACAAAACAACAGGCCTAGATGTGTACAGTATAAAGGCTGGAAGAGTCAGCACTTTCATGTTCTCAGCGGTTATCCTTGGATGTGAGATCCCATGCAGTTTTTGCTGTCTTCTTTGTGCCTTTCTGTTTTGTATGTGTAATTTTTGTAATCTAAAAAGTTATTTAAACGTATGCAGCTAAAAACTTTTTTTAACCTGTAAAGCATTTGGTGCTAATTTTAACTTTTCTTTTTTTTTTTTTTTAGATGGAGTCTTCTCACTCTGTCACCCAGGCTGGATTGCAGTGGTGTGATCTCAGCTCACTGCAACCTCCGCCTCCTGGGTTCAAGTGATTCTCCTGCCTCAACCTCCCGAGTAGCTGGGATTATAGGTGTGTGCCACCATGCCCAGCTAATTTTTGTGTTTTTAGTAGAGATGGGGTTTCACCATGTTGGCCAGGCTAGTCTTGCACCCCTGACCTCAAGTGATCCGCCTGCCTCAGCGTCCCAAAATGCAGTTTACAGGCCACTGCACTCAGCTGCTAATTTTAACTTTATTACATTTTTTCAAAACTGAAATTTTTTAAAATAGGGAAAACTTACTCTTTTTTTGTATCTTATGGTAAAAAAGTTAGTGCCTTAGCAAAATACAGGAATGTAGAACTTATGTTTGTTAGAGATAACCATTACTTACAGTTTGTATATCTTTTCAGACTCCTTTTAATTTCATGTGTTTGTAACTGTTGGAATAATTTTCAAGATACATTCATAAGTTAATATAATGAAAGCAAGTAATATAAAATGTACAGCATGCAAGTAATACAGAATTGTATGTGGTTGAAAGTTTTTTTTTGCTTTTTTTTTTTTTTAAATTGAGACAGGGTCTTGCTCTCTCACCCAGGCTAGAATGTAGTGGCACAATCTCAGCTTACTGCAGCCTTGATCTCCCAGGTTTAATGGATCCTCCCACTGTAGCCTCCCAAGTAGCTGGGACTCCAGGCCCGTGCTACCATGCCCGGCTAATTTTTGTGTTTTTTGTAGAGATGGGTCCATCTGTGTTGCCCAGGCAGGTCTCAAACTCATGGGCTGAAGCGATCCTCCCGCCTCAGCCTCCCAAAGTGCTGGGATTACAGCGGTGAACCATCAAGCCTGGCCCTATAACTGACTTTTTACTTAGCATATTGTGATTATCTTCTTTAGTCGGTGTGCACTGCCTTATTCTTTGTCATTCTGCTGCAATATGGCTATACCACAATTAATTAATTAACTCCTTGATGATGCTTGCTTAGGTCATTTCTGTTTTTTCATAGAGATTGTTTCAGTGAACATTTTTGTGAATCTCTTTGCATATCCAAATGCTTGTGCCAGTCTTTCTATTATACAAAGATACATTTCAAAAGGAGAGATTATAAAATCAAACACAATGTACGTTTCAGTTTTTTAATTTTCATTTTTAGAGATAGGACCTCTCTCTGTCACCCAGGCTGGAGTGCAGTGGTGCAATCATGGCTCACGGCAGCCTCGAACTCCTGGGCTTAAGTGATCCTCCCACCTCAGCCTCCTGAGTAGCTGTGACTACAGATGTATGCCACGACGCACAGCTAATTTTTTTTTTTTTAATTTTTTGTAGAAATAGGGTCTTGCTGTGTTGCCCAGGCTGGTCCTGAACTTCTGGTCTCAAGTGATCCTCCTGCCCTCAGCCTCCTGAGTAGCTGGGATTACCGGCTGTACTGTTTAGTTGTTTTACCAGGACACATGGCATATTGGGAAGTGAGAGGACTGTGACCAGGAGCCAAAAGCTCTGCATTCCTTTCTGTAGAATATAGGAAGATACCTCTTTCCAGATCATTCTGTCAACAGTGCTTCCCTTGATTTGTGCGATGATGTGAGAACCTTGCACTGGATGTTGTAACTTGAGCTGTGTAATTCCTATAATATTAAAGTAACGTAGAATATTGTGTTTGTGTTTTTTAAACAGGAATATGCCAAAATGGTCCAGGTCTTACAGGCCTACTGTATCATTTCAGCAGGCATCCGTGTAAGTTGCACTAATCAGCTTGGACAAGGAAAACGACAGCCTGTGGTGTGCACAGGTGGAAGCCCCAGCATAAAGGAAAATATCGGCTCTGTGTTTGGGCAGAAGCAGGTAGTGTTGGCTGGTTACTTCAACGCCTCTTACTGCTCTAGATATTATGGGAGGTTTCCATTGTCCCTTCCAGTAGAATGGAGAATAAAATCTAAGAATTGATTTTTTTTTTTTGAGACAGAGTCTCACCCTATCGCCCAGGCTGGAGTACGGTGGTGCTCTTTGGGCTCACTGCAAGCTCCGCCTCCCAGGGTCAAGCAATTCTCCTGCCTCAGCCTCCTGAGTATCTGGGATTACAGGCACGTGCCACCAGGCCCAGCTAATTTTTTGTATTTTTAGTAGAGACGTGGTTTCATCTTGTTGGCCCGACTGGTCTCGAACTCCTGACCTCAAGTGATCCGCTTGCCTTGGCCTCCCAAAGTGCTGGGATTACAGACATAAGCCACTGCGCCCATACTAAGAATCGATTTTTAAAGTGCCTATCACAAGGCCCAGCACAGTGGCTCGTGTCTGTAATCCCAGCACTTTGGGAGGCCAGGTGGGCAGATGATGAGGTCAGGAGTTTGAGACCAGCCTGGCCAATATGGTGAAACCCTGTCTCTACTAAAAATACAAAAATTATCTAGGCATGGTGGTGGGCGCCTGTAGTCCCAGCTACTCGGGAGACTGAGGCGGGAGAATTGCTGGAACCCAGGAGATGGAGGTTGCAGTGAGCTGAGATTGTACCACTGCACTGCAGCCTGAGCCACAGAGCGAGACACCGTCTTAAAAAAAAAAAAAAGTACCTATCACAAAATTAATGTTTGAGAGCTGAATGTGTTCCATTTTATTCTTCCAGAGACACTCATATACTGCATCCTTTCACTGTCTCTCTGAAAAAAATATAAGTTATTGTGGACAGTGTGTGGGTTATGAATAAGTAGCCACTTGTTTCGTCTTTCTTGTATCATAAAATCAAAAGTGTTGTCCCGATGGCTCACATATGTAATCCTAGAACTTCAGGAGAAGAAATGGTTGGGATTATGTGTTTGAAACCACCCAGCCAACAATTCTGAGGTGGGAGAATCGCTTGAGCCCAGGAATTTAAGACCAGCCTGGATAACACGGCAAGATCCCATCTCTACAAAAAAATAAAAAAATTAGCCAGGTGTGGTGATGTGCACCTATAGTCCCAGCTGCTCACTCGGGAGGCTGGGCAGGAGGATGGCTTGAACCCACGAGTTTGACGCTGCAGTGAGGTATGACTGAGCCATTGCACTCCAGCCTGGGCAATAGAGGGAGACCCTGTCTCAAAAACCAAAACAAAAAAAAGATTCTTTTAATTTTTTTGTGCTTGTAATGTAGATAGATTGACTAAGAAAGAAAACAGGTAAGTCCACTCTGCCTTTATTAGGAAGTAACTGTAGTAACTGTGAATTTTTTTTTTTTTAGTTGCAAAGCCTCATTCCTTTTGTTCAGCTGCCCCCTAGTGACTCCGTGTGTGAAGAGTATGGCCTGAGCTGTTCGGATGCTCTGCATAATCTTTTTTAGTAAGTATTGCTGGCAAGAGAACTACAATTGAAGATTTTATCCTGAGAGTCTTTTTTTTGTTTGTTTTGTTTTGTTTTGTTTTTTTAAATTTATTTATTATTATTAAACTTCAAGTTGTAGGGTACATGTGCACAACGTGCAGGTTTGCTACATATGTATACTTGTGCCATGTTGGTGTGCTGCACCCATTTTTTTTTTTTAAGATAGTGATTTTAGGGCTAATAGTTTCATGGATTTTTTTTTTTTTTTTTTTTTTAGAGATGGAGTCTCACTCTGTTGCCCAGGCTGGAGTGCAGTGGCCCTGTCTTGGCTCACTGCAACCTCTGCCTCCTGAGTTCAAGCAATGCTCCTGCCTCAGCCTCCTGAGTAGCTGGGACTACAGGCATGTACCACCACGCCTGGCTAATTTTGTATTTTCAGTAGAGACGAGGTTTCACCATGTTGGCCAGGCTGGTCTCGAACTCCTGACCTCAGATGATCCGCCCACCTTGGCATCCCAAAGTGCTGGGATTACAGGCATGAGCCACTGCGCCTGGCTAGGGATAATAGTCTTTTATGTCCTTTATAAAACTGTGAGCAGTGCTATTGCTAAGAAAGATGATTTATACAAAGGACTCAGTTACTCAATTCAAATCATGTTCCTAGTAACTGGTACATTTCAGGTGGTTTTCTGTTGAGTTAGTCTTCTTTAAGGCTCTGTTTAGTTAGACTAACTTTTAAATTATTTTATCATTTTAAGTGATTTTGACTTTTCTGGCATCTGATGAAGGCAGTTCAGTGTCATTAGTTTTAGTATAAGAAAATAGACACTTCCTGCCTGGGTGCGGTGGCTCACGCCTGTAATCCCAGCACTTTGGGAGGCTGAGGCGGGCGGATCACGAGGTCAGGAGATCGAGACCTTCCTGGCTAACACGGTGAAACCCTGTCTCTACTAAAAAATACAAAAAATTAGCCGGTCGTCGTGGCGGGCGCCTGTAGTTCCAGCTACTCGGGAGGCTGAGGCAGGAGAATGGCGTGAACCTGGGAGGCAGAGCTTGCAGTTAGCCGAGATCTTGCCACTGCACTCCAGCCTGGGCGACAGAGCGAGACTCAGTCTCAAAAAAAAAAAAAAGAAGAAGAAAATAGACACTTCCATAAATGGGATTGGTCCTGTAAAGATCTGTCTCTGTCCCTCTGTCTCTCTCTCTCTCTATATATAATATATATAAAATATATATTTATAAAAAACATATATACTATATATTATATATGTTATGTATTGTATACAATATGTTATATATTATATACCATGTATTATATATTGCATATTTTATATATATATATATATGTATATATGGGGTGTTTTTTTTTTTTTTTTTTGAGATGGAGTCTCGCTCTGTTGCCTAGTCTGGAGGTCAGTGCCGTGATCTTCGCTCACTGCAACCTCTGCCTCCTGGGTTCAAGTGATACTCCTGCCTCAGCCTCCTGAGAAGCTGCGACTACAGGTGTGCACCACCAGGCCCGGCTGATTTTTTGTTTTTTTAGCGGAGACAGGGTTTCACCTTGTTGCGCAGGCTGGTCTTGAACTCCTGACCTCAGGTGATCTGCCCCCCTTGGCCTCCCAAGGCTCTGGGATTTCAGGCATGAGCCACCGCACCCAGCCTAATATCTGTATTTCTTTTTGTTTGTTTTTTTGCGTTTAGACCTATATTTCTTATTCTTCCTCCACTTGTTTTTGGCCTATGCCTGAGCTTGTAAACACGGAGCTTCGTGTCTTCGTGTGAAGGTGGTGTTCTTCCGGAAACGCCAGTGTCCCTGGGGCGGGTCTCATGTGAAGCAAGCGCTTTACCAAGACGTGAGATACAAGCTTCCTAACCGGGAGATTGTGAAAGCGGAGGGAATGTGGGCAGAATCCTGAGCACAAGTGGTGACATTGACAAACCAGGGGCGGCAGTACGGAGGTTCTGAGAATGCATGTGAAGTGAGACCCACTCCTCTTACGGAGGATTTATCAGGAAGGATAAGGAGAGCTCCAGCACATCAGTGTTGGACCCACTGCATCGCCTGTGGTGCATTGCTTGACTGTAGGAGCTTCAGAGCATTCCAGGAGGTCTGGTTCTTTGATGACTCATCAAGATTTGGAGCACAGATACCCATGCACTGCAATAGTGATACTTATCAGCACGTCACATGGGATTTTGTTTTCATTTCACTTTAAGAATGTGCCATGTTGGCCGGGCGTGGTGGCTCACGCCTGTAATCCCAGCACTTTGGGAGGCCGAGGCGGGCGGATCACAAGGTCACAAGTTCAAAACCAGCCTGACCAACATGGTGAAACCCCATCTCTACTAAAAATACAAAAAAAGTCAGCCAGGCGTGGTGGCGCATGCCTGTAATTGTAGCTACTGGGGAGGCTGAGGCAGGAGAATCGCTTGAACCTGGGAGATGGAGGCTGCAGTGAGCCGAGATTGTGCCATTGCACTCCAGCCTGGGCAATAAGAGTGAAACTCCATCTCAAAAAAAAAAAAAAGAATTTGCCATGTGATCGTATTTCTAATCCTTTTCACTCTGGAATCCTGTCCTCACCATATTAATGTTGAATAGCATCTCAGGTTTCATTTCACAATGCGCGCATGGAGTTGGAAGGAGTTCAACAGACAGACAGTTTTTCTTTATCAACCGGCGGCCTTGTGACCCAGCAAAGGTATTTACAAGTTTTTTGTATTAGTTTATCCTTTATGCCTTTGACTTTTAATGGGTAACTTTTTTTCTGATAATAGGCAGTTTACATGGAACTCGGGACTTTGAGAAACATGGCTTTAACATTATCTAATTTTGGGCATTTACAGAAGTCTACTGCAGATGGTCCTCAACTTAAGATGTTTCAACTGAAGATTTTTCTGGCCAGGCACATGCCTGGTGGCTCATGCCTGCCATCCCATCACTTTGGGAGACCGAGGCAGGTGGATTGCTTGGGGCCAGGAGTTCAAGACCAGCCTGGCCAACATGACAAAACCCCGTCTCTACTAAAATACAAAAAATAGCCAGGCGTGGTGCCTCCTGCCTGTAATCCTAACTACATGGGAGGCTGAGGCAGGAGGATCGCTTGAATGTGGGAGGTGGAGGTTGCAGTGAGCCGAGATTGTGCCACTGCACTGCAGCCTGGGTGACAGAGTGAGACTGTGTCTCAAAAAAAAAATTATTTTTCTTTTTTTTTTTGAGGCGGAGTCTCACTCTGTCACTCTGGTGCGATCTCGGCTCACTGCAAGCTCCGCCTCCCGGGTTCACATCATTCTCCTGCCTCAGTCTCCTGAGTTGCTGGGACCACAGGCACCCACCACCATGCCCGGCTAATTTTTTATATTTTTAGTAGAGACGGGGTTTCACCATGTTAGCCAAGAAGGTCTTGATCTCCTGACCTTGTGATCCGCCCGCCTTGGCCTCCAAAAGTGCTGGGATTACAGGCATGAGCCACCGCACCTGGCCAAAAAAAAAAAATATTTTTCTACTACTTTACCTTGTTGCAGAAGTTATTTTTGCAGTAGATACCATCCTTCAAGTACCTATGGAACCATTGTTTTTCGGTATAGTATTCAATAAATTACAGAAGATACTCAACATTTTATTATAAAATAGGCAGTGTGTTATTTTGCCTATAGACTAATGTAAGTATTCTGAGGCAAGGCTGAGATAGGACATTCAGTAGGTTAGGTTATCACAAAGGCATTTTTGACATACAATATTTTCAACTTATGGGTTTATCAGGACACAACCCTATCATAAGTCAAGGAGTGTATCTATCTGTGTATAGTTTTTTTGTTGTTGTTTTTTGGGGTTTTTTTTTGAGGCAGAATCTCGCCCTGTTGCCCAGGCTGGAGTGCAATGGCGCAATCTTGGCTCACTGCAACCTCCACCTCCTGGGTTCAAGCGATTCTGCTGCCTCAGACTCCCAAGTAGCTGGGATTACAGGCCTGCGCCACCACGCCTGGCTAATTTTTTGTATCTTTAGTAGAGACAGGATTTCACCATGTGGCCGGGATGGTCTTGAACTCCTGACCTCGTGATCCGCCTGCCTTGGTCTCCCAAAGTGCTGAGATTACAGGCATGAGCCACTGCGCCTGGCCTCTATGTGTAGTTGTTTAAATTGCATATATGTGAGTGTGTTTGTATGTGTATATATACATTATATATATTGTGTGTACATATACATAAATATATAAACACATATTAATTGCCAGTATATTTATTATTGTAAAAACTAAAACTATTTGAAGAAACTAAACATTTTATAACATTCTGTGTCACCTTTCAGTATAAACTGATTACATGGTTTCTATATTTTCTACAGATTTCTATATTTTCTCTTCCTTCTTTCTATTTTCCTAGGAAAATAAGGGTTCAGATTGCTTCTGCCTCAAATTTAAACTGATCATCTTGATATGATTACAACACAACATTGTACCTCAGTAATATTTTCTGTTTCTCTTTTTCTCTTTTTATTTTTTTTGAGACGGCGTCTCACTCTGTTGCCCAGGCTGGAGTGCAGTGACGTGATCTCGGATCACTGCACCCTCCGCCTCCCAGGTTCAAGCAATTCTCCTGCCTCAGCTTCCTGAGTAGCTGGGATTATAGGCGCATGCTGCCATGCCCGGCTGATTTTTTGTATTTGAGTAAAGATGGGGTTTCACTGTGTTGCCTGGGCTGGTCAAGAGCTCCTGAGCTCAGGCAATCCACTTGCCTTGGCCTCCCAAAGTGCTGGGATTACAGGCACGAGCCACCGCTCCCGGTCCCTGTTTTTTAATGATGCTTTAGAGTTTGCGTGTAATCTGCCAGATGTGGTTGGTCTTCTAAATTTTTTAACCTACAGTGTGATGGATTCATAATTATTAATTGTAACTATTAATAATTAATGTGATATTTTGGTTTATTTCTAATGACATTTTAATGTCATAAATATGTTTCTATGTACATTGAATGTGCTTTATGAATATTTCAGCTGTGCCCGCATTTCACTAGAATTTCTCGTAGAGCAACTTTAGGTTGGAAAAAGATTCAGTTTTAGGAATCTATGATTAGCGAAATATCACTTCATGAGTTGTGAGGAAACTTTTGGTGATGGATATATTCATTATCTTGATTGTGGGGATAGTTTCACAGGTGTTTGTGTATATGTCAAATTTGTGAAATTGCAGACTTTAAATATGTGTAGTTTATTCCATGTTAGTCATATCTCAGTAAAGCTATTAAAAAATGTATTCTTAGGCCAGGTGTAGTGGCTCACGCCTATAATCCTAGCACTTTGGGAGGCCGAGGCAGGCAGATCAACTGAGGTCAGGAGTTCGAGACCAGCCTGGCCAATGTGGTGAAACCCCGTCTCTACTAAAAACACAAAAATTATCTGGTTGTGGTGGCGTGTGCCTGTAATCCCAGCTACTCTGGAGGCTGAGTCAGGTTAATCACTTGAGCCCTGGAGGTGAAGGTTGCAGTGAGCCAAGATCGCGCCATTACACTCCAGTCTGGGTAACAAGAGTGAGACCCCATCTCAAAAAAAAAAAAGAAAAAAGAAATCCTGCCTGTAGTCCAAGCTACATGGTAGGCTGAGGCAGGAAGATGACTTGAGCCTGGGAGGTTGAGGCTGCAGTGAGCCATGATTGCTCCACTGCACTCCAGCCTGTGACAAGCCGATACCTTGTCTCATTAAAATAAAAAAAATTCCCTTCTAAGAACATGCTGGTTGCTGGTTGGTTAGAATAGTATGTTCTTAGAATGTGGGGGGGCCGGGAATATTTGTCATTTATTCTTTCCTCCTCCTTGTATTTTGTGCAGGTCTCCAGACTTGTGAACGAGGTCTACCACATGTATAATCGACATCAGTATCCATTTGTTGTTCTTAACATTTCTGTTGATTCAGGTGAGTTCCATTGGCATTTCAGTACAACTAGTGACTAATGCCTCGAAGAATAAAATGAAATTATACAGCTCTGTTCTGATCGGAATGAGATAACAATTTATAGTCGTGTAAGTTTGTTGGTTTTCTTTTTTTTTTTTTTGAGACGGGGTCTTGATCTGTCACCCAGGCTGGAGTGCAGCGGCACAGTCTCGGCTCACTGCAAGCTCTGCCTCCCGGGTTCAAGAGATTCTCCTGCATTAGCCTCCCAAGTAGCTGGGACTACAGGTGTGTGCCACCACACCTGGTTAATTTTTTGTATTTTTAGTAGAGATGGGGTTTCACCGTGTTAGCCAGGATGGTCTCGATCTCCTGACCTCGTGATCTGCCCATCTTGGCTTCCCAAAGTGCTGGGATTTATAGGCATGAGCCACTATTCTTGACCCCGTAATTTTGTTTTTTTTTAAACAGAGTTCCCGCTTTCTACTTGAGACTTATGTTAATTGTATTATTAGGAGATTGTAATTTTTTTTATGCCAACCAAGGGAGAAAGTAGACTAAATGTTCTTCCTAATTTCACAAATAATTCATTTCATATAGATTTTTTTCTGTTTGTTAAAATTTTGGTTTATTGTCATTGAGTATTTTTTCTAGACACTTAGAAATACATATGTACATACCTTAAAAAATATCTTCTCTCCTCTTTCTCTTTCTTTCTCTCTCCCCTACTCTCATATTCTTTGGAATGAGAAAATAACTTTGTATACTGTGCTTTATTCTTAGATGTGAATGTTTTCTCTTCCGTGTTATTAAAACTTAATCAGAAATGTGATTTTAATAAGTGAATTATATTCCAATGCATGATTATAGTTTGGTATTTTAATTTTTAAATTTTTCAAAATTTAAGTTGTTTTTAGTTTTTGGAAATTAAAAATACTTTCCTTACAATTAAATCATTATCTGCATCTTTATTATTATATTTTTTTTGAGACAGAGTCTTGCTCTGTCTCCCAGGCTGGAGTGCAGCGGTGTAATCTCAGCTCACTGCAACCTCCGCTTCCTGAGTTCAAGCGATTCTCCCACCTGAGCCTCCTGAGTAGCAGGGATTACAGGTGCCCGCCACCACGCCTTACTCATCTTTTTGTATTTTTAGTAGAGACGGGGTTTTGCCATGTTGGCCGGGCTGATCTTGAACTCCTCACCTTAACTTATCCATTCGCCTCAGCTTCCCAAAGTGCTGGGATTACAGGGCGTGAGCCACTGCACTCAGCCTACACCTTTAATTATTCTTTCTTTTTTTTTTTTTTTTTGAGACGGAGTCTCGCTCTGTCGCCCAGGCTGGAGTGCAGTGGCCGGATCTCAGCTCACTGCAAGGTCCGCCTCCCGGATTTACACCATTCTCCTGCCTCCTGCCTCAGCCTCCCAAGTAGCTGGGACTACAGGCGCCCGCCACCTCGCCCAGCTAGTTTTTTGTATTTTTTAGTAGAGATGGGGTTTCACCGTGTTAGCCAGGATGGTCTTGATCTCCTGACCTCGCGATCCACCTGTCTCAGCCTCCCAAAGTGCTGGGATTACAGGCTTGAGCCACCGCGCCCGGCCACCTTTAATTATTCTTAAGATAAATTGCTAGGAGTAGAATTACTGGGTCCGTGAATATGATCATTTTAAGGCTTTTTCTATATTGCATTCTAGATGTACCAATTTACACATCTACCTATAATGTATTAGGTATTATAATGGTTAAACTAAATGCAGTAGGGGATTAAAATACCTTATTTTAGTTTGCATATTTAAAATTATTTTTATGTATTTATTTGCTTTTCCTTTAACAATTCAGCTTTTCAAGCCCTTCTATATTGTGTCTATTCAAAAACTGTCTTTTGCTCATTTATTTGAGAGACGGAGTTTCGCTCTTGTCACCAAGGCTAGGGTGCAATGGCATAATCTCGGCTCACTGCAACCTCTGCCTCCCGAGTTCAAGTGATTCTCCTGCCTCAGCTTCCCAAGTAGCTGGGACTACAGGCATGCGCCACAACGCCCAGCTAATTTTTGTATTTTTAGTAGAGATGGGATTTCACCATCTTGAGCAGGCTGGTCTTGATCTCCTGACCTCGTGATCCACCCGCCTTGGCCTCCCAAAGTTCTGGGATTGCAGGCATGAGCCACTGTGACCAGCATGAGAAAGGTGATTTCATAATGTATGAATATTAACCTGGACACTGTATTTTTTTAATAGTACTTGTGATAAATACAAGTGAATGAAATAATAGATGGGGAAATTTCTATTGTTAAAAGTGAATTTGGCTGGGTGCAGTGGCTGATGCCTGTAATCCCAGAACCTTGGGAGGCCAAAGTAGGTGGATCACTTGAGGTCAGGAGTTCGAGACCAGCCTGGCCAAAATGGTGAAACCCCGTCTCTACTAAAAATACAAAAATTAGCCAGTGTGGTGGCACTCGCCTGTAATCCCAGCTACTTCGGAGGCTGAGGCCGGGAGAATCACTTGAACCCAGGAGGCGGAGGTTGCAGTGAGCTGAGATCGCGCCACTGCACTCCAGCCTAGGTGACAGAGTGAGACCCTGTCTGAAAATAATAATAATTAATAAGTAAAAGTGAATTTAAACATAATAAATGTGTTTTCTTTTTTTCCTTAGAATGTGTTGATATCAATGTTACTCCAGATAAAAGGCAAATTTTGCTACAAGAGGAAAAGCTTTTGTTGGCAGTTTTAAAGACCTCTTTGATAGGAATGTTTGATAGTGATGTCAACAAGCTGAATGTCAGTCAGCAGCCACTGCTGGATATTGAAGGTAAGAAAAATACTGTGTACAAACAGCTTCTAAAGCTTTCAGCTAATGTGTTTCCTTATTTTTTCCAAGGTAAGCTTTTTTTTTTTTTGACATGAAACAAAGTCTCTTATACTATCATTTTTAATTTTTTTTTGAGACAGGGACTTGCTCTGTCACCCAGGCTGGACTGCAGTGGCGTCCATCGTAGCTCACTGCAGCTTCAAACTCCTGGGCTCAAGCCATCTTCCTGCCTCAGCCTCCCAAGTAGCTGCCTCCAAGTACCTCTAGTTTTTTGTAAATTGTAAATGGATGACGTAATATAAGATATATGATTGGAAGAAGTCTACAGTGACTGCATTTTTTTTTTTTTTTTTTGAGAGGGAGTCTGAGTCTGGCTCTGTGGCCCAGGCTGGAGTGCAGTGGCCGGATCTCAGCTCACTGCAAGCTCCGCCTCCCGGGTTTACGCCATTCTCCTGCCTCAGCCTCCCGAGTAGCTGGGACTACAGGCGCCCGCCACCTCGCCCGGCTAGTTTTTTTGTATTTTTTAGTAGAGACGGGGTTTCACCATGTTAGCCAGGCTGGTCTCGATCTCCTGACCTCGTGATCCGCCCGTCTCGACCTCCCAAAGTGCTGGGATTACAGGCTTGAGCCACCGCGCCCGGCCAGTGACTGCATTTTTAACTCCCTTGTCATGCCTGTTTTTTTGAGATGGAGTTTCGCTCTCGTTGCTCAGGCTGGAGTGCAATGACGTGATCTCAGCTTACTGCAACCTTGAAGCCTCCTGGGTTCAAGAGATTCTCCTGCCTCAGCCTCCCGAGTAGCTGTGATTACAGGCGCCTGCCACCACACCTGGCTAATGTTTGTATTTTCGTTAGAGATGGGGTTTCTCCATGTTGCCCAGGCTGGTCTCGAACTCTTGAGCTCAAGCGATCCTCTAGCCTTGGCCTCTGAAAATGCTGGGATTTCCTGACTTCTAACAGAATTTAGGCTGGGCGTGGTGGCTCACGCCTGTAATCCCAGTACTTTGGGAGGCCGAGGTGTGCAGATCACGAGGTCAGGAGATCGAGACCATCCTGGCTAACATGATGAAACCCTGTCTCTACTAAAAATACAAAAAATTAACCCGGCGTGGTGGCGGGTGCCTGTAGTCCCAGCTATTTGGGAGGCTGAGGCAGGAGAATGGCGTGAACTCGGGAGGCAGAGCTTGCAGTGAGCTGAGATCCTGCCACCGCACTCCAGCCTGGGCGACAGAGCAAGACACTGTCTCAAAACAAACTAACAAAAAAACTGTAACAGTATAGTTTAATCTGTTTTTAATTTGAGGTTATTCAGTCTGTCCTTCTCTGTGATTTGTTGCTTTCTCTCATTATTTCGTTTGTGAGATTCACCCAAGTCATGTGGCAAAATTCATTTATTCATTTGCTGTACAGTGTTCCATTATAGTCAGATACCGTAATTTGTGAATATTGGAATTGTTTCCAGTTTGGGGCTATAATGGAGAATGCTGTCATGAACATCCTTATCCATGTCTTTTAACAAGCATGCATAGGTAGTTCTTCTTTTTTTTTTTGCGAGGGAGTCTCACTCTGTCGCCCAGGCTGGAGTACAGTGGAGTGATCTTGGCTCACTGCAACCCCCGTCTTCCAGGTTCAAGTGATTCTCCTGCCTCATTCTCATCCTCCGTAGTAGCTGGGATTATAAGTTTTTTCCACTGTGCCCTGCTAATTTTTTTTTGTATTTTTAGTAGAGACGAGGTTTCACCATGTTGGTCAGGCTGATCTTGAACTCCTGACCTCAAAGGGTGAGGATTACAGACGTGAGCCACTATGCCCAGCCAATAGGCACTTCTGATAGGAGTACTATGCTGGGTTGCAGGTGTGCATACATTCAGATTTAGGAGGTATTCCCAGAGAGCTTTTCAAAGCAGCTGTACCAGGTTCATTCCTACCAGAGGTATTCAGTCATTCCCCTCGATCCTGATCTTTGTGAGAATTTTTTTTTTAATTTTGCCCATTCTGGTGAGTATATGGCCACATCGTATTGTGTTGGTTTTTTTTGAGACAGAGTCTCGCTCTGTCACCCAGGCTGGAGAGCAGTGGTGACATCTTGCTCATTGCAACCTCTGCCTCCCGGGCTAAAGGGATTCTCGTGCCTCAGCTTCCCAGGTAGCTGGGATTACAGATGTGCCCCACCTCACCCGGCTAATTTTTGTATATTTAGTAGAAACAGGGTTTCGCCATGTTGTCCAGACTGGTCTCGAACTCCTAGCCTCATGTGATCCACCTGCCTTGGCCTCCCAAAGTGCTGGGATAACAGGCGTGAGCCACCACACCTGGCCCATGTTATAGTTTTATTTTGAACATTGAACCGTGTTCATCTGTGTAATTAGCATGTGGATCTCCTCTTTTGTGAAGTATCTGTTCACATAAGCACGTCCTCTCACCATTTCAGGATAGTCCCTGACCCTCTTCTCCGTTCACGTTTGCTTAGGTAACTTAGTAAAAATGCATGCAGTGGATTTGGAGAAGCCCCTGGTAGAAAAGCAGGATCATTCCCCTTCATTAAGGACTCGAGAAGAAAAAAGGGACGTGTCCATTTCCAGACTGCGAGAGGCCTTTTCTCTTCGTCACACAACGGAGAACAAGCCTCACAGCCCAAAGACTCCAGAAGCAAGAAGGAGCCCTCCAGGACAGAAAAGGGGTATGCCATCTTCTAGCACTTCAGATGCCGTCTCTGACAGAGGCTTCCTGAGACCTCAGAAAGAGACAGCGAGTTCTGGTCAGGGACCCAGTGACCCTACGGACGGAGCGGAGGTGGAGAAGGACTCGGGGCACGGCAGCACTTCCGTGGATTCTGAGGGGTTCAGCATCCCAGACACGGGCAGTCACTGCAGCAGCGAGTGTGCGGCCAGCTCCCCAGAGGACAGGGGCTCACAGGAACACGCGGACTCTCATGGGAAAGTGCCTGAAACTGACGACTCTTTTTCAGATGTGGACTGCCATCCAAACCAGGAAGACACAGGGTGTAAATTTCGAGTTTCGCCTCAGCCAACTAATCTCGCATCCCCAAACACAAAGCGTTTTAAAAAAGAAGAAATTCTTTCCAATTCTGACATTCGTCAAAAGTTAGTAAATACTCAGAACGTGTCAGCCTCTCAGGTTGATGTAGCTGTTAAAATTAATAAGAAGGTTGTAGCCCTGGACTTTTCTATGAGTTCTCTAGCTAAACGAATAAAGCAGTTACATCGTGAAACACAGCAAAGTGAAGGTGAACAGAATTATAGGAAGTTTAGGGCAAAGATTTGCCCTGGAGAAAATCAAGCAGCTGAAGATGAACTAAGAAAAGAGATAAGGTAACATTTTAATTTTTTACTTTTATTTAAATTTTTGTTTATTTTATTTTTTTGAGACAGAGTCTCGCTCTGTTGCGCCGGCTGGAGTGCAGTGGCGCGATCTTGGCTCACTGCAGCCTCCACCTCCCGGATTCAAGTGATTCTCCTGCCTCAGCCTCCTGAGTAGCTGGGATTACAGGTGCGCACCACCATGCCTGGCTAATTTGTGTATTTTTGGTGAAAACAGGGTTTCACCATGTTGGCCGGGCTGGTCTTGAACTCCTGACTTCAGGTGATCCACCCACCTCGGCCTCTGAAAGTGCTGGGATTACAGACGTGAGCCACCGCCCCCAGCCAGGTGAAGTTTTTTCTTTTTTTTTTTTTTTTTTTGAGACGGAGTCTTGCTCTGTCGCCCAGGCTGGAGTGCAGTGGCCAGATCTCGGCTCACTGCAAGCTCCGCCTCCCGGGTTCCCGCCATTCTCCTGCCTCAGCCTCCCGAGTAGCTGGGACTACAGGCACCCGCCACCTCGCCCGGCTAGTTTTTTTTTTTTTTGTAATATTTAGTAGAGACAGGGTTTCACCGTGTTAGCCAGGATGGTCTCGATCTCCCGACCTTGTGATCCACCCGTCTCCGCCTCCCAAAGTGCTGGGATTACAGGCTTGAGCCACCGCGCCCGGCCAGTTTTTTCTTAAGAGTATTTTGAAGCTGGGTGCGGTGGCTCACGCCTGTAATCCCTGCACTTTGGGAAGCCAAGCCGAGGAGGGAGGATTACTTGAGTCCCGGAGTTCAAGATCAGCCTGGGCAACATAGGGAGACCCTGTCTCTACAATAAAATTGGCCGGGCACGGTAGTGCACAGTTGTAATTCCAGCATCTGCGCCTGGCCAGATACTGTTCTCTGTGGCAGGACATAGACTCCAAGGACATGGAAGACTTGGGTCTTTTAGGCCAGCACCAGCTTTTGAGCAGATTATCTGTGTACTGGGAACCAGGGCACATTCAGACAATTCCCGGGAGAGCCTGGGATCGGCACCAGGGGAGGTGGTATTTGTGCTGGTATCTGGGATGCTTCTGGGATGTCCTTTCCCTTCCCTCCTGCGGTGCAGGAGTTCCTGCATCATCACTCACTCTGGCAGCTTCTCTTCATCCAGCAGGCTGCAGCCACTCCTGCTCTAAGGAGATCTGAAACTCAGCCTGAGTGGAGGGGGGCCTTTTACAAGAGTTCCTTTTCTGCCGGGCATGGTGGCTCGTGCCTGTAATCCCAGCACTTTGGGAGGCAGAGGCGGGTGGATCACCTGAGGCCGGGAGTTCGAGACCAGCCTGACCAACATGGAGAAACCTTGTCTCTACTAAAAATGCAAAGTTACTGGGATGTGGTGGTGCACGCCTGTAATCCCAGCTACTCGGGAGGCTGAGGCAGGAGAATCACTTGAACCTGGGATGCGAAGGTTGTGGTGAGTCAAGATAGCACCACTGCACTCCAGCCTGGGCAACAAGAGCGAACTCCATCTCAAAAACAAAAAAAAGAAAGAAAAAGAAAACAAAAAGAAGAGTTCCTTTTCTGAGGACTCTCCCTCTTCCCTAGAGATAGTAGCATTTTTCCATTCCTGTATTCATTAGCATAGTAGTTAACCACTTTGTACTAGTTTGTGTAATGCTTTATTATACATTTTTCCTCCTCAGGCCTGGCATGGTGGTGCACACCTTGTAATTCCAGCACTTTGGGAGGCTGAAGCAGGGAGTTTGAGAACAGCCTGGGCAATATAATGAGACCCCATCTCTAAAGAAAAAAAAAATTAGCCAAGTACACTGCTGCACGTCTGTAGTCCCAGGTACTCAGGAGGCTGAGGCGGGAGGCTCACTTGAGCCCAGGAGTTTGAGGCTGCAGTGAGCTATGATCATGCCATTGTGCTGCAGCCTGGGTGACAGAGCAAGACCCTGTCTTTAAAAGCAAAAAACAAAAAACAGAATCCCTGTTAAAATCGCTGGTGTGGTTTTTGTCTCTTGATTGTACTCTGACTCATCTGGAATTGGTACCAGGAGACAGACCCTCGAAGATAAGATTTGGGGATTGGTTTGGTTATGACTTGGATTTGAGCTCTGTGTGGAGCCCCCCACAATAGGAAACGTGGGCTCAGTAATCCATGCCATGTGGAGGTCTCACAGTTCACCAGACTGTCCCCTGTGGTTGATTGTGATGGTGACAAGCATGGTGGCATGGGACTGGGTCTTCCTGGAGCACTTATAGAAAGAAACAACAATATCAGCTCCTTTATTTTTTTTTTGAGACAGAGTCTCGCTCTTTCACCCAGGTTGGAGTGCACTGGTACGATCTCAGCTCACTGCAACCTCTGCCTCCTGGGTTCAAGCAATTCTTCTGCCTTAGTTTCCCAAGTAGCTGGGAGTACAGGTGCCCACCACCGTGCCTGGCTAATTTTTTTATTTTTAGTAGAGATGGGATTTCACCATGTTGGCCAGGCTGGTCTTGAACTCCCAACCTCAAATGATCTGCCCACCTTGGCCTCCCAAAGTGCTGGGATTACAGGCGTGAGCCCCTGTGCCTGGCCTAATCTCAGCTCCTTTCATCCTCAGCTCAGGCCACCTGGTGAGAACCAGAAAACGTCCATGGTTTAACAGAGTCTGCTTTAAAACGTCTGCTTTAACAGAGTCATTTCTTATAGTCACAGCACCGATACTGCGGGAAATCCATTTTCACCGCGTTTACTTGTGTGGGACTGAGAGTGACAGTGTCAGTTTCTCGTGTGAAGGTTGGGGGCGGTGTCTGTCTTTTGTCTGGATTGACTAAGATAGTATCTATGACATTAGATGTTGAAGCCACCCAGCAAAGGACCCAGGGGTCGGCCTGGCAGAGGTTAGAAGGATTGATATCCAGTATTGGCAAAAGGTACCCTTAGATACCATTGGCGGGAGTGTGCATTTTCTCAGATTTCCCATCAAAAAGTACATATGTGATTCTCCCTCTAGCGTCTGTCTCCCGGAAATGCACCCACAGATGAGCAGGTTTATGCACAGAAGTCTTTGTTGCAGCTTTGAGCGCACGATTGAAATTGGAAACAACTGAAATGTGCTTTAGTCGGGAATTTGACAGACAAATTATGGTACATCCGTGCAGTGACTTCCTATATGGCCATTAAAAAGAATGAAGTAGGCCGGGCACGGTGGCTCACACCTGTAATCCCAGCACTTTGGGAGGTCAAGGCGGGTGGATCACTTGAGGTCAAGAGTTCAAGACCAGCCTGGCCAACATGGTGAAACCTCGTCTCTACTAAAAATAAAAAATTAGCTGGGCTTGACGGTGCATGCCTGTAGTCCCAGCTACTCGAGAGGCTGAGGCAGGAGAATTGCTTGAACCCAGGACCATAGGTTGCCTTGAGCCAAGGTCGTGCCACTGCAGGCCAGCCTGGGCAACAGAGTGAGACTCCGTGTTAGAAAAATAATATTAAAAAAAAATGAAGTAGATCTGCGTGTACAGATCTGCAAACATCTTTCAGATGCATTAAGTGATGACAGTGGAATGGAGAATTAAGGTTCCATTTTTGTTTTTTAAAATTAAAAAAAATTTATATAGAGAGACAAGGGTCTAGAAGGATATATTCCATTTAAATTGTTAATAGTAGCAACTGATGCCTTCTCCAGAGACTTGGATGAATGAATAATTAATGTTATCTTTAGAAAGTGGGATGGTTAAGCCAGGTGCAGTGACTCATGCCTGTAATCCCAGCACTTTGTGAGACCGAGGCGGGCAGATCATGAGGTCAGGAGTTCGAGACCAGCCTGACCAACATGATTAAACTCTTGCCTCTACTAAAAATACAAAAATTGGCTGGGCATGGTGGCATTTGCCTGTAATCCCAGCTACTCAGGAGGCTGAGGCAGAAGAATCACTTGAACCTGGGAGGTGGAGGTTGCAGTGAACTGAGATTGTGCCATTGCACTCCATCCTGGGTGACAGAACGAGACTCTGTCTTAAAAAAAAAAAAAAAAAAAAAAAAAAAGAAAGTAGGATGACTGGGGACTTTATTTTGTGTTTTTGTATTGTGTGACTTTTTTTTATTACAGTCGTCTATAACAAAATCAGAAAAATAATCTTGTAAAGTATCTCATAATTAACATTTTCTACCTGCAGTAAAACGATGTTTGCAGAAATGGAAATCATTGGTCAGTTTAACCTGGGATTTATAATAACCAAACTGAACGAGGATCTCTTCATAGTGGACCAGCATGCCACAGATGAGAAATATAACTTTGAGATGCTGCAACAGCACACCGTGCTCCAGGGACAGAGGCTTATTGCGTAAGTTTTTTTTAGTGTTGATTCCCAAACTCCCCCTCAAATTTAAGATCTAGGCCGGGCGCGGTGGCTCACGCCTATAACCCCAGCACTTTGGGAGGCCGAGACGGGCAGATCACGAGGTCAGCAGATTGAGAACATCCTGGCTAACACGGTGAAACCCTGTCTCTACTAAAAAAAAAATACAAAAAATTAGCCAGGCACGGTGGCGGGCACCTGTAGTCCCAGCTACTCGGGAGGCTGAGGCAGGAGAATGGCCTGAACCTGGGAGGCGGAACTTGCAGTGAGCTGAGATCCGGCCACTGCACTCCAGCCTGGGCAACGGAGTGAGCCTGCATCTCAAAAAAAAAAAAAAAAAAAAAAAAAAAAAATCTAACAGAAGCCGAGGCAAGAGGATCACAAGAGACCAGCAGTTTGAGACCAGCCTGGGCAACATAGCAAGACCTCGTATCTACTAAAAAAGGAAGAGATCTAGGAAGGAGGGGTGTAAAAAATAAAAAAGATCGAACTGGCCGGGTGCAATGCCTCACACCTGTAATCCCAGCACTTTGGGAGGCCGAGGCAGGTGATCACCTGAGGTCAGGAGTTCGAGAGCAGCCTGGCCAACATGGTGAAACCCCACCTCTACTAAAAATACAAAAAGGCCGGGCGCGGTGGCTCATGCCTGTAATCCTAGCACTTTGGGAGGCTGAGGCAGATGGATCACTCCAGGTCCGGAGTTCGAGACCAGCTTGACCAACATGGTGAGACCCTGTCTGTAGTAAAAATACAAAATTAGCCAGGCATGGTGGCGGGCACCTGTAATCCCAGCTACTTGGGAGGCTGAGGCAGGAGAATCACTTGAACCCGGGAGATGGAGGTTGTGGTGAGCCGAGTTTGCACCATTGCACTCCAGCCTGGGCAGCAAGAGTGAAACTCCATCTCAAAAAAAAAATAATAATGATAAAAAGTAAAAATACAAAAAATTAGCCAGGCATGACGGTGCACGTCTGTAATTCCAGATACTCAGGAGGCTGAGGTAGGAAATCGCTTAAACCTGGGAGATAGACGTTGCAGTGAGCCGAGATCCACCACTGCACGCCAGCCTAGGCGACACAGCGAGACTCCATCTCAAAAAAAAAAAAAAAGATCTACTAGTTTATATGTGTGTCTATATGTATATATGTATTTTTCCATAAGTATTCATATAGCAGATTTTTATACTTTTTACATAATAATAGTGATAGTTACCATTTACTGAATGCCTAGTATCTGCCAGGCACTGTTGAAATAATGTATGTGTATTAGTTCATTTAATCCTCAAAAACCAATGAGGTTGTTACTGTTACCATCACCATTCCACAAGTGATAAAACTGAGGCACACTGAGAGGTTGAGTAACCTGCCCAAGTTCACACAGTTAACATGTTCTCTAAGTATCAGACCTTTTTAGCTATTAAAAATGTTGATCACTGGTTAGGCAGAAGCTCCTTTTGATGAGGGCAATTTATAGTGCCCAGTATTAGTATGGATAGTGTATGGAATGTGTGTGTTCAGAAAGACAGCCTGTGCACCAGTCTTGATTTACAGTAGAGTAATCAGAAGTCAGATGGTTGCTGCAGGTTGGGTGCAGGGGCACACGCCTGTAATCCCAGAGCTTTGGGAGGCTGAGGCAGGCAGATCCCTTGAGCTTAGGAGTTTGAGACCAGCCTGGGCATCATGGTGAAACCCTGTCTCTACAACAAATATAAAAAATTAGCCAGACTTGATAGTGTGTGCCTGTGGTCCCAGCTATTCAGGAGGCTGAGGTGGGAGGATCATTTGAGCCCAGGAGATTGAGGCTACCATGGTTGTGCCACTGCACAGCACTCCGGCCTGGGAGACAGAGTGAGACAGTGAGACCCTGTCTTACAAACAAATAAAATATAAACATGCCACTGCATAGCACTCCGGCCTGGGAGACAGAGTGAGACTGTGAGACTCTGCCTCACAAATAAATAAAATAAAATATAAACATTATTTTAAGATAGTCACTGCAGAATTTGGTATTTCTCTTTCCTCGGCCAAACTGGGATGTTTTACCCTGATCACTTTACAAAGGCCAGGTGTGATAGTGTATAGTATAAAACCAAAGTACTGTCTTGAGCAAAGTTGTAAGAAGAGGTCATGGATTTTCGTGCGGGAAACTAAACCACACAGAGAAGTAAACTGAGATCCCAACGAGTAGATCCCACATGGAGAAATGTATCCCTGAACAGCTGGAAAAAACCTATCTAGCTTACTGAGTACTCTCCCATGGAATGCATGAATTGTTTTTATTCTCAGTAGGAGGCAATGGTAATAATAAAGACATTTAGTAAGCTACTTTATAATCCTGACATATCCCTTCCCTGTTCCTCTTAATGGAGGTTTTTCTTTTCTTTTCTTTTCTTTTTTTTTTTTGAGACAGAGTTTCGCTCCTTTGCCCAGGCTGGAGAGCAGTGGTGTGATCTCGGCTCACTGCAACCTCTGCCTCCCGGTTCAAGTGATTCTTTTGTCTCAGCCTCCTGAGTAGCTGGGACTACAGGCACCTGCCTGCCACACCTGGCTAATTTTTGTATTTTTAGTAGAGAGGGGGTTGTGCCATGTTGATCAGGCTAGTCTCGAACTCCTGACCTCAAGTGATCCACCTGCCTCAGCCTCCCAAAGTGCTGGGATTGCAGGCATGAGCCTCCGTGCCCAGCTGAGGTCTTGTATTTTTTAGCCATTTGGCAAAAATAACCTCTCGTCTGTGACATCTCAAGTTGGCCCAGGTAATCACAGACCACTTTGGGTCCCAGATGGACCACACTTCAAGATTAAAGGATAAAGGCCCAGTTCCACCCTGCCTGCCAGCCCCTGCATAGGGTGGCCCCGTTGACCTCTGTAGCTTTTCCCGTTCCTCTTCCTCTTGTTCCCTGTACTCGAGCCTCTCTGGCCATCTTTCTTTTTCCCTTGGCAGGCCTGATGAATCCCTGTGTGGCCACTAAGCAGAATGAAGGATATCTTTACGTGTGGCTCTGCAAACATAAGCAGTCCATCCCGGGGCTTGGCACACATTGTTGTCTCTGCCTAGAGTACTTGTCCTGCCCCCTGCACCCACTTCTCCCCGATTACCTGATTAACTCTCTCTTATCCCCAGACTCAGCTCAGAGGTCACTTCCTGACCCCAGGTGAAGTCTCACTTATGACACTGGGTGCTTTTTCTTCCTGACCTTCCTGTCATTTGTCATCATAATCGACTTGCATGAGTATCTGCTCAACATCTTTCTTCCCCAGTAATCTGTTAGCTCCAGGACCACGCCTGTGTTTGCTCACTGGCTGTCTCCTGCCTTTAGCAGTGTTTGTCTGATCCAGCACTCAGAACTGGATGCAGTGGCTCACACTTGTAATCCCAGCACTTTCAGAGGCCGAGGTGAGAGGATCGCTTGAGCCCAGGAGTTTGAGACCAGCCTAGGCAACATAGTGAGACCTTGTCTCTATCTTTGAAAAAATAACAAAAAGTTAAAAAAAAAAAAAAAAAAAAAGCACACACTAAATCCAGGAGAAGGATGGAGATATAATACAGGCAAAGGATGGAACAGGATAGCAAAATAAATTCTGTCTGTTCATTCTGTTTACAAATGCTGGCAATGACCTAACCCAGTGTTTCAAATTCTCTATTAGAAGGAGGAAAAATAGCATTTTTGTGATATTGTTATCCTTAAGGAAAGGATTCAGAAAAAGTTGGAGTCACTGAGGTGGCAGACTGGGGAAAAGGCAAACTACTTTTGTAGCTACTTTAACTTTTTTTTTTTTGAGACAGAGTCTTGCCCTGGTGCCCAGGCTGGAGTGCAGTGGTGCGATCTCAGCTCACTGCAACCTCCGCCTCCTGGGTTCAAGCAATTCTAGTGCCTCAGCCTCCCAAGTAGCTGGGATTACAGGCACGAGCCAGCACTTCCAGCTCATTTTCTTTGTGGGTTTTTTTTTTTTTAATTTTTTGGAGATAGTCTTGTCGTGTCTCCGAGGCTAGAGTGCAGTGGCGTGATCTTGGCTCACTGCAGCCTCTGCCTCCTGGGTTCCAACGAATCTCCTGCCTAAGCCTCCCAAGTAGCTGGGACTACAGGCATGCGCCACCATGCCTGGCCTAATTTTTATATTTTTAGTAGAGAGAGGGTTTCACCATGTTGACCAGGGTGGTCTCAAACTCCTGGCCTCAAGAGATCTGCCTGCCTTGGCCTCCTAAAGTGCTGAGATTACAGGCATGAGCCACTGCACCTGGCCTGTAGCTACTTTAACTTCTAAAAAGAACTTTAAGAAAGAGAAAATTAAAAGGAACTTCTCAGGAAGTTTTATGACACTTAGCTGAATAGTGTTGTTATTCATGTTGCTATTTTGACATGAATTCAAAATACAGTATTGTTGTTCTCATTTCATTTCTGCTGTAAAGCTAAATGTTTGGCTTCAGGATACAGTTTGCATCATTTTTGTGTTTTTCAGACCTCAGACTCTCAACTTAACTGCTGTTAATGAAGCTGTTCTGATAGAAAATCTGGAAATATTTAGAAAGAATGGCTTTGATTTTGTTATTGATGAAAATGGTAAGTTATTTATTAGAACCATAGCGGCTGGGTGTGGTGACTCAAACCTGTAATCCCAGCACTCTGGGAGGCCAAGGCGGGCAGATCGCCCGAAGTCAGGAGTTCGAGACCAGCCTGGCCAGCATGGTGAAACCCCATTTCTACTGAAAATAGAAAAATTAGCTGGGTGTGGTGGCGGGCGCCTGTCATCCCAATTACTCAGGAGGCTGAGGTGGGAGAATTGCTTGAACCCAGGAGACAAGGGTTGCAGTGAGCCGAGATCATGTCACTGCACTCCAGCCTGGGTGACAAGAGTGAAACTCTGTCTCAAAAAAAAAAAAAAAAAAAAAAAATAGAACTATAGATTCTTATCTTTTTAGAGCTGGGAATAATCTTTCAGGTCATACAGACCAGTTTTTTTATTTTATAAAAGATGAAAAAGGCTCCCCCAAAAAGCATTTTGTGACTGTCCTCTCTCTCAGATGTTCATTCTTTTTTTTTTTTTTGAGATGGAATCTCAATCTCGGCTCACTGCAAGCTCCACCTCCCGGGTTCACACCATTCTCCTGCCTCAACCTCCTGAGTAGCTGGGACTACAGGCCTGGCTAATTTTTTCTATTTTTTAGTAGAGACGGGGTTTCACCATGTTAGCCAGGATGGTCTCTATCTCCTGACATCATGATTCGCCCACCTCGGCCTCCCAAAGTGCTAGGATTACAGGCGTGAGCCACCGCGCCCGGCCTCAGATGTTCATTCTAAGTAGCTTTCAAGTGAAACGTGTTTCTCAAGTCATGGATTTTTCTCAAAATTGTATTCTTTTAGCTCCAGTGACCGAAAGGGCTAAATTGATTTCCTTGCCAACTAGTAAAAACTGGACCTTCGGACCCCAGGACATTGATGAACTGATCTTTATGCTAAGCGACAGCCCTGGGGTCATGTGCCGGCCGTCCCGAGTCAAGCAGATGTTTGCCTCCAGAGCCTGTCGGAAGTCGGTGAGTAAAGAAAGCCCGGCTGTCAGCTCAGCTGCTCCAGCTTACAGTCTGAGGAAGGTCTCAGCCCAGCTCCTGAGTTGGTCAAGGCTGTTAAACGCCTTTGTGATTGCTAGGGGTCATTTTACACAGAGCTACGTGGAACATCGTGGCTGAGCATCTATGTAGCTGCATTCTCTGGGACCGTGGACTCATAATTATTGCTCTTTTGTTACCTCAGTTAAACAGTATTCCTGGCTGGGCGCAGTGGCTCACGCCTCTAATCCCAGCACTTTGGGAGGCCGAGGCGGGAGGATCACGAGTTCAGGAGATCAAGACCATCCTGGCTAACACGGTGAAACCCCGTCTCTACCAAAAAATACAAAAAAATTAGCCAGACGTGGTGGTGGCCACCTGTAGTCCCAGCTACTTGGGAGGCTGAGGCAGGAGAATGGTGAGAACCCGGGAGGTGGAGATTGCAGTGAGCCGAGTTCACACCACTGCACTCCAACCTGGGCGGCAGAGCGAGACTCCGTCTCAAAACAAAAAAAACCCAACAGTATTCTTTATTTTTTTAAGACGGGATCTCCCTCTGTCGCCCAGGCTGGAGTGTAGTGGCGCAATCACAGTTCACGGTAGCCTTGACCTCCCAGGCTGAAGCGATCCTCCTGCCTCTGTCTTCCGAGTAGCTGTGACTACAGGCACGTACCACCATGCCCAGCTAATGTTTGTGACTCATTACCTTCTGTCAGTATTCCGGTGTCTGTGAGAAACATGAGTCTCCTTTTGCCCATGCCTCAGCCTCCCAAAGTGGAATTACACGAGGCATGAGCCACCATTGCCAGCCAGTGCTCTCAGGCTTTCGGTGGCTCAGCGCAGTTAGTGGTTGAGGCACCTTGTTCGCCTATGGACCTCATAGGTCCTAGCAGCACTGGTAGATAGAGTTTGCTGCAGGACTTCCGACATTGGAGACAAGGTTCTGCAAGTCTAGCCGAGGCGGCGCGGGTGCTTCACGAGTGCTGTGGTTATGCGTTGCCGTGGCACCACGCTCAAAGCTGCTCTGGACAGTGTTAGAAGGTGGTATTATGGGGAGAAGCTCGCCTACAGTGAGGATTAGCCTGATGTCTAAGAAAAGTGACTCTGTATCAGCTGGCATTGGAAGGCCAGGATGCCACGTCGTTTATTTATTGTAGATGCTCCTTGAGCCCCTGCTGTGAGCCTCTCTGCACTCCCACTGGAGTGCTGGGGACACCCAGAGTAACAAGCGACTTGCAGCCTGCCCTGTGGAGTGAACGGTAGGGAGAAACAGACATCACCACAAAATGGCAGCGCATTGGATGCCAGTAGGCACAGCCAGAGATTCAAACCATTTGTTTGTTTTGGGAATGATCTTATCTGCTCTGAACAGTCACGGTGATGGTCTGGCTCACTGCAACTCCACTTCTGGGTTCAGCCAACCCAAGCACCACCTCAGCCTCCCGAGTAGCTGGGACTACAGGTATGCACCACCACACCTGGCTAATTTTATATTTTAGCTAGAGACGGGGTTTCACCATGTTGGTCAGGCTAGTGATCTGACCTGGCTGATCCGCCCACTCGGTGACCTCAGTGCTCAGGTTCAGGCGTGAGCCTGCCTGGCCTAAAACAAGCGTCTTGGGACAGGAAATGGCTACAAAAAACATAGACCAGTGGTGGTCAGGGAACAGCATCTGGGCAGGTGGCACATCTCAGCTGCATCTAAGTGAAATTGAAAGATTAACTGGGCGTGGTGGCATGTGCCTGCAGTCAGCCAGCTACTCAGGAGGCTGGGAGGTGGAAGAGATCACTTGAGCCGGGAGGAAGTTGCAATGGAGGCAAGATCATAGCTGCCCTCCAGCCCTAGTGTTTCAAAAGTAAGACCTTATTCAAAAAAAAAAAAAAGTAGAGCTGACCTCTTAGTGAAACTTTCCAAGTGGAGGAAGTAGCAAGACTGAAGCCAAGTGATTGCATACAGAGGAAGGGTAGGCAGGCTGTCAGGCGTCAAGTATTGCAGTCATGCACCTGGAGCCCTGGGAGTCTGTGCTGTGTGTGGCTGGAGCCACTGGGAAGAACAGACTCGGGAGTCCCCATGATTGCAGCTGCTGGAGAAGAGAACAGGCTGAAGAGGGTGCCAGCTGAGGCAGCTAGGAAACAGCGGCTAGAGGCCACGTGGGGGAGGTAGGTGGGAGGGGCCTATGTGGGGCATCAGGTGTAACTTACAGCCACAAGTTAGATAAATGACCAAAGGCAGGATTTAATTAGAAGAGAGACAGAGTCCCAGTTAGCCACGGTATTTCTTTGATAAGAGACCTAATGGGCTGGGCGTAGTGACTCACACCTGTAATCCCAGCACTTTGGGAGGCCGAAGTGGGCTGATTACCAGGTCAGGAATTTGAAACCAGCCTGGCCAACATAGTGAAACCTCACCCCAACTAAAAGTACAAAAGTGTTAGGTGGGTGTGGTGGCGGCGCCTGTAATCCCAGCTACTCGGGAGGCTGAGGCAGGAGAATTGTGAATCTGGGGAGGCGGGAGGTGCAGTGATGGCTGGGGATCGCACGCTGCACTCCAGTCTGGGAGGCAGTCTCTACACACCTGCCTACTTAAAAAAGCAGCACGAGACTATAAATATGGATTGCCTTTATGTTGTGGCATCACATGGGTAGAGTGGGAACTGGGACTCCCAGCTAGTCCCAGTTTTGATGTCCCGAGTCTTTAGTGTGACTCAGGAGGCCGAGAGATCAGCGACCATCTTCCCTCCGCCTGGCCTACTCCCTCAATCTCTCGGTGTCTTGCTCCTGCCCCTTGCCCTTCAGCCCCCACCTCCTCCCTACCACGCCCAGCCCCCACCTCCTCACACTTCCAGCCATGCCTGCCACAACCCAGTTCCACACTTGCCCAGTCTCCTCCCTTGCCCACCCATTCTCCCTCGCTCCCCTCTACCTGGGTTTGCCACCTTCACCCTTCACCCCCTCCCACACACAGGCAGGCCCCCTCTCCTGGGCCATCTGTCTTGATTCTCTCTCTGTTGGCCTGTGATTATCTATCTATCCTCCGACCTGGTGAGACCTGCCATCCTGCACTGCCTCCACCGCTTTCCGACTGCCAGCCCAGCACGCTGAGCCCTAAGTGCAGGAAGAAGGAGGTGACAGGCGCCTGAGCTTGTCTCCTCCTTTATGGAGGACCCATGGCAGGGAGGCAGCCAGAGACCAGAGGCTGGAGTGCCTCTCAAGGCAGCAGGTGGAGCTCAGCAGAGGTAGCGCCTGCCTCCCACTGGGGAGAGAGGTCACGAGTGCCACAGCCCTAGAGGCAGGTGTTTGCTTGATGGAGACTGTGTGAGAGGAAGAATGTGGTGCAGCTGCAGGTGAGAGGCATTCGTGTGGAGGTGGGAGCAGGCACAACCAATCGAGGCCAAGTCAGGGACAGGCGAGGCTTTTGTTCAGGTAGAGAGAGCCGGCTGGCGAGGCAGCGCGGCCTGGCTGGCGCACAAGGCGTAATCCCACTGGCTGCTGGTGGAGGCTGGAGGAGCTGCGGAGTGGGGCGGGGCCCAGCGGGGCTGCTCTGCACTGCCAGGCGAGAGAGGCAGGGTGGCCGCTGAGTGGCACCACGCGTGGGACAGGTCTGGTCGCGTGTCCCCGTGGAGCGAGGTGCCACCTTGGAAGCCAACCACAGAGGCCTGATGTCACAGAAAGTGGAGGCTGAGATCTAGAACCTAGGCTTCTCTGGGGAAGGTTTTCAGGAAGGTGGTTTTGGGCACCTCGTCTTGCTCAGTCATTTTGAAGATGAGCCTTCTGAAGAGCTGCTGTTCTGATGTCAAAAGAAAGCGATTAAAACGTTGAACCATTGTGTCTCGTCCTCAGGTGGTGGTGGGACTGCTCTCAACAACTTCTGCGAGATGGAAGAAGCAGTCACTTACCAGAGATGAGACCACCTGGGACTGTCCCATGGAAGGCCAGCCATGAGACCACCATCCAACCTGGGGTGTCATTTCGCAGAACAATGAGAATTCACTATGGAATCAATGGTTTTGTGCAGATTTTATAACAGACAGGGTCTTCATATATTTTTGTTTTCAAATGGATACCACTACTTAAAAATACATCAGACCCATTTAAACAGTCTTGGGCCTTTTCAAGCCAGACAAGTTGCCCGAAATTTTTCTCTTTGCATGTACTGTGTCTTTACCATGTGTCAGAGCAGGAACATATTTTATAAAAATAGAACACTTGGGCGGCGTGGTGGCTCATGCCGCAGTCCCAGCACTTTGGGAGGCTGAGGCAGGCGGATCATCTGAGGTCGGGAGTTCGCGGGCTCAGACTGAGTGTGCAGACCCCGCCTCTACTAAAGTACCCCAAGGTAACAGCGTAGTGACTTGCCCCTGTAATGCGCTTCCTGGGAGGCTGAGGCAGGAGAATCTCTTGAACCAGAGACAGAGGTTGTAGTAGCCGAGATGACCATTGTATACATAAGTGGGAAGTGAACAAATCTCAAACAAAACAAAACAAACCGCTGTGGAAGTCACTCAGCCCTCTACTCTAGCTAGACATAATTTAGTATAACTTTTCAACCTTAATAATTAAATTCATCTTTAATTTCATAAATTTAAAATTAGTCCTTTTTGAGTTAGTTATAAGTCCTGATTGACAGCTAAATTTTTAAACAAGGGGACTGTCCTTACCAGCTGGAAGAAAAATGACTGGATGGGATAGAATCACTATTTTAAGCGTTCCTCTGTGCAGCCAAGGTAGCAAGTACTGTCCTCGCAGAGAACAAAAAGAGTTTGATTTTCCATAATTTGATGCTGTGATTTGGACTCCTCAGGTGCTGATATAGAACATTCCAGTTCACTGGCCTTCCAGGTAGTTCACAGAATATAAGAATCCTTATCTATCTTTTTAAGTGATTTTCATGGAGACCTTGTCCTGTTTTGAACAGGCGTGAAAAGTGGAAATGCAGATGTCCTCTTGAGAGCAGAGAGGATGGATGCGTCCCCATGCCGCCCAGTTGAGCTGGGGAAGAGAAGTCTCCTTCCTGCTTCAGAGATCCATTGGAGGAGGCAGTACAGTATAATGCTGTCCACCATCGTGTCTGGCACTGTGCTGGCGTCTGGGATCCACTTCTGACCTTTGCACAGGCTGGCATGTGGCAGGATAACAGCCCCAAGACAGCTGTGTCTAATCCCAGAACCCGTATGCAACTGCCTCACATAGC